AATTTGATAACTAATAATAATATTTTCACGGACGAATCGGAGAAGGCTAAAGGGAGGGTGTTACGTCTTTTACAGTAGGATACCCTGGATAGTTTTTTTTTTTACCTATATAACAAATAATTAGACTACTTATCGCTTAAAAAGTGATAAAAAAATACCTTCCTTACAGTGTATTAATAAAGACATTCCCTTTACCCTTTCTTTAAAAATAACTCGCTCTCTCCCCCTCACCCCTCCCCTACCTCTTGTTGAGGAAATAAGAAAGAGGAATAGATTACATATTACTTTTAACCCTTGTTTCAAAATGTTTATTATTTATATATAACCGGAAAGAACTCTATAGTAGGCCCTACTATTTGCGCCCTAAATAGTAAACGGCACTGGAAGCTACGGAACCGAGTAGGCTCTTATCAATTAATTCTTGCACGAGCACACCTTATCTGCAAAAGTTGGCATTAGTGCAAGTTGAAAAGGAAAGGGGGGAAGATATGGTGTGTGGATGTAATCGGTAAAAAATATTGCATTTGTACAACGTGTACTGCATGTTACATACATGTATACGACTAGCAGATGGATTATATCTTAAGTCAAGTCCGATGGAGATAAGGAAAAGGGCAAATGTTTCTTATTGCAGTATGAATTTATACACAATACCATAGAAATTCGTTCTTATAGGTACATATACACTATTCCATTGAGGTGGCGCTGGTTTTAGGCCTAATCTATGTAAAAAGGAACGCCATAAGTCGTTTATCGTTCGATAGGATCTAGTATGTATCGAGTTTGGAAACCGTTGATCGGTTCCTTCGATTTAGTATTAAACGACGCTTTTAAAGCAAAGGTTATTTTATTATATTTCATTATTTAACATGTATATATTGTATATAGGATTCTATTTGACGATCCCTCATAATAAAGTACTATAAAAACAAGAATATTGTATTGGTTTCTATTCAAAACTGGCGTATTAAATAGTTTTATTCTCTTTTACAACAGATTTATACCGACTGGGCCAACCATTATTTGGAAAAATCTAGACATAGTAAGGTAATAACGGATTTACAAGTGGACGTCACGGATGGTGTTCTGTTAGCGAACGTAATCGAAGCAGTCAGTAAGTATTTAAAAAGGGAATTAGATATGGAAAAAATGATTTGTTCATTGTCAATAAGTTCAAGTTGATAAACAAATTAGTTTTAACTTTATCTTGTACCTTAACAATCAGTTTGTTAAGTAAAGTTTGTTCTTAAATATCACAATACCTGTCTAAATTATACGAAACGTGTACTATAAAGAATTAAACCTAATTTTATGTACTCAATATTTTTTACTCGAGTTTATTTTTAGCAATAAACCATAGCAGTCAGTATAGCCATTACAATAAAGTAATATAATAACTTTATGTCAATTCTAATAGTAAACGTTGCTCTTAAACTTAATTTCCTTGTCAAAAGTTTTGACTTGTGAAACAATGCATACAGCGGTATTTATTTATATTTTGACAAGGAAACCTAAAGAAAAAGCCAACTTATTGGGGAAGTATGCGATTTCTCTTGCAATTTTATACATCTATTCGGGCTATATACTGTATATATCTACTGATAAATAATTGGATAGCTATATACTTCAAAAATATAAGCATACGCGTATTTTCGCCCGATAGAATACTTAATTAAATAAACTACATCCAGAAGGGTTTGTTTCCATATTCATGTTAAAGAGTCTTGTTTGTCTTATAGTATTGTCTACATTCCCTCTTTATTTACCATCCTACTTTATAAAAGTGGCTATATAAAGAATTTGACACCGTTCGACCGTAAAATTTCATTGTCATAGGAGTTGAGTACCATTTAATTATCACTTAATATACAGATGAAAAAAGGCGAAATGTATATTATCAATTGTTTTCTTAATAAGTTTATTCGAATGACAAACTTTTAAACTAATTAAGTTATAAATGAAAAAAGAATGTTAGTCAATATTTTAAATTAAATAAAACAACCTTTCTATGGAGTAGAATAATGTAAAGATCCGTTTTGGATTTAGAGCGGTTTTTTTGTATAGAAAAAATGGCGTTTGTATGTTAAAAAGAGAAAAAAAAATCCGATAAAAATCTCTGGCAGCCTCATCGGTGAGATTGAAATTGTCGATTATGTCGGACGGTCTTAGTTTGGTTGAAAGAAATATAAAGAAAAAAAAACGGTAATTAAATGCAATCCATGCAGACCATACGATTCATCGCCAAAATTGATAGTACGAGCTTTTTTTATACAATATAGTAGCCTCGTCTACTTTATAGCAATCATAAAATATAAATAACAACGTACCCTTTTATTTTTGATTTCTATAATATGCAACAGATGTCGCTATATTACCACAGTACCGGCTTCTACATGTTTAATATCCGTACCGTTATGCAACATTCAAGTTTTATAAACCTGTTTTTGTTGTCTGTTTGTTTTTATAACGATCATGAATATCAACTGTAGTATTTTGCCTCATATGATATTAATGATTTCTCTATTACACTCTACAGCTAATGAAAAAATATCGGACATCTCTACGAAGCCCAGAACTCAATCTCAAATGGTAGTAAGCTTTAGTATTAGTTTGGAGCGTGCTTAAAATATTTGTTTGTATTGCGGTTGTTTGCCACGGCCCATGGGTATTAGGTTATATTACGTAGGTTGAAAATTTCTGTGGGAGTCATCTCCTACCTTATTACTGAGCTACTTATGTTATAAATATATATAACTTAAGTAGAAGAAAAAAAACTATATAAACGCTTAGTTTGCATACAGTATATAGATATATCTGTATATATAGTAAGTCGGATACTAGTTTGTTCTGTTTCCGATCCTTCTCTACTTTCTTAATAAGATAGAGTATTAACGAAATAAGAAATAAGAATAGGGTCTCAGTTCTTTCCGTCCGAAGAGATTTAAATAACATAAAATATTACCCTGGACACTAAAAATAATATCGCGCGCTTTTAAACCTACACCCCTACGGAGAAATTTCGGCTCGTCCACACGCGCAAACCGCCGCCGTAGAACGTTTGTCACAGTCGACGACGTCGAAAGCGTCGTTTAATAAGTCTAACGTGGACTATTGACGTTTTTTTTTCCTTCGTTAAAAAATCTGGAAGAGGAAAAATACTATAAAATTGTGTATCGATAAAATCCTTACGTCACTCTACTTAGTTCACCGAAGCCTCAACGGATTACTCTATTTCTGGTAACGTTTCTATGATTGATGCTGAATCACACGTTTCGTAAGCTTATTTGTATAATTAAAATATAGGAATAAGAACGTCTAACAACCACATGGCTAACTAATTTTAGATTTTATCCTTAATAAGCCATGGAAAGATGTGCTGATTGATTATCATTCATTTTTTTTAGATTCATATATATATATATACTCTATAGTATATATATATATATATATCTTCATTTATATATGTTTATATGTGTAAATTGTATAAGCTTACATTGATCTATTTGTCAATTTTATACATAGATAAAAAACAAAGGAGGAAATCGGTTTAAATAGTTTTAGATATCGTTATAACAAGAAAAAGCTGTATTATTCAAAAGAGTTAAATATGAAAACCACCATTGATTAGATATATTTTGTATATAATATATTTGCTATATACATATATATATATCAACGTTTATAAATAGAGGATAATGTAAAAATGCAGCTTTTACTAGTATCTACAATATATACATATATATTTATTTGTAAATATATACTAATATATATTATACCGCTTATTTTTACAGTATTTATATCGTTTCCTCTTTAAAATTACTTAAAAAGCCTAGTAATATTCTAAGCGTTATAAGTATAACTTGAATTAAGTGAATATTTTACTTTCTCTCCATCTGTAAATAATGAAAAGCTTAATGTATACTCGTGTCATGTACGCTTGATCGGGTTTAGCCCGATCTATTAGAGCGTCTAATGAAAAAGAAATTATTTTCGCGTACTTAGAGTGACTCTTAGTAAAAATGTAGTAACATTGTAGCAAAGTGTGTGCAATCTTTGACGGACGTTTCTCCTTTTTTTAATCTTTTTGACATGGTACGTAAGAGAAAGGAGGCAGACGGATATTCCCTTGGTACCTTATAAATCAACGGCGAAAGGGGGTCAGGAGGCTGTATACACTGTATCGTCTATGTATGTATACAGAGAGAAAATTTTCAGAATGATTTACTATATAGTGTGATGTGCATGTGTTTATATCTCCTATCTACTGCCTAGGCTACAGAAACGAGCCTTTGTAGAGCCGCAAAATCAATGTGAATGAGTCATCCGAACTCTCTCTCTTTCTCTCGTTCTCTGACTGCGAGAAACGCTCTATAGCAATTCATTTCATGACTTTTATGCTATGTATAGTCCAAGATAGAATATCAGTAGAGATCCTTGCTCATCAGTATGATTCACCCAATTCTCTGTCCTATTCTCTTTCCCGATCTATATCTAACCTCGGTATAGTAAAACTAGCCGGGTTTTTTTTCAAAATTTATGACTGCTTTTTAGTATTCGACTTAGAATTTTAGATGGGCTTGTCATTATCGTTTTAACTAACAATTTATATCTATTCCACTTTATTCACGCCTAAATTAATTTGGCCAGAAAGCACCTGAATGATTTCATCACGAGACCCATATGCCCAGTTTCACCTCTACCCCTCTCCCCTTCCTCCTTTAAATTCTCACTTTCACTCTATCGTTTTTGATTAAAAACAGCATAGAGAAATAATTCTGATAAGGTGTGATAAGACGTCGTGGGTGACGAAGCATCTGGTAGGATGTTTATATAGCGTCTTCTTGTCAGATCCCGTCAGTTTCTAGATAATATAAATCATTTCCAGTGTCTGTAAATGAGAATTTTGAATCCGACCTTTAAACAAAATATACTAGATATCTAACTTCCGCTGCGCCTTTTTTTATATAAATAAATTTGACCTGAAACTAATAGAGATTCAACTGGAAACAAATATGTATGTGTACTATATTGTACACATAATAATCATCAGCAAACCCAGGAACCGACCCATATGCCCTTATCGACTCAGGAAGTAGAATTTACTTTATTCATTTGCATCGCCGGTTTGCATCTGCCAGCTTTTCTGAATAACCTCGGTGACCCTGTCGAGTGTCTTCTTTTTAATTTACTAAAAGTGGAACAAGAGGAGAGTATTCGACCTTGTCAATAACAGACCTTAGTTTTGTTGACATCTCTACTTTCACTGTTTATGTCGAGGTTTTAGCATTAATTTCATTTTTTCGGGTATAAGGCTATCACCCTTGAAGCAGCAGCTTACTAGCTGCTCTCAGCCTTCTGGCAGTATCCGATTAGCGTTGTATTAAGTGATTATTGCTGCGAGGGCCGAGAAATATAAGCGCGTCTGTTTGTAATCGAACGCGAAAACGGTTCAAAGCAATTATATCTCTCTCTTCTTTCCGCAGTTGGACAACATTACCACCTGCCTAACCTTCCTGGCCGAACTCGGTGTGAATACTGACGGACTGCACGCCAGAGGTGAGTTCTCTCATTTATCACGTAGGCAGCTCAATTAAAACCTTTCAAAATAAAATCTTCCATCTTTTCCTTGGGCTTCCTCTCATTTTCTCACACTATGAGATTATACGTCATAAATATTGTGGTAGAAAATCAACATCTTCGCAGGTTTTAAGTGCGATATTTGTAGAAAATTCTATTTAGCTTATTACGTAATTTGTTCCCATAGTAACAAATTGTAATCCTTCGCTTACACTGTATTACTTTAAAGATTTTATGGTTGCTCTTGACTTTCATTCTGAGAAAATATCCTTGAGAGATAAGTTTAAGTGTTTAAATATATATATATATATACATATATATTTAATTGTATATTATATACTTTGAATAATGATTTACTATCCGATTTCATCTATTCGTTTAGGCGTTTTAGTTTGTCATTAAGCAGCTATTACATAACTGTTCTTAGAACCGGATCCTATGCTACATTTAGGATTTCCTATTTCCTCTTTAATATTGGCTAATCGTTCGCTAGTTTATAATATAACACAACGCCCAGTTCAAGGAATAAACGAGGCATAGGTGTTCCATATACTCTCGTTTTGAATACAACACCTGTTATAACCCCAAAGCAATAAATCCCTATTAAAAATACCAAAATTTTTTTTTCTATTTAACATAAAACGCACACTGTAATTTGATTCATACGACATGTGCAGAACCTTTTGAACAGATCGTTTTGTGTGAAGGGAATGACGGGAGTAGGAAAGAAGATATTTTCTTTTCTATTGCCCTTCTTCCTTGTTCGTTTTGAACTTTTTAAAAGGGGTAGCATCTCGGTAAATATTTGCCAAGGCAGACAGCCTTCCATTAGCCTTATTCCCTTTTCTCCTCCTACTTCGAACTCTCGGGAATCCTGCTGATGATTCGCAGTTTTTAAAGAGTAAAAATTAAGAAAAGATTAAAAGCGACTGTGGACTTGAAAGGTTAATTCTATTAGAAATCTATAATTAGTTTCTTTACGTCCTTGATTCTATTATTAGCGCATAAAAGAAACTCATAGATGATTTTTGTTTGGCATCGTCCATGTTACATGTTTTGGTTCTCTTTGAAAGGGGAACAACTTCCGGTTAGTACGAATGTTTACTTTTCATTTGAATAGTAGGCTCCTTGGACGTTTTCATTTTGGTAGAAACAATCTTAGGCCTATAACTGTGGGAAGATTAAAGGAAAAGATGGTCTATTTGCTCTAGCTGAACACTTACTGTTCTAGCTAAAACTATTAACGTTGAAAACGGTGAGATATAAATTGTTAGAGAAAAGGGAGAGGAAAGTGAGAATAAAAACATTCAAATACGTGTTATCTGTGCTGTAAGGAGTTTTTTTCCAACTAGCAGATGTTTACGTTTTCAAATTGATTTTTCACTAATGTATGGGCAGCTGTTGAGATTTTTACTTTTCTTTCTATTGCAGACATAAAAGAAGGCAATCTCAAATCAATTCTCGGTCTCTTTTTCTCCTTATCCCGATTCAAACAACAGCAAAAAGCTCAAAACGGCAACCAACCTAATAGAAAATCTACTGAAGGCAATGCAACAAGTTCTATTCCGAAACAACGTTCGTCCTTACCGACGGCTGCTGGTGGAACTTCAAATGCCAATTCGGATATGATATCAAGGTAAGCAGATGGTTAAAAAAGAAGTAGGAATAGTAGACGAGAGAAGAACAAAGACACCGCTAGATGACATAAAAAAAACCTAGGGCAATAAACGTCTATTACTATACAGAGGCTTATTTTCCACTTTCTTCCTAGCCTCTTCGCCCAATTAAAAAGCGAAAAAATCCTTAATTAAACTCTCGTTAGATTCGCTCTTAAAATCTTAAATAATTCAAAGGCAAAAGCACCTAAAAGCCCACTTGTATCACAAAGCTTTTCTCTACTATATACAATACGTATGTTTGTAAATTCGTATACAAATACTATAGGTAGGCTAAAAGAGATAAGCGATTTGGAAGTTCATAGTCGCAATTCCTAGTCTTACTGAGTCAAAAAAACTGGGTTACATCATAAAAAAGTAACAATGTAGTTTTTTTTTATATACACAAAAGGCTCTGCTCCTTTTAAGTAAGAATTCCCGCCTATGATTTAATTACAAATATACGATTGTTTAATTCCAGAAGGTTCTAACGTTTACGCTAGCTGGCAGTCTTTAATTAATGTTTTTTCCTTTCTTTTGTTGTTGAAACGGATAGTTTGTCTAGAAATAATACTGAAGCATTCATTCAGTAAAATTTCTTACTAGTCGTTGTCCCCTCCCTCATCTAACAAAAACAATTTTATTGGACGTTAAATAACAGTTGAGGGTAACTGCACAGACTCCAAATTTATTGTAGAAAGGAGAAAAATAGCTTTCTTTGATACCCGGGAGACCGATTAGGAATTTCCGTAAAATCCGAATGCAATTACCCTATTACGTCAATGCGAATGGTAAGTGTCGGTTTCGGTCTGAGAGATTGCGTCATCTTAAAAAACAAAACTTAAATTTCAAATAACACCTAAAATAATAGAAGAGCTGTTACAACTAGCCTGTTAACATCATAAGTATAGATTAAGATGGAAAACGCTAAAAGGACGCTATCGATTACGGCTAATCAAAACATTAACGAACCGTTAATGGAATGTGACGAAAAGAACCTCCCCTCCCAAGTTAATGTTTTACGGATCGTTAACGTTGGTAACATATTAAGGGGCGAAGATAATGAATCAAAATGGTTGCATGATAAAGAAAAACTCTTGCTAGAAACCAAATCGTCTTTAAATGATCAACAAGGTAAAAGGGATAAGGATACGTTACGACGAGACAAAGAAGATCTCATTTCATTCTCTTGTCCAAAACCGCCTGTTTCGCCCCTACTTTGGGATCATATAATAGAACATAAAGTAAATAATATCGAGAAAGGTGACAGGTGCGAACCGTATCCATCCTGCGGCTGTCCGCAGTCTAACAATCCCGCCTCTAGCCCACGCTTTTCTGAGTATTCAATAGATTTTGACACCGACAGCGAAGACAGTCGACCGTCGTGTTGTAACTTCACTGAGTACAAGATTAATAATCTAGAAGGCTGTGCAAAAAACCAAGCCGTTCCAGTGTGTCAAGGGGCTTGCGAATTTAGATGCATTGACGGGACGCAAGAAAGCTCAACCGATTGCCTCCCATATTCTCTAATACCGACTCTGAGTCCTTTTAGTAATAAAGTAATCAAGGAGGAACAAGAGCTATCTGTTGACCTGGTTTCAAGTCAAATAACTTACCTCGAATCGTCCGTTTGAAATGCTAAGATTTAGTTGAAAAAATTATATCCTTCCTTTTTCCCCTTACAATAAACAAGTATGAAAATTATGGAAAAAGATGAAAGACAATATACTATAAATAGAAAATAAAGAAAGGAATAGAGAATTTAACGCTTCTCATTCACAAAATGCGCTTGGGCAGATAGCTAAGCAATCGATTCTTAACTAATTAATAATCATGCGTGTACCAAAGGTTTCATACACAAAAAAACTGCACCTAATACGCAGCGTTTGTTGCATAACTTTGGTAATTCATCTGAATAATTGACGTAGTTAACGAGATAGCTGAACCGTAATTTATTTCACTTAAACTGTTTAAATGGAAGGTCAAAAAGTGAAACAATTTTTAGTATAACACATTATAAGTGATATATAACTCCCCTTTTGCAAATTGACAATCTTTTCGATAGACGGAGACATTGTTGCTAACTGAATAATACAGGCACCAAACTCCCTCATGCCCTTTAAATAGATGATTTTGCCCTTATTTCGAACTTTTTTTTACCAGAAATAACTGATATTCTATGAAAATTGACTTCCTAGTCATTATAGCGTCTTTTATCTCATAGTCCCTCTTATATTTGTTATAACTGAATAAACTCTCATCAATTAGCTTTTGTTAATAAGCAAATGATAATTTTTTCAATATCTGGATAAAAAAATAAAGGAAAAACAGCAGAACGTTTAGTGTTGTGTCAAACTTGGGTGATTGATGTCAATTAGACGAGTTGCGCAACCCAGGTAATTCATCTGAATAATTGACGTCGTTAACGGCGATATTAGAGGCGGGACACCAAGAGGCGCTTATCAGGCAAAACTCAATCCAATTTGACTGAGCTTATTACATTCGTTATTCTCTTATCGGACCTTTTCGTCAAAGTTTACCGCAAGGAAATTAAACGATTTCAGTAAATCACCTTAATTAATCAGCTGTGAACCAGGTGTAGAAGGCGTTTTCTTAGCACCTAACGAACTTATTCGCTCCTATCGATTTTAGCACGGCGGCGTCTCTTTGTGACGCCGGCCGTCTTTTTTCCAATTGACGTGCCTCGTTCAGGAGCTGTGTGTGTCGAATATTAACGAAGTTGTTTGTCGCTTACATTTTGCCTATTTTGTCCCTAATGGGACTAGCTGCATAAATATGAGCATTTTTTAAGCCACAACATCCACGCCAAATGTCACTTTTGACGTTTTTTCCTTGCCTTGGGTTATAGGTTATTTTAATAACGCTTTAACTATATTTAGACGCCATTTCTACCGGTGCTACTTTTGCCTCATCCATTGAATTTTCATGAAGGGCGTCAACAACATGTATCTTGCTCTGAATTATTTCATAGTATACAATGCGAGTAGGCTACAGATGGCGCTCAGGCTATCGATTATCTAATTTAAATCCTATGCTGATCAAGTGTTTAATTACTACTCTTTTAATTTAACAGATTCAAATCCGAATCAAAAAGCTCGAAAACGAATAATCAATCTTCTTCTAAGTTGAAGTATTCGTCAAACAACAACAATAATTCAATCAGTTCTCCTGCTGGAGGTTTGTATACATTCGATTATTCTTATACCGTAGATGTCGCCACATACAAAAGTTGTAAAAACAAAAAAAAAGGAAAAAACATGCACGTGCGTTAGGATTAAATGAGATTAGCGACAGATTTTCACAGCAGTCGGCTTGAATCGTACGTTACGTTACGCTTTAAAATAGGAATAAACGGATTGTTTACGCTAGTAAGTCGATTTTTTGGTCTAAGCTCTCAATCTTTTCTCCTTATTGAAATAAGAATTATCACTCAGTTATTATATTAACGTAATAAAAGAAATTTGGCGAACTATTCGATTTTCACGTATAATCGATTGCCCAGGTTATTTATGTACACATCGTTCATTTAACGACAGCCGTGCGTGTTTCTCGATAATTTCACAAATCTAAACTAGGCTTGTAAAGTTAGTATTTATAGTATTTTAGTTGTTCCTGCTTTTTTATGTTATTCTTTTGCTTATCTTGTCACTTGAAATAAAAAAAAAAGAACGCCCGTGCAAATGAATCGATACTGGATAGATTATGTAAATAGAACGTCGCCTGTAAATAAATAGCAGCCGATTCCATCCGTCTTTTGAAGTTGTCCGCCTTTACTTTTTTTATGAAGTGCTTAGAGATATGAGTTATATATACTTTAGATTGTAAAACTTTTCAAGCGCCACCTTTTGATCGAGGTTGTTTGAGCCATTTTTGGGAAAGGTATTATAACTAGGCCTAATCCATATTGGAAAAAATATGGAGACGTTATATTTACAACAGATGGCGTAGTTGGAAAATTATAGAGTATATTAAATAAGAGAGAATAGAACAAAAACAATTTTATAGTAGAGGTAACTCGTTGAAAATAAAACGACGGTAATAAAATGTCTTAAGATATAAAGGGATTAGTTCAGAATACAATAAATAGTAAAGTGAATATGTTTTATGAATTATCTGTGAAGAGTCGGCAGCTCGTTTATCACGTAAATTGACTCTTAATAGCGTTCAATTATTGTCGACAAATGTATATGTGTATACGTTGTGATAAGGAATGATATTCAACAGTACTCGCTGACCCCTTCAATAAGTATTGTACACAGCAGTCGAAGTTTTCTTTTATTATTATTAAAATCTCCTTTGTTCAAAAACAGGATCGAACAATTTAACAGCTAAGAATAATAATCGACCGGAATCTTTCTCTTCTCGTTCCGAGTCACCGTCCTCTTCTACTGGAATACCCACACCGTCCTCAAGATTACCACAAAGAAGAACGATAAATTCCTCGACATCGTCTATTGCTTCATCTTCTTGCTCATCCTCGAAACCAAATAACAACAGCATGCTGGATAAATTCAAATTTTTTCAATCGAAGGATAAGAAGAAGGGTCAATCAACTATACCTGAAGACGGAACGGCGGCAGCGAGATTAGCAACGGGCACTTCTTCGCCGAAATTGTCAATTAAGGCTTTTGCAAAGAAAACTCTGGGAAAGAAAAATTCTGAAGAGTATCCATCTATTCCACCTCCCCAAACGCAAATAGTCAGTCCGGTTGAAATGCAACCACAACAACTACAATTTGCTGTTGCATCTTCCAAAAAATCCTCCAAATCCGATGCTAAGCAACAACAATCCATTCCTGCCAAATATCAACAAATCACAAGTCGTCCAAATGGTGCTGCTGCAAGGAATAGCACAAATAGAACGTCGATAGCATCAAATAGCAGTACAGGATCTAGTAGTTATCTCTCAAATAGAGGTATACCAAAGCCGACATCAGCCTCTAAAATTAAATCTGATTCCTCGAAAATAATGCAATCTAAGCACCGAAAGTCATCGGACAAGAATGCTAACAAAGTTTCTCACAAGGCGCATAGCACCACAACAAACCCCACATCTCCTCTACAACCGGTACCTGAAACCGACCCCTCTGTTAGGCTACAGCCTCTAGGCAGTGCTCAAGAAACTGAAGTATCAGATTCAAAAAAGAAGAGTTCTACCAAACAAAAGAAATTACAGGATGCCTTGAAACAGCAACAAGCTACTAGAGCCGCTTTAGCTCAGCACAAGGCAGAAAGTCGAGCAAAGAAAATAATAGAAAAATCCGATAGCGAAAATGTGCCCAGCAGTGTCGCTAGTAGTTCCAGTTCTTTATGTTCAGTAACTGGAAGTCAGGGTGGAAAGAGCAGTTCTTCTTCAAAATCAAATAATAGTGGCGACAGCGTCATATTCAGACCTTCTTCATGTGATGAATTAGATTCAAATGATAGCAGTGTGCCACCTTCGCCAGCCATGCATGCCCGATCTGATCATATTTCTAATTTAAGAAAACATAAACCTCCTCCAACGCCAACTAGATCTGTGTCTATTGCCAATCAAAATCAGAAGATTGAGACGACGTTTTCAGATGAAATTGCCTCTTCACCAGTACAAGTTCAAGCTATGGAACCTTTACCGAGAGTTTCACCATACGCTTATTTAAGAGTAGGTCTAAATGCAACTGTTCAAACATCGGTTCCGCCCCTCGGCTTGGGAACAACTAAAGATAGTGCTGCTCATCGCTTGATTGATCCGACAAAATTCTACTTGAACAAAAAGGCGTCGAACGAAGTTGATTTAGCCGCCGGTTACATGTCAGACGGTGACGTTCTTTGTTCTTCGAACAATAGTTCAGTGGATCCCGCTGGGTACTTGAGTGAGGGAGGAACCAGCGTATACGCGAGAAGGATGCAGCAAAGATTTAGAGAAGGGATGCAAGCAGTTAAGGAATGTATGCAAAAGTCATCCGCTTTGATGGACCATGATAGGTTTGTTTTTCTTTCACCCATTTCATGTAAAATATGTATATTTAAAACGAAAGCGATTTTCCCAACGTCTATTACATCGTTGAGGTTGTAAGCGAAAATCCTCTGACAGAACAATCCCACGACTCAGTTGACCTTTTAACAGAAAATCTCTTGCCGATGTCAAGAATTTTCTTAATTCAGTTAATCTATAGGCTGTTGTCATTTGACTTTTCAATATATTTGTCATCGCTACCGCTTATATATTTACTTTTGCTCGCTTTTAGGTTTTTTATCATAAAACTAAATAATTGTTTGATTAGAGTAATTTTAGGACCATGCATTTTTAATTTCTTAATAGAGTTATATATTATTAATCTCATTTATCGACTGCTTTTGGCTATATATGCACCCTATTTTAGCCTTTCATACATAAAGTTCACATTTCCATGAGATTACATTTATTTGCTTGTTACTTTTTATTATTTTCTTACTTCAACAACATAATTATTCAACTCATGGAAAAACTTTATTTAAATGATTTCGGTAGATGGCGTTTTAGTTCTTTCTGTTTCGGTTATATAGATTACTCCAGATAACTAGGAAACAGACATGTTTTTTTGTTAGGTTTACGTTTGTTTTTGAGTTTGTACTAATACTTCGTATCGCGGGCCATTGATCTGTAACCAGTAGATTTAGAATCTTGTCCCGTTTGCGGCACTAGATACCAAATTACATAGGCCTGCAAAAAAAAAAAGCGTCATCAGCATAATAGTACGGCGCCAACGATCACAGTCGACGGGGAAAAAGTAGTCGGCGGCGCGATGACGAGCGGTTATCACACTCACCCGCGTACTAGACGCTACCATGAAAAGCGTCTGATGAGAACAAGACTGCGTAAATTGTTATTGGAGGAAAGGGCATGTGCATGGAAAAAAGACGATGACAGGTTTTCTTTTATTATTATTTTTTCTAATTTTGTCCTTCTCAACTCTAACCTTGGCCCATATATTTTTTTAACTTCCCTAAACGTCGATTAAGGCTCCAATTTCAGAGAGGCGACGTTTTCAGCACTTGTTTATTCTGTTTTCAATTTCAAAACATCTTTAGCACGTTAGAGCCTATGTTTAACAGAATGAAAAAACAATCGTTCTGTTGCTTATTTTCGCCCTTACACTATTGTCCAATGGCATCTTTTATACAACTGTCTCCATTCTAATTATTCCCATATCCCGTTTGTTATTTAAGGTTTAAATACTTCTTGCTGTTCAGCTTGTTCCCTTCCGTAAACAATTCTAAAGACATTTTCATAGTAGAAATAATTGAAAAAATAACAATAGGAATATTTTGTAATATTCTCACAATCAGTTGTGTATCTGAAAAGGAATATATTACGAAGAAATAGATAATCATCTACATTTTGTCACTATCAATCACCAGTAAGGTTACTTATTATGAAAATTGACTGAACTATTGACTGAAAATTGAAAATTTTTAAAGGATTTGGGTGTGTAAGATTTCATCCTAAAAGAATAAAGACAATATAAACAAAAACATCGTAAAAGTTTTTGCTAAAACTATAGTGAACCTGTCTTCCTCTTTTTTTTAACCTTTGATATCTTTCGTTACTTTGGCAATTTTTCGCGCAATTAGACTTTTTTTGCTCAAGTTTTATCAAAACTGACCCTTATTTTTTTACAATCAAATCTATTTTTATACATCTTTTTTTTTAATTTTATTCCCAAACTATATAATTATATTAACTTTCGATCTAGTTGTCGAGAAAATCTGATATATTTGCAATTTCCCAGACTATTACGTGATTCATAAATATGGTCGGTAAATTTGTAGGCTTAGGAAAAGCAAAAAATTTTTACCACAGTTTTTCTTACCAACGGGATGCGTTCTTATCTAGCCTTGCAGCGCCTTGTTTCCTTAAGGTTCTTTGCGCCTCTAGCGGGATATTTTGTGTAGCGCCGAAGTCTTTCACTTAAAAATTTGGGCATGTCGGCTAGACGGAAAAAACGACGCTATATTCGGATAGGTAAACTAGGGTGAGAAACTGTTATTCTATTTTTACTTTCTGACAACTTAGGCCTAGATTGTCGCCAAATACCGGCAATTATTTCGATTGCTGTCGGGATATATCGTCCAATGTTTATTTATGGACGGTTTTTGGACGGACGTCCGCTTTTGTTAGGCCTATACAACCGCTAATATCCTCTGGGAATTTTTTTTAAACGCCGCTGAATTTATAGACAGTATTAGATGAGAAAGAACGGGTGAGATTCAGTCAGGTTTTTTTTTTCACTTCATTAGAAAAATTTCTCAAACATACCTTTCAGATTAGGAGTTTATTACAAGGTGTTTTTCTCCTTTATCGGTACAGTTAATTCTGTTTCTGCCTATTATTTTTCTTAGTTTTTCACTTTAGTAAAAAAAATTCGCCCGGCCCATCGGATGTTTGTAATTAACTGAACGGTTTTTAAGCTAATTTTCGTTGGGAAAATCGATTTGCAAGATCTGTTTTTTGTGTATGATATACTTCAACAGTCGCGGGTCAGCCGCAGGCTAATCGTATGAAACGAGGTTACGCGTTGAAAAGTGCTTAGTAAAGGCAATCGTATTTTTTGTCTCCCTTAACAGCGTTGACGACGACAGTTCGATTAGTTCTGGAGAACTTAGCGATGCAATCGGAGAAACTTCGGTCGACGATCTCAATTCAGGTAATTCTTTTTTTTTACATTCTTTTATTTCTTTCTTATCTTTCCGGCTCAGTTTAATGTTAATGCTCTAAGAGGGACAAAACCTTATTTGCCTAAGAATAATAGCATATTAAAAGTTTTGATACGCTTATATGACTAATAAGCTTACAAATGGATCCCCTGTTTTATATCTGTATCAAAAATGTAATCGTTTTATACTTAGTTACTCTATCTTAATTTTTTATCCTAAAAAAATGCAACTAATCTAAGTGATCCCTTCCTTGCTCGAACAATGAAAATAATATATATAGAATTTATAAAACCATATTCAGCAAACAGAAAAGAATGATAAAAAAAACCAAAGGGAATGAAAACGGACTGCATTCAAAGTCTATTGTTCGAATTTAATAATGTTGATAACCTCCGAGCTAACCTATTCATTTGATGAAAAGTAACAGTCCTCCTACGCTTGTCAGCGAGACTTTGAAAGAATAGTTCCTTCAAAGGACATTGATAGTCGCTGTTTTTTCCAAAAGTTTTAAAACATGCTCGAAAATACCTTTATTCGCGTGTTTCTTTAAAATATACCCCCTACAGAAATGGAATGCTAGCCGTGAAAAAGGTTCTTAGAGTGAATTTGAGCCTTATTATCTCACTTTTTTAAATTTGTTAAAAGGGGGCGCTGTTTGATTTATAAGTAGTAAATTAACTCTCCAACAAAGTCGTAACAACTTCTCGTTTATCCCTTTAGGATTACCATCGGCGGGCAAATATCGTCCAGTAGCTGGTACGGCTTATTCAGCCATACAGTTAGGTACGAAGACGCCATCTAGCGGGAGTCGAACTACCCCAAAATCTTCGTGGCGGCCAACTGATGACTCCTTAAAAAAGAAACGGGATAGCGATACTAATGGAGATGCTTTAGCCCTAGCAATGCTTCGAAAACATATTCAATCAACTCCTGCAGCAACTGGCTTGTCAAGACGGCCATTATCTGCTAGCGGAGCTAACGGTGACAGTATTAGAACAAATGGTCAGCAAGTATTATATGGCGGAGTTACAAGTCCAGCTTCAGAACCCGGAACGGCGTCTCTTAATCGACGAATGATGTCTGGACGCCAGATGAACAACACACTAGGTAACTCTTTTTATTTTTAAAACCAATATTATTACCGGTTAAAAAAAGTTCTACTTGATAGTCTATATTTATTATAGTAGAAAAATCACAAAAAAATGTGGTTATGTCAATAGAATACTTTCAAAACACGTTGAAAAACAAAATAGGTTCAACAAGAAGTAGCCCTGGCGACGCACCATCCGATTGGCCTGCGAGACCAACAAGTGGATCATGGATGAAAAGGAACATCATGGGTGACGGCGAAGAAACCCTGTCTATACAAGCTCAGATTGCTCAAGCCCGGGCCAGTTCTGCTGCCCAAAAGAACATGCTAGCCCAAGAGAGAGGTGAAAGTGGGGAACCTCTCTCACCAGCCCATAGTACATCGTCAAAATTATCATACAAGCAGTACTCTGACGAAGTTCATGGTTCCTCTTTATCAATCGCTTCTCAGGGATCCAGTGTCTATTCAACGGTAATTTTCATTATCTTAATCTCCTTTTTACGATTTAAGCCCTTCTTAGTATTTACTAACTTTTCCCCAATGTAATCTTAGAGAACTTTTCAATTTAGTTAGCCCAAGTGCTAAATTCCTTGATGTTTTTGTAACTGTATTCAATCAACAAACTTCTCTTTTCTTCTCTTCTACACTTCGCGCTCTATTAGTTACTTGTGGGATAGAAAACATTACTGAGAAAAACGTAATTTTATTCCAAGCTAGATACAGAAAAGATTTAAAATAAAATAAAATAAGATCAAAAAAAAGCAATCAAATAGATAGTTGATAAAAGAAAAGGATAGTCTTTTTTTATTATAGATAATAAAACTGATAAAAATGAAATTTTTAACACAGCTATCCCTAACAACTAAAGTAATTTGTAAGACTTCGTTCTTCCTTCTAAAGATTTTATGAAAAATTCCATAAATCATTTCATGCTACTTAGTTAGATCTGGGACGTGAAGGACTGTAAATACCTTTCTAGTTTATTCAACATTCGCTTTTCTGTCCCCTAATCCCCAAACAGCTTAAATCATTTTTGTAGAAAAATAATTATATATAAATAAACGAGTTGAAAACATTATTATGCTATTTTACAGGCTGAAGAAAAACTGCAAGCAGAGGTTTGTATACAAATTCTTTCAAATTCTTCCGTAATCGTTTAGTTTATTTTGACGGCGTCAAGTAGGGAGAGGTTTATCATAAAATCCCGTAGGTTGTTAGATAAACAGACTTTATATGAAATCGACTTCAGCATTAACATATAAAGAGTAGAAGTGAGAAAGCATAGTAAAATCTGAACTAATTGAAATAGTGATAATACTGATAAGTTGTAGGCGGGAAAAATGTTTGGTTCGTTTCACATCTTATCTGAACCAAAAAAATAGAGAAAGAAGGGTAAAAGAGCAAGCGAATAAATCGCATTTTGAGTAAAGCCTTTGCAAGTGCAATTTCAGATCTTTTCTCTTGGATACTATGCCATATTTATTAGAAAATTTATCGAAAAGAATGGTATTTAACATTATTATTTAAATAGATTCCCTGTAAGTAAATAGATATTCGAGTAGATTCCGATTCAATTAGAAGCGATATGAGAAGAATCATACCTTTCGTATGATAGATGAGTAAATATTGATAAAGTAGTTATTTATATCTAGATGAACATTTTTATATACAGGTGATGTAGATGAGTTATCATGACTAGTCAGTTTTATTGATTTTGCTCTTTCCATTTTCATTTGGATAATTTCGCATACAAAGATCAGTGAAATTAAACTCAATCATTTTCGTTTATTCTCTTGTCAAAAAAGCGCCTGATAAGAAATAAAAGTAAAGAAAGTAAAATGATTCTCGAATGTCTTTACGCCAGAATGGTCAGAAAGAAATAGTTTTATGATTTACAGAAACATAGAAATTTTAGCTGAACTATATAATCGTATATTTTTCTAAATTACGCTAGAAAATAAAACTCACATATAACTGTAATTACTATTATTGTTATTTCTTTGTTGCAGTTGAGAAAACTTGCAAGAGAACGAGACAATGCTTTAGAACAAAGAAATACCTTACAGCACAAACTCTCTTCGAATGAAAATGCACACGTGAGTTATTTCTTTCTTCTTCAACAGCCCTACTTTCCCCCTTTTTTTGACAATAAGAAAATCGTTAGTTGTTCGGTATGCTTAATTAGGCGTTCGTCCTCGAAATGTAAAGCCTTTAAGCGAATAACGACTGTATCAATTGTTCGGTATAGTTCACGTTTCTTTAAAAAGACTTGTTTGCAAAAAAAAGAATCCTAGCACTGAGTTTATTGATTAACTTGAAAGAATTCTTTGTGCTCACCTTTTCCGTTTTCTTATGAAAGAAGTTAAAGGGCAGGAAAATGTAATCTTTTTCAGTCAATGAACAAAAAGAGTAGGAAGGGACGAAAGTCATGTTGCCACATTCAATAATTCACGGTCTCAGCATAAGTTTAATTTTCTCTTGTTGTTGTAAATATTCATTATTAAACGTTATTGTCACCTTTTTATATAACTATTGATTAGCTTGATTACTGTTGTCGTATAAAGCTAATTACAGATGATGTTGGCAATGTTCTGATTCAGTGTATTGTCAATTAGACAAAACAATGACCGATGGGAATGAGAGAAGATAAAACTAATAGAAAAATCTAGTCTTTATTAGAATAGTAAGATACGACCAAGATTTCGTATAATCCAGAACACACACCGCTTTAAGCTTCTTAATTTAAATTTGCTTTCGATGTCCATCCATTTTCTGCCATGTTCGTTTCTTCTCCCACAAACGTACCCAATTTTTCTTAGTTTGTTTGGTTGGAAAACGAACAAAACCTGTCGTGTCTGCCCCTCGATTCATCTTCCCCTTAATCGGAAGCATGTCTTAGAATGGAAAAAATAAAATGTGAGTTGGAATGGGGAGAGGAAGGGAGATATGATAGAAAGAAAACTAAAGTAAAGAGAACGAATACTTTATTGACAATGCGTGAAAATGATATAGAATGTCAAAATGTTTACTAATCACAAGCTTATTGTGTTTTATTCTGGTGTATAATATCATTTACCTCTGTTTTCTTTTATATTGACTTTCTATTGTAGAAAAATCAAAGGTAAATTCTCAAAATTTAATTTATTTTTTCAATTCTATTATAAGAAACATTAAATCAGCAAAAACCTATTAAATAATTCATTGTAAATCCGATGATATTATTGCGTTATTGGATGATTATTGATAAACAATATATGTACAGAGTAATATGCAGTCTTTAGAATCAATCATCGAGTATGATTCCTTATGATTCATTTTTGAAATAATACCCAAATTATAGTGTTACAGACAAAAAAAATGACAAATTCAATAGGGGATTAAGTAATGTTAAAAAAAACTTAAAAATGAAAACTCCCTCTAAAAATTGACATTCCTATATCGGTTTAAAGTTACCTAAGACATAATAAGTTCTTTCTTCACTCTCCAACGTTCTGGCCCTGTCTTCTTTCTTTATAAGATAAAAGTGAACACAAGGCCGATTACGCAATTGGTAAATTATTTATCAACAATGAACTTTCAACCTTATTTCACATTCCATTTGGGTCTTATTAAATTTTTTTCAACTTTTGATACGATAAAGAAATAAAAATAGGAGAAAAATCGATTGAATGACCAACCAGCAATTAAACGAATACCTTTTTATAAGTGTACTTGAGGGTCGAGACTGCGGAATTCGAGAAAGTATAGCCCTCTAGAAAACTTTGGATGTAGATGAGCCTCGGGAGCTTTTTTCATACTTTATATATAGATTTTTTTCTTTCGTCGGAGCGTCACAGCTATTAGTCAGAACATGCGCGAATCGATATCTAGGTGGCGTTGCAGTTTAGCTGGGCCGTAAAGGTACGCTTATAGTTTTTTGCTGTCAGCGATGGAAGCTGGATATTATTCAACTCCCAGGCGAACAAGAAGAAATCCTTCTTCCAGATACTCTAGCCCCTCACCAGTGAGGGAAGATTACTACCTGCACAGAAGTATCACATCTGATGATACTGACATATATATGGTATATATTAGATTGCATAAGAATGTAAAATGTAACTTGTGATATCTAGTGCTATTTATATAGACAGTATATAATTTCATAAGTGTAAGATAGAAAGGTGCATATGATATAAAAGTATGCAAATCATTATTTTGTTAATTAGAGCAATGATTAAAGTAGTAATAATCATGATCTTTATCATAATGGTATACATGAGGCTATCTTTACATGAGGATATGAGAGTATGTATACATATTTTCCCATACTGAATACTGTGGCATCTGCAACGCGTCGTAATATTAAACCGATAGATTAGAGCCGTGTGCGATGTGTCTTGGATTTGTTTGAAATTCTAACCGTTTCTGCACATCATCATGAAAATCTGTCAGAACCGAAATATCCCAATACAAATAATAAAGGATTAAAGTGAAACTAAATGGGATAACAAGACAAATAAAAATGTGATTATTAGTAGAACTAGTAAATAGAAACTTATTTTCCCCTAGGCATTTCTTTAATAGTCCTACATAAAAAATATATGATGAATTGTTTCTCAAACGAAGAATTTTGGAATATATGATGCCCGATATTATGATACTAAAGGAATTCTATCAGAAATAAAAATAAAGAAGATATTATCTAAGGAAGTTAAATTAAACTAGATATATAGTGGCTATTAGTAGATTCCATTCGGCCCAATTTCATCTTTAAACTAGTTCTATCCTTTTTCAAAGATAAAAAAAATAAAGCTGTTGGAAATTAAAATATTCAAATAAACAACATTCTCTCTTTCCTTCCCACCCAAAAAAAGAGCCTGATTCGATTTTACTCTATCATTGTCTCTTTTACTTAAGATATCGATTATTCCTTTTATCACCTTTTTTAGAGAGGGGAGGGTGGGAGGAGAGTAAGGATAGACGAGGGCGGAAAAAAAAAGGATAAATAAACCCCAAAAAATATACAAACCCCTCTTTTATGACAGTTACATAATAAGAAAAACAAAAAGATAAATGATTAATATATCTTGTTGTTTCCATAAATCTAATTATGAGTTAATCAGGCAAAATATATTAGTATATATAAAATAATAGAATGAGAGAGAGAAAGAAAAAGACAAGGAAAAAATACGTACAAAGAATGTATGGAAATAAAAAAATAAAGAAAAAGAAAAAAATATAAATACGTGAAGAAAATATCTTTGACCGACTTTATCACCGCCAACCGACGCATTTTGTTCCGAATATCGATTTTACGTCAACTACCAACCGAAAGGTTTCAATCAGAATTTACCCCTTTTAACGTAGCTTTTTAATCGAAAGACCTATTAAACATCAATTTGTATTTATTAACAAATCCTCCACTATCTATATTGTTATTTTTTTAAAAAAAAATTGTTTGTGCTAAGTCTATATTTGATAGATCCTCGGTTACGTAACCCGCCGATTTATGTAAGACGTTCTTGAACGTTTCACCCCCTTCCTTCCTTCCTGTTGTTAAAGTAGAAAAATTAGAAAGATTTATAAATAGACAAGAAATTTAGATATACACGTGCAAGAACAGATTGAAATATTTCCCACTCGACCCCTTAGTTTTTTTACGCTCCTCTCGCTCTCTAACCCCATACAAAGTTTAGTTTTTGTACATTCTTTGTCTACAAACTGTAGACGTGTTCGCTATTATACGAATACGGAGTGTGTGTACTCGACAAACACTAGCTTATATTTAAAATTCTTTGAACTTTATATAAATATTGAACAATGTATGTTGTGCGCTGTATTGTAATATTTACCATATGAAAAAAGAAAAGCTGTTCGATGCAATCTATTAATGGTTTACGATAAATACTATAATGTACAAGTAGATATTTTTAATCCTCACTTCTCATACCCCCGCGTTCTTCATTTATCCTCTCTTCTCTATTCCTCTACTCCTTTCTGAATAATCGTTCAATTAAACTAATGAAAAATTTAATAACCTCATTAACCATCCCGGTTCGTTAAACTTTCGCTATTTGTAATAAATCTAACATAGAAATGGTAAAAATAAACAAAAAATTTGCAACGAAAGCCCTGTTTTATCCATTTTACTGAATAATAATCAACCCTCGTTGTAAGTAACAATTTATAATACTAATGATAATAAAAAAAACAGCATTGGAAGCTGTACATCCTTTTGTAAATAAGTATTTATTATTTATTACGCTCTTAAGAAACGATTTTAAAATATTTACGATTCCATTGTTAATCATTTATTTATTGCGCTGAAGAATATGGAAGCTTTTTATTCTTTTGGTTTTGATTATTATCATTTTAAAGGATTATTTACGAAGATCGAAAGTTTATCGTATTATTGCGTTCAATTTATTCGACATTTTGATTTGTATGCTTGACATTAAATGCATTAACTATCACTGAATCCTTTATATTATTCTGATAACTATCAGGGTTAAAACCGAACTCATGAACTTTGAACCTCTATTATTTCCATGTTAATGTGAGCGTGCGGTAATGGACAATTGTTTCTGTCACGAATTATATGTAATTAATTTTAATTCGAACTCTTTGCAAAGAAAAGTGTCTTATTTAATTAAAATTATCAGAAAAGTGGGGCATACAGCTGTTTACTTTAATTCGATTGACTTTTATCAGCTACTCTATTTTCTTTATTGTACATATTTTTTTCACCAATTCTCTAATAAAACTTTTGATTATCTTTCAGGCTCATATGGTGGCTGTGTATGAACAATCCTTGACGAATATGACTACAAGGCTTCAGCAAGAGACATCGATTAGAGAGAGAATTGAACAAGAAAACAAGCAGCTGCAAATGCACCTGCAACAAAACGCTATAACGTCTCCCACTTCCGATTCGTCACTCAAGCATCACGTGTCTTCCGATAGCGTCTCTTCGCTTAATTCTTTGACTTCTAATAGCACCCTTGACGAGAAAAAGAAGAAAAAGGGTTGGTTACGTAGCTCTTTTTCAAAATTGGGCAATGGCTCCGGCCAGAAAAAGAAAAACAATAACAGAGCAACTCGTAACGGAAGTTTTTCGGATGCTGAAGGAGGTGGTTCCGACTCTCTAAGTATCAGATCAATAGAAAGTGCGTCCGTTCCTAATTCACCTTTGCCTCTACATCATTTACATGCTTATACCAGTCCCACAAAAGATTTACCTTCTGTATTAGATTTGCAACAGCAATTACAGGAGAAAGATAGAGAATTAGCTGACACTCGTTTAGAGAATTTGTCTTCAGCTCACCAAATCGATCAGATGAGAGAGACGCTTAAGAGAATGAAGAATGAAATGATGGCATTAAAATCAGATAATCAGCGATTACAAAAGTTGGCAAGTAGGGAAGACAACAGTCAATCTTCCAATTCTCCTTTAAATTCACCGCAGGAAACTATCGGAAAGCTGAGTCTGACGGATGACCTCCTACTAGGCTCCGAAATAGATAAAGACGGAAGGAGAATTAGTGTACGAATTGAAATTGGAGACGGCAAAGACGTTGTCATGTCAGCCGTTCAAGTCAGTGGGAAGACAAAATGGGAGAATTTAGATCTACAGTTGAAGAAAGTCTTCAGGGAATATGTCTTACGAGTCGATCCGGTTACTAATTTAGGATTAGAATCTGATTCTGTACTTTCGTACTCGATTGGGGACATTCTTCGTATACCAAATATGGAAGAAACACCCGAATTATTACCCTGCGGTTATTTAGTTGGAGATAATGAAATAATCGTTAGACTGAAAAATCACGAGGAAGAATGTGTGGAAGCCCTGTCTATGGACACGCTGATACCTAGAAATATTTTACATAGATATGTAAGTCTCCTATTAGAACACGGAAGACTAATGTTGTCAGGTCCGTCAGGAACCGGAAAATCTCACCTGGCTAGAAAATTGGCAGAACACGTTTGTTTTAGAGTCAAACAACCATTATCATCAATCGCTTCATTTCAAGTTGAACATAAATCATCAAAAGAACTTCGAGCCTATTTAGCCTCCGTTGCTGAACAAATGGAACGAAATTCCCCTGATGCACCATCAATAATTTTACTTGATAACGTTCATCATGTGTTAGCGTCTCTTCCAGAAGCTTTAGAACCATTTTTAAGTGTCACCAGAAATTTGAGATCGCCAATTATTATTGGCACAATGGCGTCATCTGCTGCTGCATCCTTACAATTACACCATGACTTTAAATGGGTTTTATGTGCCACACATGTGGAACCAGTTAAAGGTCTACTTGGCCGGATATTACGGAGGAAACTAATAGAACACGAAGTTAAAGCTCAAGCAAGAGACGGAGGCTTAGCTAATTTAGTGGACTGGCTGCCCAGGGTATGGCAGCATGTGAACACATTTCTAGAAACTCATGCATCCAGCGATGTCACGCTTGGGCCTCGTCTTTTCATTGGTTGCCCTTTACAATCTGACAGTGCTCATGTCTGGTTTACGGACGTTTGGAATTATAGCCTGCTGCCTTATATTAGAGACGCCGTTCGGGACGGTTTACAAATGTTCGGACGACGTGTTGCTAGTTGGTCCGATCCAGCTCAATTTGTATTAGACACTTTCCCATGGAGTCGTGGGCCCCAAATGGATGCTGGCCTCCTCCGTCTTCGACCGGAGGATGTTGGCTTTGATACGGCACCTAGTAATGCTCCAGCAGTACCTGTTCCCAGTAGTCCTGCACCAACCCGTCATTCCAGCCAGCCAAGCGAAACTCTGGACAATGATCCATTAACGAATATGCTAATGAGACTGCAGGAAGCAGCTGTTACTAACTGCCAAAGTACCGATTCCGAAGCTGGTTTAGATGAATCCCGAGACGAAAGCTAACGATTATGGTCCGAAAATATAACAAAAAAGAAAATATTGCCGGGCAAATCCCCTTCATACCCCTTCTAGTCAGAAACCGAAAATCTTACACTTGACCTCCATTCGTCCTGATCCTCATCTATATGATTGGAAAAGCACAAAAACAGAGACTGTTGCTACTCTCTTTCGTCAAATTGTTTGCGGTGGTGTTTTTATCGTTCGCTTATACAAAGGATGAAGTTATTGGGGGTTGACATACGGGTTATTATTTATTCGCTTTATAATGAAATACATGGTCTACTATTTCCTTTTTTACTCTTTTGAAAAATTCACAAAGAAAAGAAAAAGGAAAAAAATTTTTTATTGATGATTCTCATAAAAGAAAAAGAGGAAAGAGAAAGAAAGAAGAAAAGATAGAAACGGTGCTATACTGCCACGCCGATGGATTTTTTCGGGAGGGGATTAAATTGACGTTCAAACGCATTCTATGCGCTAAAAATCCTGGAAAAAATCCATTTTTAGTCGGTGCTTGTTTTATCGAATGTATATTTACACATGAGTTGTTTAGTTGGTTTGTAGAATTTTTAGCGAGTTTTTTTTTTGTGTGCCTTTGCACATCCGAAATTGTTCGTGTGGTGTTGAATTATTATTTAAATACAATTAATTGTATACAATTTAACTAAAGTGACAAATCTTCATAATTATTTTAAAGTTGCAAAACACTTTATCCACTCTTTGATAACAAAGAAGTTTCACTCAAGTACCAGATGGCACTACTGATGGATAATAAATTTTATATTTATATCATAAAAACATCTTTTAATCCATAACGCCAGCTGTAAAACTTAATATCGAGGAGTAAAAAAAGTAGAATATGAAAAGCAATGAGTTTTTGATTGGCATAAAGTCAATAATTTTACCCTTATGCTTAACATTGAAATTTCAGTTTTCAGGCGATTCGTGACAAACTTTAAACTTGATAGCTGATTTAGCGTGATTAGCGAATAATTTACATTCATTTAGTAGTGAATTAGGCGTCAAAGTCTAGTTCTAAGACACGAGCTATTCTCATACAAGGAAAATTACTTGAAAATTAATTCAACAAAGGCTAAACTTTCCATATTCTCTTTCATTCTCGATCAATGAACCGAAGATATTAATGATGGCCGTCGGCTGCGAAAGGTTTACTTGATTCTTATTAATATACAAAGCACTCAATCTTGGAAAATTTTCCATCTCATTCAACCTTGAATGTCAATCCGAAGGGAGAAAGTACAATTCAATTCTACTCGTCTATTTAAAACTTTTTGCTTATTGAAAGATGTGATAGACATTAATTACAAACGTGAAAATATGTGTTTTTTCACCGTTCTGACATTGATTTGAATAGAACACTTGACATACAACTAGTCATTTTGCTGATATTTTTCAAATTAATTACAAAACTAATTACCATCTTGAAGGATACTTTTTAAATCGTATGAAAGAAATTTCCTGTTATAATACGTCTTTTGCACGCTCACCCTCTCTAGCGTGAAGTTGTTAATGCACATTTACTCATTAATATTCATAAAGTTTGACACATTATTCATATTGTAAGAGAGCTTGCAACTTCTTAACAATGAAACATGATTGAAACCGTTAGAAGAAACTGTTCTTTCTTTTTTTCCGTTTTAATGACAACATTAAAATCAATAAAAAAAACCACTTAAGTTCTATTGTTTTAGTGTCTCTAACTTTTCATTAAAGATTGTTTAAACAAAGAAAAATAATGAAAATGTGATTAAAATGGAATATTCTCTTTATATTAAAAAAATTCTTTAAAGTCTCTTTTTTCAAAAGAGTTAAAAAACAAAAACTATTTAAACTGTTTATTCAATTTAAATTGCAAACAATAACAAAACGTTCCCTTGTTCAATAACAACGTTGTTAAGGACAACAAAATATCACAATTTTTGCCTGTTGTATGCTATGTTTTCCTTTTATTTTTTTTAAAGCATAAATAAATTATAATAAATATATAAGATTTGTTCCAATATCTAACAAGTTCAATCGAAATTGTTAATTATACTAAACCTCTATCAAATGAGAATGTATGTATGCGATTTTGAAAATTATATAATGTAAATCTTCGTTTCTTAAACGCATCTCTTATAAACTGGTTTTATATATATATATATATAAATAGACTGTACTTTAGTACTCTTCTTCAGGGTTCTTCTTATCTTTGACAATTATTTTAGTCGGAGTTTATTTTTGTTATGGAGAAGTATAGGATGAAATAGATGCCAACAAAGACTGCTGCTATAGCTAAAACTATCAGTAAAGCCTCCTAACAATAAAAAAACACGGCTATTGACATTTGATTATGGAAATATTTTCTTTTTTTCAATCTAATTATTATACCTTTGTTGTTTCCCCAAATGATTTCTTTTTGTTGGCTATTTCCTTTGATAGCTTAACGTCTTTCTTGCTTTTTTTCCAGTCTTGCTTTCCTATGGGACAATTTTCCTATAGATTAGTTGTATTAAGAGAAATTTCTTACAGACACAACCTATTTGTTTTCTGTATTGTTCAACGGGTGTATTTCTTGAAGCTGCATCTTTGCGACCCATTTTTAGTTAAAATTCTTTCTATATTGTTAAAATAATATTTTATCGCTCAACAATTTCCCAATTATATTTTTAATAAGAAATGCAATTTTAAATCTTACTTATTGCTCTCGAAAATTTATGGATATAATATATCTCGCAACGAGCTATATTCCCAAATAATATGGTTTATGAAAATAATTATTGCTTGTTTTGAATTGGAGAAAAAATAGTCAACGTGGAACGATTTTTAACGCCATCTGCAGTATTATGATTCATTATATTTAAAAATTCTCGTTATCTCCGAAACTTCTTTATAATATTCAGCGCTAATGCTCAGATTGATACATTGATACTAATTGTGCACTAATCTTTAATTATATGAATGTAATTTTCAAGATATCTTACCATTCGAGTTTACTTTCGTTTTCGATATAATGCCGAATTAAAGCAGCATTTACTGTGAGCTGTACAAAGACAGTCAAATGTAACAAATTAAAATACATGAGGTTCATTATTTATAGCAATCTGTTTATGTAAATAACAAATTACAAGGATTTTTAATCTGCTGGGGTAAACTGGTATGTTTATTTCATCATCCAATATTGCGTCAGACAGATCAAAACCTATATAAAGCCGGCTTTCTTCCAGTTGACACTAATCAACAATGTGTGGTATTTGGGCTATTTTTGGTTCTGATAAAGACGTATCTGTTCAGTGCAAGTCGTGTTTGGCAATTGCACACAGAGGACCTGATTCGTTTAGAATTGAAAATGTCAACCATTTTCCGAATTGCTGTTTCGGTTTCCATAGGTTGGCCATTGTTGATGATATGCTTGGCATGCAACCTATGAGAATTCATTCTCTACCCCATCTATGGCTTTGTTACAACGGTGAAATTTATAATTTCAAAACTGTAAGTTTTTAACCAATTTAAAATCTATTTAAATAGTAATACGAAATTCGTTCTATATGTTTTATCAGGTTGAAAAGCAATTCGACTTTAAATATGAAACTCAATGCGACGGAGAAGCTATTCTACACTTGTATGAACATGGAGGAGCAAAATTCATGGCCCAGAATTTGGACGGAGTCTTTGCATTTATGCTCTTAGATACAAAAAATCAAAAAGTGTTTGTTGGCCGAGACACCTATGGTATCAGGCCTGCGTTCAGAATGATAACCAAAGACGGTTTCCTAGCCGTCTGTTCTGAGGCTAAAGGCCTTATGGACATAGTTCACGAATGTCCTTATGCCAAGGTTGAACCTTTTCCCCCAGGACACGTAGAGAGTTATGATTTGGCTGATAATGGTAAAGTTTCGTTAACATCATCTGAAAGGTTTCACAGCATAGGACACCCACCAAAATATTTAACTCCTGCACCACCAACTGAGGGCAAAGATGTATATGAAAATATTCGCAACCTTTTTGAAACTGCCGTAAGAAAAAGAATGATTGGTCAAAGAAGAATTGGCTGTCTATTGTCTGGAGGACTTGATTCATCATTAGTCGCTGCTCTTGTATGCAAATACGTTAAGGAAGAGGAAAGAGGCTATCCTGTGCAAACTTTCTCGATTGGACTGGAAGGATCTCCAGATATCGTTGCTGCTCGTAAAGTTGCACAACATATCGGTTCAGAGCATCATGAATTCACTTTCAAGACGGAAGATTTCCTCAATGCTGTCAGACCGACTATTCAAGCTTTAGAAACCTATGATATTACAACTATTCGGGCCTCCGTGCCGATGTATTTGTTGAGTCAAAGAATCTCTAAAGAAACAGACAGTATAGTTATTTTTTCTGGAGAAGGAGCCGACGAACTAGCACAAGGTTACATTTACTTTCATAAAGCACCATCGCCAGCTGAGGCAGATGAGGAGAGTAGACGTCTACTAAACGATTTGTATTTCTTTGATGTCCTGCGAACTGACAGAACTACTGCTGCCCATGGCTTAGAAGTTCGTGTGCCATTTTTGGATCATCAGTTTGACGCTTACTTTTTGTCAATTGATCCTAAATTAAGACAACCTGCAAACGGCGTAGAAAAGTCACTAGTAAGAAAAGCATTTGAGAACACCGGCCTGCTACCAAACGAGATTCTTTGGCGACCCAAGGAAGCATTTAGTGATGGGGTATCATCTACAGAAAAATCTTGGTTTAAAATACTACAAGAGGATGTTGAAACTAAAGTCACCGACGATGATCTGGCTGCCGCTTCCAAAGTCTTTGTTCACAATCCCCCTAAAACAAAGGAAGCTTATTTCTACAGAACAATCTTTGAAGAATTCTATCCAAGCCAAGGTGAATGGCTTCCCTATTACTGGATGCCAAAGTGGATTGACGGTGCCAGCGACCCGTCAGCTCGTACTCTAGGGCATTATAAGACTGCTTAATAGCCTAGTAATTTATGAACTATAGGGTAGATGTAATAATAATTATGAATTATTGTCCCTGTAGTGATAAATATTATATCAATGTCTCTATGTTAGACAATAAAATACGGAAAAGGGTTAAAGGTCTTACAACGTATTAAATATTTGGCAATTATCAAATGTTATTTTATTATCATTTAAAATATCAAAAAAACAACCAGCCAGTTTAGACTCTCATTGTTCTTTAACCTTTATAAAGAATGGGAATAGTCTTACATTTAAAAGAACATAACATACAATAAGTTTACAGACACATACATAAAACATATATTGTATATACAGTATATATATATAAACAATATCTGATATAACAAAGGACGTATTACAACAAATGTTGTCAGTTATTCATGTTTACTACTACCTTCCAATACAGTAAGAACCATATTGGATATGATCTGAGCAGATTCTATGACATTACTCGTAATTATATCAATGTTTTTTTCATTTTCATTTTCATCCTTTTGAAATTCTTCTTCAAATATATTGAGTAAATGTCTTTCGAGCATTTTACCTTGGCGGATAATCTCATTTCTTTTACGACGAAGACCATTAGAAAATATCTTTTTACGCTTCTTTCTTGGAACATCATCCGATGATAAATCAGACGAGTCGATGTCTGAAAACTTTCTCTTTGACGGACGAATTGTCTTTTTTATGGTTGATAGTTTAAGAGATAAATGTTGACATTCTTTCTTCGATTGTTCTAATTCTCTACACCGCCTCATCAACTCCCTTTCAGTTTCATCTAATTGATTTTTTAACTTCTGCTGCTTATCTTTACATTTTTGTAATGTTTTTATATAAGTTTTATAGTTTTCTCTTAGCTTTTGTTTCAGTTCAAGCATTTTGTCTTTATCGGTTCTCTTTCTAATGATTGTGTAGCTTTTTTCGCTATCGCTATCGCCAGAACTGCAGTTTAAGACGTAAGAACTATCAGAATCGCTATTCTCATTACCCTTACCATTGAGTACTGTCATCATCTCACTCAGAGATTCCACGGGTGAAGTTGGTTCACCCATGTATGAAAGTTCACTTTGAGGTTCTACAATACTCATTGTTATCTGAAAATATTCATTAAACTATGGCAAAGCTAATAAATAGTTTTTTAGTCTTTTTGACTAGATAATCTAGGTATACACAAGAAATAACAGTTTATCAACTGAATTGTCTACTCGATCTAAATCCTGGACGATTAATGATCGAATTACTTTTTATTTCATAAAATATCGAGAAGTTGAGTTCTATCAGCTATGTCTACAATTTCTATAGAATTTATTTAACATTAATTTTAACTTATCTAGGTGTCCAGATATTTTTTTATGGCTTTTTGTCCTTTTCTTAATCGATCTTAATTAAAAATCGATTTCCCCTACCACTGACCTTAAATTTAGGAGGATAAATTGGCGGGATATCCCTGGCAATTAATGCCATCTAGTTAGAGAATATTTCAGAGATCATGATGCATACTCTGATTAGGATGGACATAAGGCTAGACGCGTCAGATAATTAGTTGATTTACGATTTTGTAAATTGTCTTTATTGACTCTCATAATTTAGGGTCTTAGTTGACATTTCAGTTGAAATTCAAATTTTGCACTTGAAGCGTAAAATTCTTTCATACCTTTACATTCCTAAGCTATTTCGAAGACAACGAAATTTTAATGACCCTTTTGATATTTATAAAAGTTGTCTGGTAGTTTTTATGCTTTTACTTTTTAGATTAGCGTCGCTTATGAAGATAATTATCAAACTTAATCCCTTAAACATAGGCCATCTACTGTATACTTGAATAACTAAAGGGCGATATTTCCGTCAAGTTGAAGGTCAAACAAGCAATTATATTTGATTCTCGGCTTTGAAAATGATTAACTTAAAGCCGCCTTGTCAAACTTTAGCTTTGTTAAGGCGAGCAAGAAACTTTCATCTTATAAGATTTTATTACAATGATTCAAAGTACGCAAAACCGCCTTCCGTTAAGCCGATACATGTTAAAAGCGAAAAATTCTCTGATAGGATAGCGATAATTGATAAAAACGGTGCTTATAAGTATGGAACTTTACTATATAACACACATCGGCTAGTTGATAAAATTCTAGGAACTCTAAATTTTGAGTATAACGAGTTTCGTCATCAAACAATCTGTACAATTGGTCCGAATGACTCCTTTTTCGTTATATCGCAGTGGGCATGTCATATTCTTGAAAGTATGCATGTTCCGCTTTATAGTCAGCACCCCGTTTCTGAACTTCGCTACTTTATTGAAAACTCGAAGGCTAAGGTTGTTATTACTACCCCGGAATTTACTGATAAAATAGAGAGCATTGCGCAAGAGCTTAAGATAGCGGTGGTGGAAGTCGATATGTCAGATAACCTGCCTGGAAACTACGAATACATGAAGAATAATTTAAGGGAAGTTTTAAGAAATCATACCAAACGAAATAGGCTTCATTATCAATTGGCATTGGCTAACAAATTTCAAAAAAGAGATTGTCTAATGTTATATACAAGTGGAACAACCGGCCGACCTAAGGGAGTAGTACATACTTTCGGAACCTTAGATACTTGTATCAAAGATATGGGGTACGTTTGGAAATGGAATCGGGATGATGTAATTTTACATTCTTTACCGTTACATCATTACCATGGTATCGTCAACTGCCTAATGACTCCTCTGAATTTTGGTGCATGTTGCGTAATGATGCCTAGATTCAATCCTGCCGAGGTAGGTTTTATCTAAACTATTCGTTCGCACCGTCCATTTGGTTTTTAAACTTAGGATTCGATAAAAAAAATAAAAGTATAGATTAATGGAATCAACAAAACATTCTTGGCCTTACGAATTTCTAAGGAATGTACGTTGAATCTTGTTCTCAACCATGTAATCTTTACCAGATGGCAGTGCGAACGATTCTAATAGAAAACTAATTTTTGGTGGTATTTTAAAGTGTATTTAAATTAGACATGGGCCTACTTTCTCGGTAAAAAGAAGCTTAATGAAAGTATTAAGAGAATAAATATTTTTATGGGTGTTCCAACAATGTATGTCAAGCTGATTGAATATTATGAGAATGTTGTTGGGAAGGGAAGAAGGGGGAGGAGATTAGCCGAAAAAATCAAGAGAATTTGTCAAAATGAAATTAGGTCAGTAGAAAATAAACCATGTATCATTTTAGAAAAAGAAAAAACTTGTTGCAGGTTAATGTGTTCTGGGTCAGCATCTCTTCCGTCAAGTGTGTTTGAGAAGTGGGAAGAAATTACCGGCCACCGTCTTTTAGAGCGTTACGGAATGACTGAAAGTGGAATGGCTTTAACAAACCCGTATAATCCTATCTCGTCTAGAACGCCAAAATTTGTTGGTGAGCCTTTTCCAAGTGTAGACGTTGCTGTTGTCCAACACAAAGACGGCGAATCAGACGAATTTCTATTAGAAGTTTGCAAGGGTCGATATCGGATTAAGCCGAGTGAGTTGATTGAATTGGACTCATAATCAAATAATCTTTTTCATTAATTGCTGCTTTGTGATAAAATATGCTTCACTATTGTACATTTATTATATTTTTAATTAATTATTATATTTTTCGATCAGAAACCGAACCAGTAGAAGGCGAACTTTATGTATACGGAAATAATGTCTTTAAAAGGTACTGGGAGAATGAGGAAGCTACCGCTGAGGCATTTACCAAGGAAGGCTGGTTTAAAACTGGTGATATTGTATCATATGAAAACAGAAAGTTTAAAATGGTTGGAAGGTCTTCTGTTGATATTATAAAATGTCAATCTTTTAAAATTGGAGCACTTGACATCGAAGGAAAACTACTCAATCACGAAAATATAAGAGAAGTCGCAGTCCTCGGAGTTCCGGATAATGTACAGGGTGAAAAAGTAGCATGCTTAATAGCTTTAAAAAGTCAGGATAAAAAGTTGACACTTGAGGAGTTAAAAGATTGGTGTCGGGATAAGATGCCCCACTATCACACACCTACTGAACTTTTAATTGTCGATAGCATTCCACGAAATGCTATGGGTAAAGTTAATAAAAAAGAACTCATTAAGATGTTTTTATAAAATAGTCAATTAAATAAACAATTGTAATAAAGACAAAGGTGGAGAGTAATTGGTTAATTAACTCTTTGTTATACTTTTAACAGAATGAATGCTTAATTAGGTCTCTTCAATGAATATTTTGCATGATAATATAGTCGATAGTTGTCGAAATGACATTTAACGTAGGCTTCTCTTTCGTAATATAATAATAGCGTGTTTTTTATTATTTGAAAAAAGGATTACGAGTAAAAGCACTTTTGTTATTTTCAATATGACTGCAATATCGCCTCCCCCTCCTAATCTCGATATCAAGTCAAACTTTAGAAGCGTCAAAATGATCGATCGACGTCGAAGTAAAGCAAAGGTCTGCTACTGTCGGTCTAAATTCGTTGACGAATCAAAACGACCTAGGGGACCAACTCCCTGGGGCGGAAAATGGACTAGACTTGCTCTGCCTTTTCCTGTTACGTCGCGGAAGAAACGTCGCCAGAGGCTAATCGCTAAACGTGTTTGGACACCGGATAAAGAATGGGTGGAACTATCAGAAAATAAGCAATCAACACCTGACCTGTTTGATTCGCATGTTGAAGAAGTAGAAAAAGTAACTGAAGAGACAAGTGTTACATTTGACGACTCCAGCTCTGAGTACGATACAGATGTCGAAAGGGAATTTAAAACCGACGACCATCCATCATCTTTAACCGGTCGAAACTTATACGACTTGGTCTGCAAACGATTCAACTTGCCCCCGAACTCATATTTCCGAAAGAGTATCATGAATAAGAAAATGAGATTTCGACACAGGTGTATGGGTCCCAAAGCCGCCAAGGCTATCTGCATTACTCTTTGTGCCAATGTAACCATTCGGGAATTAGACTTAAGGGATAATGCTTTAGGAGCAGTCGGTGCATTCTACGTAAGCGAAATGATGAAAGAGAATTGTTTTATCACCGATCTAGTTAGTTTATTCACAAAAGCAGATGGATAAAATCATAATAAATCGTTTTCCATCTTTAAAAGTCGTTAGCCGACAATGCTATAGGGCTCGAAGGCGTCAAATACATTAACGATATGATGCAATCCAACATAACATTGGAAAAATTGAATCTATCTAGTTAGTATTCTAAAACTGTCTTTTCTTACATGCATATATCAAAGAGCAGGTTTTCCTCATCTAAATATTCAGACAATGGGTTAGGCGATAGTTCTGCGGACGATATCGCAACTATTCTAAAGGTAAACAAAACCAATTTTCTTTATATCTTCCACTTAGCAAACTCTATACTATTCAACTTAAGTTTTTAAGTTCTTTATACAAAAGTGTAAGTTACTATTTGCTTTAACGCTAGTCGTTTATTGTTAGAATAGTGCCAAACTAGTACATTTGAATCTGAATCGTAACGAATTCTCTGATAAAGGCTTATCGAAAATCGCCGACGGTCTGCGTAAGTTATCTCTGATTATCTTGTTTTCCTTTTCGACCGTCAAAACAAAAACGTCGGGTGAATAAAACAGGATACAATACGTCCCTGAAGAGCATAGACTTATCTTGGAATCAGTTCGGTAGCAAAGGTTTAATTAATCTATTAGACATCTTAAAGGTTAATTCTATCTTATCTCTACCTCTCTCTTTTTTATTCCAATTGAAATATAAACGATTTAGTTAATACTATTTATTAAATTATCAGAATCATCCGTCAATATCAGAAATAAAAGCGAATTTTAATGGAATTGATAACAAGTCATTACTGTCTGTCACCGAGATAATCGATAAGCAGAAAGGGAACAATAATTTGAAAGTTATCGATTTGTCTAATAACAGAATAACGGATAATGGAATGAATGTTTTGGCAAAAGGATTATCAAATAGTAGCGATCTTGAACAAATGAATCTCGCTCGTAATCAAATTTTTAGTAACGAATCCATCCGTAAATTGACTGAAGTCCTAATAAAAAATCAATCGTCCTCGCTACGACTACTAGATTTAACAGTTAGGCCTATATATTATAATAATATCAGTATTATAATAATTAAATTCAGTAGGGAGGGTAATTCGTGAAATGTTTTTCAATTTTGTTTCTATTTTCTTCCGATTCCTTAGGGTTTATTAGCGGACGTGTCGTATATCGATAAATTAAACGGTGAGAAATCGAAAAGTAAATTACAGCCGATCGACATTAAGCACTCGGGAAATGTTCGGTGCAACGGTAAAATTCGTTTAGAACACATCATGGGAGGTGGATTAGCCAGCGATGAAAAATCTGACAGGTTTGAGGAAATCTTAGGTTGGAATCATCTGAAATCAATTAGTAACCAGTTTGAAAAGACAACAATTCAAACGTTACCTAAATCTGATTAAAGTCGGGAAAAAGTTATCAACAGTTCTACAGAAAAGACTAAGTAAAGTTTTCAAAAATAGAATCTTATATAATGGGCAAAGTTGTAAGTTTACGAGCTTAATTTAAATAAGAATAAAGGTGTTAAATGGTGATTATTTATAGTGTTTCGAGAATGAAGAAAGAGGACGGGGGAATGGTAGACTTCAGAAATATTTTATGTATAATTAAGTAAGAAAAAGAGAAGAGAATAAAAACCTTTAACTTAGTTATATAAAAAAAAGTCAAAAGTAAACTGGTAGATGTCAGATATATCTTTCTCTTCACATTAACGGTATATAAATAAAGTATATAAAAAGAGGCGGGAAAAAAAGAAGCAGCTTGTTAAATATTTTAAGCGCCGGTTTTATCGTGCTACTTATCTCACAATGTTGATTTGACAAGAGAAACGCTAGAAAAAAAGATAAACGAAGACAGCTACGTTGAAAAAACACAGCCATAACAACGTTCGATTGTGGCGCCTCATCGTTGCTATGATCGGTTGCTAGGGACAACAAATCATACAAACACATTCACATTTGCCTGTTTATATTCATTTTTAGCATAAATTTAAAAAGCTAATAGTGATGAGTTGGGTGAGAACTTATAATCCATCTGTAAGAGTCGGCAATTGGAATGAGGACATTGCGCTAGAAGAGGTTAGTACTTAAAATAATCAAAGATAAAGAATAGGGCCAAAAGTTTTATTATTATGTAGCATTTGCTCAATTATTTCCGTCATTGTTGCATTTTAATTTCCGTTATAGAATACCATAAAAGATTTCTTAGAGAGAAGAGAAAGAGGGGAGCTACTCATACAGAAATCATCAAAGTTCCGAGAAACACTCTTAGAGCCTGTAAGATTATTACTATCTCTTAAAAGTCAAACAATTCTTAATTAAATTGTAAACTTATAAGTGCGTGTTTATTTATTTATTTAGATAACGACATCAACATCACGAGATGGTAAAGTGCACTTTGGCGATCTTGTCCAATTGGGATGTGAGGAACCAAAGTCTGTTTTGAGCTTGAATGGCAATGATGTTTACGGTTCTCGAAACGTAGAAAGCAGTCAGAGAAACGTCTTTTGTATTGTGAGGTGATAAAAAAGTGAAATATCCCATTTTAATTATTACTAATTGCCTGTTCCATCTGCTCTTTATCTAGTTGTGATGGAACGGCGAACGGGGAGCCTCTAAACTATGGGCAAGATTTCATGCTCCGCACGGCACACAGCTGTTTGTTCTTGGAGAGTGACAGGCAGACGTTTGCACGTGCCGCAAAGAAATCTCGTCACAATTTAGTTCAATTAGTCGAAAGACCTTCCAAGCTAACTAGATGGCGTGCAATTTTTTTCAATCCAAAATTTCGTCTTGAATCGACAGGATTTCCAGTTCAAGCAAACGAAAAATGTCTAATACAACATTGCATGACTAATGTAAATCTAAATCTGGAATCAGAGCATTTACTGTCGTAAGTTATTTTTACTTAATTAATAAAAAATTAATTAATAAATAATCCTCTTGACTGTAACCCTTTTTATTGCTTTTTTTCTATATTATTCTTTTGTTACACTCAGAACACCCTTTGGAAAAGAGTACGAGGTAGCCGGTCATAGTTGCTATGATTCCCACAAAGCCGAATTAGGTACTAATCATTGGAGATTCGAAATGGACATACCCGGCGGTCCCGAAAAGCTTTCATCATCATAAAAAACGAGATTCATTAAAAATTATGCATGGTACAAGTGTATTTTTACACAATTTCGTACGGTGTAATATAAACTTTATATTTGCCAATTTATCATTACGTGATCGAGCGTATAAATAAAAAGTTCACATGGAAATTTATTCAATCTAATGAATAAATCATAATAAAGGATTTCACGGTTATGTAAGAACAAAAAAACTAAAAGCCGGTTAACTCTCAATTAAAATGGGATACAATAGATGGCGCTACATGTGGAGCTTTGTTGAAATAAGAGCACAAGCATTTGTTAGAGTCGTTTGTTATATTAAACTAGGAGCGGCTGTTGAATTACATAAGTTATTTTATTTTAAAATAGACAAAACGGATAGGAAAAGCAGACGAAAATCTCTTTTCAGATAAAATAAGATTTTGGTTTTTTTTTTATAGAGAAGGAGGAAATTTACAGCGTTCGTTGTTTATTTCCCGTATACCGTTTCATTAACAATGTGAACACACACAGAGAGACAACTGATATGAAGTGTTTATATTTATCTAATTTTATCAGAGGCGCGTTATTTTAGGAACAATAACAATATTCACCGTTTAAACGCCAAGAAAGAGTAAATTGCAGAAATCTTGCTTATATGGAAGGGTGTAAAAACATGTTGGTGTATGCGTGCCGAGACGCCCTGGCCGTCTTTTACGTCGCTACCATGCAAAAAGTACATAAATCTTAAAAGGAATTACAGTGAGTCACTGCAATCACTTTCGACATGTGTAAAAAGAAATTATTTAAATCTCTATATATTTCTGTAGGGCCAAGTTTTGTATTTCTAACACCTTCATAACACCTTAAGAATAAGAATATATATAATATATATACAGAATAATAATTTCGGATATGCATGTTTGATCAGGGCAAGCTGATTCTACTATATACTTAATTGATTCTTTTCAAAGCGAAATTAATGCCGGTTTAAACACCTATTCATATTGCCAAAGCAAAGGCAGTTGTGTGTTGTGGTATGTCCGTTGGTACACGTAATCTTTTTCATATACAACTCGTCACAAGTTGCTTTACATATTCAGGCGGTAGGCTTTGAAGTGAACAACGCTAAGCCTCTTGAGCATTGTGTTTGATGAAACTTCAATTTCCTTGTTTAGCTTCTGCTAAAGGGATATAGTCGCACATATATGCCTTTATGCATACGTAATTTGTTTTGCAATAAGTTGGCAATAAGCCGGTCAGCGTTGATTGAAACAAGCTATTTATTCTGCCAGTAAATGTCTCATATATATCGAATATACTTCTTGCGCAGTTGTGTTTACGTTCAGTCTGTGTGTAAGAATTAAATGAACTTAGGATGGAAAGTTGACATTGCCGCCGGCGCGGCAAAGAGACGGATCAGGTAACTGATGTCTATAGGTGGCAGATGAGCTTATCGAGGTTTTGCAATTGCCGGTGCACTTACGTTGATTATAGATTATGTAACGTTAGTGCAATAATTTTACCTTTCTATCTTTTCCCTTTTTTTTTCTCTTTATTCGCGTACCAACTAGAAAGGTTATATATCATACTTTAGTCGGTATAGAAGGTAAAAGGGTACTAGTTAGCTTTAGCCTAGTTAAAAAGCAATCAATACAAATGATGAAGTCATGGAGAAGTTGGTAGCGGTGTTGGAATGCGGTGCGTTGACAAGTAGGCGGTTCTAATACCCCCCACAGCATAGTCTATCTGTTAAAAAGACACTAATGTAATTAGCATATAATCTGGTCAACGCGTATACGCACCGTCATTTATATTTATTTAATCTAATCGTCTCGGAGGGGAATAGAGGACAACGAATATGTAAATGAGCAATTTAAGTGCTGAAGATGGAAGGACGTGCATCAAAGAGAAGCGGTGCGCGTCCACGATTGTGCATACGCATTAGACGTTTAGAAAAGAGGGAAAACATGACGAATGCGTGTCAGAGTTCATGCAACACAGTGTTGAGTATGCAATGAAGCATGATCAATCTGGCTCAATGTTTTGATTAGCATCAACTTCAAAGAAAGCCCAACGAACGTGATGTAGCACGTCCCCACCGTCCCATGATGCAGCGAGCACCTTACAGGTCAACAGTCAGAACAGTGTCAACATGACGTTCAAACCATTAGGCTGGTGGGCGGAGTTAGTAGTGTTAGTGGTCGATTTCCGCCGTCACTCAGCTACTTTTCAGGCGACGCGGCCGAAACAAGTGCTGATTGGCTAATCCACTTTGATAGTGGCGCCTCTACGCAAGCAGTTTTTCTCACATTAAAGCTCGGCAGTTCGTCGTTCTATTATAATCTAATGCTAGGCGATCTACTATATAGTGTGGATTTATAAAAGTCATGGCTTTACAGGTAATACAAGTACTGTTACAAATAAATAAATAAATTTATTACCTTATTCGCTATATCCCTTCATATTTATTTATGTATTTGTATTTAATAATTGTTTATATAAAAATATATAATTTATATTGATAGCGTGTATATATATATATATATATATATATGTATTTGAACATTTGCAAGTACAACTCTTGTTCTTATGTACTAAGTTTTAAATACATATATACATGAATACAAAAGTATAGATATATATATATATATATATATATGTATACTTATAGGATTTATTAATAAATATGTCCTTAGAATGAAGAGATATATAAATATAGATATATCAATTTTGTATGTATATATTTATACATAAAATTACAATTATATGTCATAAGTTTAACATAGAATATATACAATATACATATGTATATATTTATATGTGCTTAAGTTCAAATATGTGTTTATGCATATTTATAAGCATACGCGTTAATATAAGTGAAATTTTTTGATGCGAACGCTCTTTTTTTAATTCGTAATATATCTCAACATAAAAGGGAGATATTAGCATATATATATATTAATTAGAATAATATACAATCTGCCAGTATGCTTGGCCAGTGTACTTGAGTTTTTATTAGAATAATAATGTATAATGAGGGGCATAAATTTCATATATTCACTATCTGTCTCTTTTTCGTAGTCTGCAGCCGTGACGCCTTCAATGCGTAATTCGTCAAGCAGTGACGAAACATCACGCTGTGAAAGTAATCGACCCACTACCGATGCGCATTCGGATAAAAAGATGTGGTGCAATCAGCCTCAAGCCTTAACACCTTCCTTTCCAAGATTCCCGCTTCCAGAAACTGCGTTTTCGTTGCCAGCACCACCAGGACTTTTTCATGTGCCACAGGAAGCGTTACCTCACATCGTAAGTGTGTTACTCTCACCCCCCTCATCCTTTACCGTTGCTTTTACACGTAGGCATACATTTCTTATGTACAGTACATATTTAACTTATAAGCGCAACGCTCACTTCGAGTATTTCCCCATGCATATATGTATTTATTATGATATTATTAATTTATAATAAATACACAAGCTATATAAGAAAGTATATATATATATATATTTATATGCATTTATATAGATTACGGGATGCATGCAAAATATTGTCTGACCGCCTGTGTGTATTCAATACGGACATGTGTGCAGACAGAACGTTTCGCTTCAATAACTTTCGCCTGCTTTTTTATATTTTGTGACGATAATTAAATATCTATAAAACTAATCGATTAACTCGCATCTGCTGGTTGGCAAGTGAAAAAAAGTGCAAAAGGATGCTATTTCGATTTTTATCGACTTTTCACTGTTATACAAGAGAATGGAGAGAATCCATTAAAATAAATAATAAAAAAAACACAAATAAACAAAACTTTTAACAATAAATTTTTCTTTTAAGCAGAGTTCCTACGATTTAAAAGAAACGTCTGATGTTGTTAGAAATCTCGGCCTACCGTCCGGATATGTCTACGATCCAAGCTTGGCCGCCTCATACGCCTACGCAAACAGGTACGTGTCCGCTCACTGAACGCCAACCAATAAGGCATCCGCCGACGTTGAGGGGCAACGTTGCAGACTGAGCGGCTCCAATGTTATTCTAAGCTGAATATTACATGCTACAAACAGGCAGAATAATGCATGCCTTTCTGACAGTCTAGTTTATATATAGAGCGCGTATAGACAACGTCTCAACCAAGCTGGCCTTTGTACGTATATTGATCACACGGCTTTAACATGCAATGCAAACAAACGCTTCTATTTCATATTTTATGCACATAACTATAAGTTCGTGCGACGAGTATAAACCGCTCGTGACGTTAACTAGCCGATCGTAAAAAGTCAAAAATTAACTCCCGTCGATTCCTCAATAACGAAATAGCGACGGGGGTTAGGCGTGGTAGGTTAAGTGCGATAGAGAGAGGGGGGGAAGAGATAGAATTAGAGCTACAGAGTTTATAGGGTGATTGGATTTCTTTATCTACGCACTTGAAATTAGGAGAAAACCATTAATAATAGCTTTTAAAACAATTAAACAGTGCTATGGATTTGAATGCTCGCCGGAAGAATGCGACTAGAGACGCTACAAATACTTTAAAGGCCTGGTTGTATGAACACAGAAAGAATCCGTACCCTACTAAAGGGGAAAAGATTATGTTGGCAATTATAACTAAAATGACTCTAACTCAAGTATCCACCTGGTTCGCTAATGCTCGTAGACGACTGAAGAAAGAGAATAAAATGACCTGGTCACCGAGAAATCGCAACGACGAGGAAGAAGAGGAAGAAGAAGAAGAGGAGGATGTAAAGAAATCGAGTTGTGAGAAATCCACGACTGAGTCGGATGAAGAAGTTATTATTGATGGTAAGTTCTAATTGTAATAAAAAATACAACGAAAAACATCATGAATAATTGATGAAGTATAAAATAAAACATTTTTTTGATTATCCAAACAGACGACAACACCGAGGAAGAAAAGGAGAGTCGTCTCGCTCCAGCTGAACCGTCGCCTCCTGCAGCTGCGACCAAGCCAAAAATTTGGTCGTTAGCCGACACGGCGATCTCTAATAAAGAGCCTTCGCAAAAGAACAAACTCACACCTTCGCCGTCTAATTTGCTATTTACTCACTGGTTGTCGGGATTACCTACGCCTCTGTTTAGACCCTATAATACCCCCCACAGTTAGTATGTTGCTGATTATCAGTAATAGTTAAGATATATACAGATATACATATACACTACGGACTACTGACAGAATTTTTATCTCGTCTAATCTTTCTTCCGTTCGTTTATATATTATATATATGTGCTATACGGCGAGTTGAGATGCATTTGTGTTGATAAGATATCAATGACGTCAAAGTATATCAACGACCTTGTCTTCCGAGTAGACTATTGCGTTGGACGCGATTTATATAGGAGCAATATAAGACGAAAAGCGATGATTCGGTGGAATGATAGTGCAATGGAAGACAGATGTCTTATCGTTTCAACGATAAACACTTTTGCCACTTATATGTATATATATAAGAGCGCTTACGTATCTGTTATGCGAATATATTCGACATCAGCGTCTTCATGCTCGAAAATTTAATTTTCTTTTGTATAAAAAGCATTTCTTTTTATTGTGTCAATCTTCCTTTAATAGACAAACGAATTAGAATAAAGAGAGAAAGAGAGACAGATAGAGACACAGACACTGAGAATGAGAATGAGAGAAAGAAAGAAAAGAGAATATAAGAGGAAGATAGAAAAATAGAGAAAGAACTATAGCTTTATACACCTGCTCAATTATATATACGTATAGGTGCGTGTGCCGTGTGAAATAGGGCGCCTTCAAGCCTTCCGCTAATTAAAACGATAAGAATTACATGCCATCTGGCGGCCTTGCGTTTGGGAAGAGAGTAAACAAACGGAGAGATTCGCCGACAAAATGTTCGTGTCTATACATACATATTCCACAATAGAAAGTATAAAATGTATATAAGAAATAACGCAGAACCTTTTTCGTAGATACTTAAATGTATATAACGAATAACACATTCTGCCATATATCTTATCCTGAATGGTACAGAGTGTATACATGTCCATTACAATATGGACAACATATACGTAATAAATAAGTTATGTATAATATGGAAATGGGAATTTCCCATATAATCGGTCGTTGGCGAGAAAGATAGGAAATCGTGAGCGTAAAACTCCGGCGGGAAATGATGGAAAAGCGGAAGAATGCAAAGAGCGATAGAAGAGCGCTGCGCAGTCTGATTACAAACTGAATTGTTTGTGTTAGACTCACGCCAAGAAGTCGTTTCTTGGCGAGTTATTGCCGGCTGGCCGCCGGCCGTTTATTCTTTATATACAGTATACCGTATATAACGAACACCTCGGAGCTTTATAAAGTCGCCGTTTTATATGCTAGCTTCCGTTATATTCTTATCGTTTTCGTTCTTTCTTTATTCGTTTTTCCGTCTCTCCGTCTCTCTTTCCCCCTCATTGTCTTTTCCTTCTTTTTACTCTTTTCATCAATATTCCCTGTTTTTACAAAATAAATACATATTATTTATATATCAAAAAAAAAAAATTTTAAGGTATATACTATATACAATACATAGATAGTACTTGTTCGGTTGTCGCTTCTCCTTCAAAGAAAATTCGTAAGCAAAACACAACGCCGGCTCGCATTGTGCCCGAAATTGACTTGGCTACATGTACACAAAACGTTCAATCAAGCCGACATGAACAAGCTACAATCGCGTGTTTATCTCTAAATATTGCGCTGCATATGAGCAAGGGGAGGCAGGTGCGCTCAGCATGCTCATGATCACTTCACACCAGTTAACAATGCGCCTATTCGTTGGAGTCGTCATTGTTGCCCGCCGGCTAAATAGCGAACGAAACTTTTTTTCTTTCCTTTCTATCATTTTGGCTTTTCAAACTATTAGTTCCTTTTAATTTTATACTCCTACTTTATATCCCTAATTTCTAACACATTCACAATAGGTATACTATCTGTAACTATTTAGTAATACGCTCCGCACATGTTCACTAATAAATGTATCTCTGTAGTTGATAGGACAGCGTATACAACATTTACTAAATGAATGTATATATATGTATGTATACATTTCAAATGAAAATATATACCTCACATATATACTATTGTAAAGCGTAATAATAATAAGTATAAATATAAATATAAGAATATAAATATATAAATATGTAAGTATATAGATATATATTTATGTATTGTAAAAAAAAGACCATAAAGCTGCGACAAATTGAACACTACTAGTCCGTAGACATTGACTGATGACGACAGTTGTTGTGTGCGACGATAGGTCGTTATTAGCGCAGCGGGACGCGTTTAGTGGCGACTTTACTCCACAATTGGCCGATGCAGGTGCGAGCACCACACAAACACAACATTGCAATCAGGTGAAGTCATGCTGCGACAGCATTGATCATACACAACGCTTGCTCACAACAATAACTTTGCCTTCTTCTGCTTTATAATCGCCCTGCATTATGCACGGCGCGATTCGACCTTTATCGATTCGCCATTTCCCACCTAATTACGTTCGCCTTAATCGCTTCTAGTCTAACTACCGTTTCGTACGTCTATAGTTTTTTTTCTTTACGTACTTTAAACCTAATAAACTTCTCAAATCGAAATAGGGTTTATGTTTATTACACTAGTGTTTGTTTTATTTCAACTTTTCGGTTTCGAAATCACGCAATCACTGGTCACAAGTCAGTAATGAGCTTCTCGGCCCTTTGGGCTCTGCCCTACAAACTCATTGAGCCATAACCCGTGTCGTCAATAGTCGACATTCCTCGGAGAATCGTTTCTAATGGTATAACGACATACGTTCACAACTTTGCTTTCCATAAATAGCATGTATCGCACTTAATTCTATATACTTAGCAATTCATACCCCATTTTCTTCTGCTTAGAGCCAGCGATTGGAATTTATATTTGTAATTATTACTTCAGTATATACAAGAGCAATTTTCAAGTCTTTCAAACGTTTCTTTATGCACACTTTTTTTTTGCATCACTCAATCATATAATATCCTATATATTTATAAATAAACGGTATACTGGTATTGGATGCGAGTGCACGTTATTCTAACATCTGTTCATTTTATATAAAATATTTGTATGCAGAGCGGGCTTTCGTCAAGAATATAACTATTGATTAGATATATATTACCGTATTACTTATTCTTTTATACTAAATATGAAACTTCTTCAATGTGCGTATAGTCTTATTTTGTATTATACTACGGATACGATTTTTATATACGATATTTAATAAACATATACGCAATAAAACTATTAAACCTCAATCCGAATCCCCACACATTCATATACGCCTATATATTTATACTTATATTTATACGTCTGTCATTAAGTTGACGATTCACCCCTTTCTTTTCATTTGTCAGCGTCAGGATGACAGCTGACGAGGATTTCAGGCCCATTGACTGCATAGTTCACTAATGACTCTATATCGCCTTCTAGTTTCTTTCTTCGTTAATATCTTATATAGGCAAAAGAGAAAAGTATATTGCTTTTATATATACGAAACTGATGGAGAAAAGAGCGAGTCGATATGTATGACAAACGGACGTGCACAGTTTACAAACAAGATTGAGTGGGTCTGCTCAAGCACTTGCGAATGTCAACACTCTTACCTAATCAAGCAGCAACGTGAGACGGAGGTTAGATATCATTCCCCATAGCAACGTCAACACTGCATGTTCAAAATTTTCAGTATGTAAAAGGTTGAGAAGAAAGGGAAAAAATTCTTTTTAACTCCTACCGCATTTTTTTAATATCGCAACTGTTCGTTAAGTTTAAAAGAATTTCTTTTACAAGCAAAAAAGTGGCCTTTTGGTAGGTAAGGTTGCAATTATGTACGAACCTAACAATTTAGAGTAACGTTATACTTATATTTAACACACACGGTATCAATGTTTATAATATGTGTATATATATCTTTATATATAGTTTGCAAAAAAATTCTTTGGAGCATAATAAAAATTAAAGTTTGTAATTGAGTCGTTATTTTGCTTCTTCAAAGTTTGTAATATATATAAACACTTTCTATATCACTGCATCATTCAACACTCTCGCGCTGTTCTTACGTAGAGTTTGATATGACACTCTATAACATACAAACACAGCGTATCATCTAGCAATAAACTTAATCAAGATAAGAGCGTAATTAATCACCGTATTGTGTAATTGTGCTTGTGCTGCGCTAGTTGTTCGAAAGGTCAGGTCTTACGCAACAGGCAGTGCTGGAAAGTTTGAGGAGCAATATGATCTGAGCCTGGCACTCATCACAGATACCACGCCTGCTCCGCTAGCAGTGCCACCACTTCAAACATATGATATACACCAGTCGGGGCGGAGCCAGCCTCTCACCTCATTTGCATAATGTATGCGTTGATCAACCAATGGCGATGAGAGCCCATAAATCTTTTACGGCTTTGAGCTTTTGTTGCCGCCAAGTGCGAGTTTAGTAGCGAATTTCGAACGGTCGCGTCTCGAGAAATTTGTCCGACGTTTTCTCACCCATTTATGCATGCAGGTATTTATATGAATTATGCATAAACCAGCATTTGTTTGTGTTTTATATGAAGATATAGATAAAAGTATGTCTGACTTCTATTATATATAGAATTGATATGTATATATATAAATATATCTTTAAGTATGCGATCTAGCCTAAATATTTTGTACATAAGAATTTTCTTTATAAATATTCATATATTATATTTATTCAAAATTTTAGTTTGTATACAGATATAGGAAATTAGGAATATACACATATACTTATGTGATAAATTATAGATGCTGTAATGTCTCTTAATAACCCGCACGTCAATAAAGAATGACGGTGCAACGTAAGGACATAAATGGCAAAGCATTGTTTGTAGTTTGTCAACAAAGTACCAGCTGTCGCATATTGTATTGTCTTTGCTTCTAACACAGCAGTTCGTGTTTACAAACTGCTGCTTGTTTGTCAATGTCACAAAGCTGACTGTCTTGTCAAACATAAACGACAGACAACAATTGAAAAAAGTTGTGTCTCTGGATATACATATGTATTTACGAACTATAAGACTATTACACAAGTGTTTGTGTCAAATCGGAGTTTTTGTCTGAGTTCAGAGTGATTCCAAACAGCCGCGTGCTTCTTATCGTTATAACTTTCATTATTGTAGAATTTGCATAATTTATACAAACAGATGGCGCATAAAACTTCGAGAATTGGCTCTGCTGCGGAGTTGGAATTTTGTACGCAATCGAAATCGAAATTATCTCATCAATATTCTCAGGCATCGGGAGATAGGAATATATTCGTATCGCCTTTGGTAAATATTCAATAATACACTTATATACAAGTATACTATCTATATACACTGAATACATATATCAATATGAGGGTATATAGATATGTTTAAAAAATCAATTATTAATTGTTATCTTTATTGCTTCGTTGTTTTATGTAACATTTACGGTTTTCTTTATTTTGTAATAAAGGCATCGAACTTGGACAAAGGAAATTCATTCGTTTCCCAGGACTTTCAAAGCAGCTATCCATACACATGGTAGGTATAATATAAAATAAATTATTCGTGGTTTCGGCCTGATTAAGAATGGCGATAAGAAGTAATGACAGCGTCTGCCTTCTTTCAGCTATTCACAAGCTGATTTAGCCGCTCGACGCAAAATGGCCACAAGAGAAGGTACTTCTATACTTAAACGATGGCTGTATGACCACCTGAAGAATCCATATCCGACAAAAGGAGAGAAAATAATGTTGGCCATTATCACAAAGATGAGCTTGACTCAAGTGTCCACTTGGTTCGCTAATGCACGACGGCGCCTAAAGAAAGAAAATAAAATGACATGGTCGCCAAAGAATAGAACTGACGAAGATGGAGAAGAAGAAGAGGAGGAGGAGGAAGATGAAACTAATGATTCCAAAAAAAATGATGATGATGATGAAGAAATTGATGTTACAGGTAAAATTTTATTAATTTTCAAAGCACAATTTTGTAATTTAATATTTAACTATAAAAATTTGAAGGTGTTTAATAAATATACGGTATTGAGATTAGTATAGGAACGCAGGTGCCAAATACGATTGTTGACTGTTTGTTAAAGGCGTATTTGACAAAGAGTTTAAAATGTGCAACATTATGTAATAAGCATTTAGAGTTATTTCGTTGTCATAGGTTATTGACGTATTAGTTGTTTCTAGTAATTCCACCGAAAAAATTGCATATAAATTACCATAATTTATTACGACTTACGTACTTAAGGACAAACGATAAATCATCGAATCGAATAAGAAAGTGGTTTATATACTCTGATTTCTGATTGATGTACGAAACGACGCGCGGCGTCGCAAATTTGACAATATAGCCAGAGGCAATGCCACTTTCCCGTAGAAAAAATGTTCCATTAAGCATCATCATCGACAATACGAAAATGTGTGTAATTGCAGGAAACTTGGACGAGGACGCTTTATCTGATGTTGATAATGCCGCATCAAAGCAAGTAGAAGCTCCTTTAATAGCCGAGGATAGTAGAGGAGAGAAAAAAGGGAAAATTTGGTCTCTAGCCGATACGGCAACTTGCCAAGAAAATGAAGAAGAGAAGAGGAAACGCCGGGAAGAGCGACGCCGTTTCTCCACCTTCCCTTCCTTCCTCAATTATTCTCCATATTTAGGATATGTTTCCATACCAACGCCATCTACAGCTTTTGTCACTTTAAGATAGTGTTGATAATCTTTTGTTAATGTGCTTAAAATCGTGTATATATGGATACGTATGTATACAATTGGGATGTGTAGTATAAATCTGTATATACTGTATATCTGTATATATACGATATATATCTGTAAATGCATGTACAAAGAGGCCGCGTCTAGTCGAGTTTGTGATATAAACGCGCTCAAGTTGTATATTCGTTGTACGTATAATTGTATATATATATATATATATACAGTTATATGTATTATTATGTTTTTGATTATTTATATATATATATATATATATATATATATATATATATATGCATGTATATATGTTGCTCGTATGTATATATAACAAATACAATAATATAAGTTATTTCTAATTTATAAGTACTACGTGTCGTACTTTGTATTTATTCAACTGCACTGTAAATAGTTCTTTTTTAAAAAAAAGATGTCGACTTTTGACACAAAATAACAAAATCTCATATTCTTCAATTTTTTTCTTGTATTATTAATAACCAGGTATAAAAAAATAGGGTAGGTCAAGGCGGTAGGTTAAAATATACCTTTTAGCTGAATATATTATACATATATATCTGAAACGGGCGGAAAGGTTGAAGACAGCCATCAGATAGCACGAAACTACAGACAACAGGGCGCCTGTTGTAAGGAGTAGATAAAAAGGTAGTAATTATTAAGTCCGACATATAAATATATATAAACTATATACAATACATATATATCTATATAAGAAAATATAGGAACTATAGATATACACGGTCAGCACATATATATATATATAAAGGATATAACTACATATGTTTATAGATAGATAGGCATATCTTATATATATACATATATATACAATATACTAATATATATATATTTATATATATACAGTGTATTTATATAAATATCTAACTATAAACTAATACTTAGCAAACGAAAGTATGGATTTTAATTTTTTTTTATTTGTTGATGTTAAAAGTTGAAAGAAGGGAAAAAAACCAAGGGTTGTTGAATTTCTCCTGAGAATTGAACAGAATTGACTGTATTAAGTTTGTATATTTAAATAATTATTTAAAATAATATGGTAAGGGAGTAAGGGCATAAAGGTAAATTTAGATGAAGCAATAGTAAAGGATGAAACAGGTGAAAAAAGTCTGATGAGAAAAAAAGCAACGGTGATCGCGCGCGTCACTTATCGAACATCTATTGTCGTTAATAGTCGGTTTCAACTTTCGGTGGCGCCAATTGTGATTTAGCTCGCAAACAGACTGTATATATAGAAACGACTTAAATGCTATACGATAATATCTTTCTCGCCCAACCTCTCTCGTCCTCACCTCATTTATTCGGTTATTTCGGTCATCTTATAGCCCCCTATCACTCCTTTCCCGCATCATTTAAAGAAAAGGCAAAAACCATTTCATTATAAATCTAAATTACTCTTCTTCGCATGTACGCATAACAATATATCTATATATTACATATTGGCACGCGTCCAGGTGGCTACAAGCTGCCAAAGTTCAAACGACCGATCGCCGAGATGAAAAGAAACAGTATCTGGAGTGAAACGAGAGACTAGGCACTTGTATGAAAACATAGACGGAAAGATGGTATGCATATGGGTCAATACAGTCTTATACCCCACACAGGCTCGCTCACACACACACGTACACAGACACACACACACAAACACATAGGAAATTACGTTAACGCCATTCCTAATTAGGTTATAGGCGTCTCACACGAGACAGAGGGCGTCGGTTGCTTCTAATTATTTAATTTAGCGGCAGCTATCAATCAGAACTAGTCAGCCTTGTCGCCGACCGAGTTTAGTAATAGTTTTACACCCCGCTGACGAACGCTGACCGCGCAATAGGAATTTGCATAATAACGCTTAGCTGCGCGTACCAAGCCAATATCCGCCGTCACACACATTATGCACACAGCTGCCTTTATATATATGGACGCGAAAAACGACGTCTTTCGCCGGCGTCTCATTTGACGGCGTTAGGAGACGGGCGCGCAGCTTCATTTCCGGGCAAACAATGCAAGGGTCAGCGCCATATTGAAGTCTACTACTTATCTGCGTAAACAGTGCGCAATTCGATCATCTCGCGTCTGTAGGAGTTTTTTAGGAGAGTAAATTTTACATTTATGTCTGTGTATTTAACGGTCAAGTATTAGAACGAGAGTTTTACGTGATACGTTCATTTCCCTCGAGTAGAGCATAATCAAGCAGTACTATTGTTTATTCGACCTTATTTCTTTTTCTCCCCTTTATCCACAGCATAACTATATTCATATATGGACAGAAAAGATTGGAACAGAAGCACATTTAGAAATAGGGCAAATTTTCTTAATATGAACACTTTTTCTCAATAACTCCATTTATAAAAAAATTAATTATTATTAATATAAACGTACTCAAAAGATTATATATATATATCGTGTGTAGATTAAAGTTAAAAAAAAGAGCAATATAAAGAGAATTTGCAGAAAAAAAGGAGCTTAAGACCTTTATACTATGTAATATACGCTTTCTTAAAATATATTCACTCTCTTGAACTTTGCTACATAACAGAATAACGTCTTGGCCCGTTTCGTGTTTATCGATTAAACAGATCGTGCTTGAATAGAAAGTGGGCGCGCGTATAAAAGTCAAACGAACTCTTTATCAGGGCTGCTCACTCATTTGCAAACTCCTTATAACAATAAAGACAATCCTCTTAAAGCATATTGCACTGTCAACTGTCATCGGTCTTAGTGGCATTTCCATTAATTGACTGTTTATCCATCGTCCGATAACTTATCGCTTCTTTATATAGAGCGGGCCGAGCCTAACGAACGCCTCACTTCCACCGTTTTTTTTTTCATGCGTCACTATTAGCGATTAGACTTTACTATTTAGATATGGGATATTGCAATCTATAGGCCTCAAATGAAACAGATAATGATAACAATAATAATATTTTATACGAAATTTGTTAAAAGTTGATTGCATATTCATCATAATTTTCTTTTTACATATTTTTCTTTTCAGTAAAAAAATTTCGGACGCAATAATTGCCCGCACTCGAGACCGACGCGTCGTCCGCACCGACAAGAACACTTTCGAAAGTAATCAATCACACCAACGCCACCTAGGTGGGTAGGGAGTGAAAAAAAAAGGCAGAAAATTACGCCAGAAATCGACTTCAGACAGAGGCAAAGGGTTAAAACGTCAGTTTCTTGATAGCCTTCTTCTTTCTCACACCTTCCCAAGTGGCGAACCTATACAAAAGAGGGCGTTTACGGTTGGTGTCCCCTCTGACTAGGCACTCGAATAAAAACTCCCCTCTCTTTATATATATTATAGCTACTAATAGGTTTTACATATAGAGCGTATTATACATTTAATCATTGGCGCCATCTGCATTTCATCGCAAGCCCTAGGAGAACCCCCGCAAACTTAATGAAATTGCGATTACGGTCTTTAGTCGCCATCAGTCATCCGCAGAATTATAATGTCAGTTCGGTAAAACAGAGTTTAGCGGTGGCCGACTAGCAGCCAACTATAGAATATAATTAAACACACGCCTTAATATAAATAAGAAATCTATAGCGGTATGCAAAGATTTTCCTTTTACTTCCCTAATTCTCCGTAATCGTTCGGCCTTTATCAAAGCTACGGACGAACGAAACGACGCTTAAGATAAGATCTCGCACGGCTGTAAACAGGTGCATCACAAGCCGTCTCTTACGCAAAATTTATTCACCGATGCCATCTGTTTGATTTTTATCGTTTTTCTCTTCACTAAAAAATAAACTATTTCCACTGTAATCACGAACTGTCCACCTTCGTATAAGACGACCGATAACATAAAAGACGCTAATTACCGAGGAGAATTTAAAACGTTTTCACTTTTTCCCTTTCTATCTTTGTGCCGTCCACCCACTTCATTCTTCAAATATTGGAATGTTTTAAGAAGCCTCTTTTCAATTACTTTCTTTATCCAAAAAATAGGCGGGGGGAAGGGAAGGCAAAGGGGAAAAGAAATATAGAAATATAGACAGAAAAATAGAAGCTGCTTCTCTCATTTCAAAAGAAAAAATTAATAAAAGAAAAAAAAGAGAAAAATGCTACTTTTTTTATTATTGTTTACTTAACACGTGTAAGATTGTTTTCACGTAGAGGAAAATGCGTATGTGTATATGTGCGTATGTGTATATATCTATGTAATAGGCGATAATACCCAATAACACTTAAACTGTAACGCCATCTAGTCTGTTAAACTTGAACCTTCTTCTACTTTTCGAGTGGAACGTTGTGATTTTTTGGCTACGCTATAGATAAGAAATCTTATATGTTAGGCTTATATATATATATTACAATATACTAATACATTACTAAAAACTATATGTATATTTATATCAAATAATGACGTAAGTTTAGTAATGCATAAATCGGTTTTGGCTATAAATATTAATATATCTGTCAAACTAAAAGTGTACATAGAAAATTTGTATCGGTCGGTGAATGCAAACACCTATAGTATGAACGTACTAAGTATAAAGAACATATTGTATATGAATATATCTATGTACTTGACATATATAGATACACTTTACATGCAAATACATTTATCAAATAAAGAACGTTCAGTCTACGACGATAGTCTATCCATTCTAGAATATTATTTAAACATATGTGATATGTGTAGACTGCTCGTCTATTTATTTAAATATATTTATATAAAAAATATGTAAGTCTTATTTATATATATATAATTTATATACAGTATATTTATCTATATGCATAAGTCGAACAAAGTTTGTCCATGTCTCAAATCAATTATTTATCCTGCTTGAAGAACGTCATCGGCGGAGATTTAGAGTTGTCTTTACGCAGAGTGCGCTTCATTTATATATATTGATTGCCGCTTTAAATATAATACGGAAAGTATAAACGCCGCAAAATGCAGTGCCACGTCAGTTTAGCAAAGAAACGCTATCTGGGCGTCACTGTGCAGCTGGCATCAACCATCTAGGGAATTTGATAATGTCAACAGTTTGTGGTGAAAGTCTATTGTTGCTGGACTCGAGCCCTGATTGAGGCTGGCAATTTGCGAAAGACGCCCATTTGACGCCCTCGCGTAGCATGTTAAACAGGCCGTCCAGAGGCGTCGCATGTACGGTATACACAACGCAGACGACCGGATGTAGTAGCAAGTGGAAAAACGTGTCGACGCTGTGCGTAGCCTACACTAATGGAAGGCGTCTAGCATTCAGGCGTCGATTCTAGCAATATATAGTCATTGTAGTCACCTATGGTGCATGAAGTAGCGATATGAAACACGAAAACATCATTAAAACTCGTCATACTCTGTCAGCCTCACATATAGCCTTTCTATGCATGTCGTCGTTTTTTAAAGCATAGATTGCGCCCCTCCGTGAACTTCAAAGCGTTCCGGAAATGAATAAAAACATCAACTTTTCTAGCTCTCTTCAATGAATGATGCTTTATGCCAGTACGTCACTATTCCACATTTTTGCCGGCTCCAATTACGCGTAAACATACACAATATGCAGTAATCACCAAACTCTATGTAGAAATGCCCCAAAACAACGCGATAGGAATACTAAACACTTCCTTTATTCTAATGTATAAATAGAATTGAATAAAATTACATACGTTATGTACTTTGATATTGAAATCCTATGACATATATAATACATCTATCCCTCTACAATCTAAGCATAGATACAAAAAAGAGAAATTAGAAAAGAACGTGCAGTAGGTTGGGGCTTAAACGATTGCCCGCTTGCTTCTGCAATGTATATATACTTTCTAATGCGATAAAGCTGTGTTCTCCTCGTAAATCTTATTCGTAATGAGCGGTTAAAACCTTGGTCGGAAACTTGTTGACCTATAACCTTCGATAGATATACAGATAGGCCATTTATAGTCGAATTTTCTCTTTCCCTTATTAACTAAGTTCTTTTTATTTTTTTTTTGTTAAAGCAACCTCGATCTGTAACAGACAAGTTTAGAGTTTTTTTTTATCCAATGGAATCTCAGAAGCAGATTATCTACATAAAATTGTTATTTATACTCATTTATAACTCATTTATTTACTTATTGAATAAAGTCTTTTGTAAGTAGCCCAATTTCCTTCTTCAAGTTTCCCTAATGAATTATCAGATGTCAAATCTGTTAATCAGTATCACTATACATACGCCTATAAATTAGGCTTTCTCTGTATACGTACATTATCTCATTTTATCTGATTGCCATAGGGGATTTAGGGAATTGTCTTTCCTCAAAGATACGTCATTGAAAGGTGGAACAATTGATATAATTAGATAATTAACGGAGCTTATTCTACTTTTCATTTTAAAACTAAATGGACGAGGGGCAAGTCTTGTAAGAGTTGCTTGTACTATGTAAGTTTAACGGTTGATATATACCAGCTGATCTTCTGGTTACTAGTGAAACTGTTAGAAAAAAAAACTTGCACTAGATCGGGCTGGCGGATAAGAGGAAAGGAAACTTAGAAGGAGTTTTATTGAAAATACACCGTCGACACTTGAAAAATTTTTCCAATGTTTTTTATCTGTCTGTCTATCTTTCTTTTTCCCCTATCTAGTAGCTCTTTCTTTCCGATTTTTCTTACATACACCACCATTTACTGTCATTCTCCCTCCTTATTCCTCTTTATCTTTCGTTTTTTTTCTTACCTCTCTTGTTCTTAGCTTCCACAATGTTTTATTGCGTTTATATTGCCTTCTTAACCTCCGCTTATTTGCAACCACTGACTGATTACGTAAACCCCTTCCCTATCTTAACGATTGTATAACGAAGAGAGTTTGGCTGCTGGAACGGTTTAACCCAAAAGCTTAAGTAAATCTCTCCTCAAGCTAATTATGTTTTACAATTTAGTACGAACTTGAAAATGGCGGGGTTCGATCCCCCGTCAACCAGACCGTGTTAGCTGTACGTACAAACAGCTGTCTTAGTTTGTAGCAGATCTAGACACTTTGCTGACTGATGAGCGAATGATTGATTATACTATAGGAGCTACTATACTCTTTCAGTTAATCTCTATACGCTTGTATACGTACGTCTTAGTTGCACGCATGTGCATATACTGTACACGAGTAGCGCACGGATAGTATTATGTAGTTGATTTATTGCTAATCAATTATATAATTATTCACGTTTTTAAACATTTTGTTATCTCCCTGGTAAGATATATTTATTTTCGTTTTATCGGTTATGTTAGACTCTGCAGATATATTTGTAACGAACTGAACCTACAAGTATGTATTCTGTACGAGTTTTTAAGACAAGTATAAAAGGTTCTTTCTTCTTAGATCAGCCTATATAGCCGATCGTCTGGAAAAAAATATCATATATTAGAGTATTTGAACAAAAAGCACGTATATTTGACAAAGCGCTAAGCTTCGATGCTGGCGTGATTGATGCACGCTCTTGCGGCGCATATGAGCGAAAAATGTATCTGGACAAGGCATTCTTTCACAAAACATTATCCAGAACAATATGTTACCTCTGTAGGTGAGCTTTGAATAGAAAAAAGTACAAAAAAAGACACGCTTTTTATTCTATAGAATAAAAAGAAGTAATAGAATTATAATATCGCATAAAATTATTATTAATATCTTTGTTATCATTGTTATTATCATTATTATTATTATTATTATATCTGTAAGTATAAGACTATTCTACAGTTTGATTCGTTATCTGATTGCATGTATTCAAATTGGCCCATCTGCCGGCGCCACATCAATCTAAATGCCAACAATCGAGCCTTTAAAAAAGCTTTTCAGCACTTTATCACATAGGCCTTTTGACTCAGTGAGCGGACAAGACACGTTTGGCATGCAGCGCCGCAATTGGCGGGCATACGTAATCAAGTAACCAATGAGAGTGTGCTATCGATTCTACAGAAGCTTGTAGTGAGTGAGAAGGTACAAGAGCGTGACGACTGAGTTTGTGTTTCACTCATGATAAGCGAGCAAACTAATGGCGTCTTATGCGCAGTTTACATATTCTTCTGTGACCTCTGCCCCGGTATGTTCCCTGTTTCTCTTAAATAGCTAGAGAAGGAGCAGTAGCTTTTCCTCTTTTTTTTTCCTTACTCTCTTTTCACTGTTTTTTTTTTACTAATACGTTCTCCTCACTTTCTCTTCTCTACCCTAATAAAACAGCTGCTCGCCCCTTCAACATCGGCACCTTCGCCCTCCACCTCCTCTTCACCTACAACGAATTCTTGTTGTGATGGAACTAGGACGGTCTTCACCGATCCAACGACAGGACAAGCCCTATGTTCCTGCCAATATCCGGCAGCACTGCTTTCATCTAGGATAGCTGCAGGTTTAGGATCCGACTATACGTCTTCCTACGCTTCATCACAGTCCTATGTCAATCCTTTCACGGATTCCTTTTACGGACCGTTGGTGAGTGAAATTTATTTCTAAAAATGACTAATAGTACCAACAATAGAGAATTGAGGGGTAGCTCAGGGGGAGGCAGTGAACAAAAAAGGGGAAAAAAGAAAACGACGTCCGACGTCACAAAGCAATAGTCATGCACAAGTGCAAGCTCAATAAAGCACGAGAGAGGCATAAGCGGCGCAGAATGACGACTAAATTGAGTTAGTGACGGCGCGCTTTAGTGTATATACATTGAGGCGTCTACTGACGAGCGCATAGCATGACGCTTCTACTTTGCCATTTTCATGAGACAGTATATAGTGCGGTTTAATGTCATTAAAGGATTGTAAGTTTTCGTGCTACATATTTTTTTTGTCGTTTAGACGGCTTCTGCTTATGCGGCCGCTGCAGCATCAAATGATCTTAAAGACGCAGCTTCTTCCGACACGGTTTGGAGATCGATTCCTCAACCTGCAGCCTATTCCTCACCTTATCATTACGACGCTGCCATGACCCCATATGCCTACAATGGGTATGGAATATCTTCTTTTTATCCCATTCCGCCCCTGTCCCAAAGTCCCTAATTACAATGATTGTTTCATAACTCTTTTTCCTCCACACTATCCTTTTTCCTTTAATACAAAAAAGAAGAAAAAGGCTTGGATACAAATTAACCATTTTTTTCTTCCTTTCCTTTGTTATTAGTTACGGTGCCGTTGATTTAAACGCCAAGCGTAAAAATGCTACGAGAGAATCGACAAATACTCTAAAGGCTTGGTTGTACGAGCATAGGAAAAATCCTTATCCTACGAAGGGTGAAAAAATCATGTTGGCAATTATAACGAAAATGACGTTAACCCAAGTTTCTACTTGGTTTGCCAACGCTAGACGGAGATTGAAGAAGGAAAATAAAATGACTTGGTCACCTAGAAATCGTTCAGGAGACGACGCCGAGAGCGAGGACGATGACAAAAGTAACAATAACGATGACAAACAGGGGTCGGATATAATAAGCATCGATGGAGGTAAGAAAAAGGCTTTTAATTTTTTAGTAGAACAATTAGAATATACTATCTATATTAATAAGAGGAACGGACGTAATTAGGCCTGTATATATTCACAGATAGGATAGATAACGAAAAGGCCATTAACGGCGAAAAGACAGAGAGTAATAAAGATAAGCCGCGAATTTGGTCTCTAGCCGACGTTGCAACTTCATCGAATCCACCATCTAGCTCAACAGCAAGGATTCAATTAGGTAATTCATGGAGTACATATGGTCTAACTAAACTACGGCTACCCTCTAATTTTCACCGACCTATGGAGGCAGGGAACTCTGTGAACGGTAGGCTTTTACCTATTTATTCACTTAACCTTAATTTGCGTAAATGCTTATAATAAATAGCTAATATCATATTGTTTAAGTGAACCTTATCAACTTAAAAATTCTCGACTTAATCATTATGAATAATTCTTTTTATCTGTTTATATTTAGAGTGCGAACCTGGAGAAATTAAAATCTCTACCCCAAAGTCTCATTTTTCAACGAATAATTCAATAAGATTAGGCAAAACATAGGCTAAAATTTCAACTCGACGCGATTAAATGTCCGTTCGTTAAAAGCAACTTGGCGTCTATGGAATGGCGCACGGAGTCATTGACAACCTGACTGCTATATGTATACATTTAAATTAAATAATTGTATTCTTGTAATATAATATCTGTACTATGTGGAAAAAAAAAACTAATGGTATCTATATATATATATATATATATATATATACTGTATTTACTTACTTAAAATATAAAAAGTATGAATCTACAATGTGTAATATACTAATACAAAATTACTATAATTTATATAAATATACATATTCATATATTAATATATTTATATATATATATTAATATATATATATATATATATATATATTTATTTATAATTTGTGCTTCCATTCTCGAGCAAATATATATAAAATTTGTATTTATATATTTATTCATATAATCTTTACATGTGCTTGTAAATACTCTTATTTTGTCACAAAATGATATGCATGCTAGACGAAAAATGGATTTAAAAAAACAATAAAAAACTCAATGAATTCTTCTTCTTTATAAAAACAATATATGTGTGTCAATGAAATAAGCATAAAATGCTTAAGTAAATAAATAACAAATTAAGGATTTAGTTGAATAGGTAAAGGTGGGTGGAGGAAACTGAAAAAAAAAGAGAAGAATGGAGATTAAAAGAAGGAGAAAGGAGAAAATTAAAAAGGAATAATTCTCTACTTGAGACGTAAAATGACAGCATTTTTTCTCGTTTTCAAGTGTTTACTTAATTTCAAATATTTAAGAAATATTTTTCGTAAGATAGGAGTAAAACCGAACTTAGAAAGTATAACCGGAGGCTGTATATCGCGACACTTGTGAGGGCTTTAGGTTCGATCGGGATTAGTAAATGTGAAAGCTTTGCCTAAAGCATTTTGTAGCAATTCCATCCGAGCAGGGGTGGTAGGGGGTAAAGGAATGAAAAGATAAGAGAAAAAGAATCCTTAAAGCCTTTTAACCCTCAAATTAGCAGGAACTTTCATTCTTTATATCTTAATCGTCTATTATTTGTTTTTACTTCTGTTCATATTATAACGACACTCATTCACTTCGATTATTCGAGAAAAGAAAAGATATGAATAGAAAAAAGAGAAAATTTAGCACTTTTTAACCCTGCATAGGACTGAAAGGGGAAATAGTGAAACCCATAAAATATACAACCTGATAACATGTTCGAACAATAGCAATAGCGGTAAATGTACAAGAAAATAGGTGGAGTTTAAGCGTATGAAAAGGAGAAAAGAGGTGTGCAAATAGAGAACGCGTGAAGAGTCGCCTGGAGCTCGAGTACGGGCTCTAAGCTGCCAGGTCTTTTTCATTCACCGTCAAATAGAACTTAACTACTATTTGCTTCACACAAACAGCTCCGCACTTAACAAAACGGCAGCCGTATTTATATGAATGCCGATGAACAATTATATTGGACTAATCGCTTCAACGAGTTGAAAATTTTGGACAAAAACATAAAGGAAAGAAGAAAATGGTAAAAGTGAACTAACAGAAAAAATGTGTAGTGTAGGTATGTGTATTTACTTATTGAAATCGAAGGACATTGAGTGATAAGAAGATAAAGGACACACGCAAACACGCAGATGGAAGTAAAAAAAAAAGGGATAAGACGACGTGGAAGGGTGTTAGGGTTATAAGGGAGAGAGGGGTGGAATATATACTTGGCAGACAAACACTTGTCCTTTCACACGCGGGGCAACCCGAGCATAAATCAATCCAACCGTTTTTGCGCAGCTCGCCAATTGATGAGGCGAAAGAATGGATTAAGGCAAATGTTTCTAATTAGCTCAAATGCGGGGCGGCCTGTAATCTGCTAGTGTTTAAGTAGAGCCGCTCACGGATCGTTGAATGCACTGCAACTCTTTGAATATATGATGTATCTCTACGTATCTATATTTTATTAGCCTTTAACTTTCTTTTCTAATTTTCTTTCTTTTTTTTCATCTCATTTCCTTCCGGAGGGAGTCTGGCATCCCTGACTCTTTTTCCGTAATGTCATCTCTTTCATTCATTCGATCTCTCTATCTACAAACTATATACACCGTGTTTTACATTGCCCTAATTCTGTTATTCTCTTTGTGAGAATTTAAATAAATTTTCAGCACCACAACGTTTACTCAATGCCGTTTCGTTGCTGCAGAGAGTGAGTATCGATCAAAGTTCAATGGGCGACTGCTTTTGTGTTGGACGCCAAACTTTCAATGTAGTATTGATGCAAAGCTTTCGGGCTCGTTAATCCAAATAATTAAACAAACCCGTCGAATTAATATCTGTATTCTCTCTCTCTCCCTCGCTCGCTAACTCTGTGTCTGTCTATTTCCCTGAAGCGCATGCGTTTATACGTCAGGTCGTAAAGTTCGATGCGCTAATTGCCCTTGGAAACATTGACCGTCGTCTTCCGGCTAATCAGCGTGCAGTCGCTTTTATCCTCCTTTACAGAGCCTCAATTAACCAAGTCCGAAGTCTAACGAGCTCGCAGAATTGCACGTGTAGACGCCCCGCCTCTGTTTCAGAAGCCTGCTGTGCGCTCGAGGCAAATTATTACATTTCTCCTATATCTCTCCTAGTTGATTGACGTAATGGGTAAAATGTTCAGGAGCCGGAAAGTTAGATACATAGCTTGTGATGAAAGATTTATACATATTAAAAGATGTAGAATTGTTGTTTATACATTGGTTTTGTGTACTGTTAATGATTTCGTTGTTTTCAGTCGATAGAGTGGAAATTTTTTTTTTTGTTAAAACTGCACTGCTTCATGAGAAAGGAGTAATTCGTCTACTGCAATTATTTTAAATGTATTCCCTATTATTCTCACAAACCCCAACATTTTACCGCATTTATGAAAAAAAAACGGTTGTTTTCAACATTTGTTCGATTTGATGCAATTATGTGCCATTTGCGTTTATGCTGATTACCCTTCCGCACGCTTTTCTACTGCAATTGCGACCGAGTTGCAATGGTGCGGAATTCTTTGAAATGACAAACAATCGTAGACGCGTTTATCCAGATAATCTTCAATCAGAATGTTCTAAGCTCGCCAATCGACCGGCATTTTCGAGTGGCAAACTTTGCCAGATTCTTTTTCTCTATTTAATACTCAACTAAATACACTCTCGCTATACCAGTATATATCTTCGTAAACCAGTTTGCCTATATACTATACATATACACCCATATTGTAACACCATTATGTGTATATTGACATTGGCACCATACACGCAGGTGCGATTACTAATTTAAAACAATATCCAACAGATTTATACAGTCAAAATATTTATAGACACTGCTTAATTACGTAATTTCAACACGCAGTGAGGGTCCTTTCCGTAAAGTGAATTTTTCTATAAATATATACATGTATTTATTTCCATAAAAGCAAAAAAGTGCTTACCCTTTTAACGGGATTTTTTTCATATATTGCTGTACATACTGATTGTCCGTATTATTCCATATTTTTTACTTCATGTATATACTCTTACATCTGTTTTGAATATCTTAACTGATAAGCTTTTATAGAGATTTAATGCAATCAGGCCTAGTGCTATCACATACAAAAACCGTTCACCGCGTGTGATTTACGAGTGTTGTTGGTCGTACGGACAGTTTAACAGAAAGATGACACGCTTGATAAGCAAACGATGTCAAAGTGCGCATCATCCATACAAACAGCAGCTACCGATGAAAAACAACGATTGGGGTGGGAAGAAGAGCGAATATAATATTTTTGAAAAATTGATAGAGAGAAAAAATAACGAATAAACGAACGAATTGGAAGCAAAAGGAGGATAGAGAGAAGAGAAAAACAGAGGAGAGACCATCGTCGATTGGGGAAGGGCATAAATTTCAATTTGCTTCGTTTATCGGTGCTAAAGCGCGGTTTTATCGGCGAAAAAGTTTTGATAGGCACTCGGAGAATACTCGTTGGAAGTCAATAGATGATGTAATATAGTATAGAAAACAATGGATCGTTGAGCGGACTGGAGTTGGCGTTCAACTTCCTCTTTAGTTACTGTGCGTATACAACTTAATACAAGTTATATGCTATGCACATAAATATTATTTGTTGAGCATATAGAACTTAATTGTTAATAGTTTTTAAACGATAATCCGGTATTGTTCCTTACACAGGTACATATATGGAGCAAAAGTAGTACAATGTATCCCTAACTAATAACACATTTCGTTCCTGTCATTTCTGCCTGAACGAGGGCGAAATGTCATAAATAAACACCGTCGAGTTGATTTGTTTACTCACCACGTATGTATAATAGAGATTCGCTAAGAATAACAAAGAGAAAAAGAAACAATTAAATAGAAATTTACTATATACAGTAAACGACAAAAAAAACGTTGGCGGATCGAAAGTTGATTGACAAGGTATTCGAACCTTATCAACGGTAAACACGCGCTGCTCTAGTTAATATCGGGCTAATACAAGGTGTTATCAATAAAGTCTTTGTTCTTCTTGTCTAATCATAGCCACTATCTAGATAAGGAACGAAAACAGCAAATGTTTTCTCAATACCTTCTGTCGCTCTGGATTGGTGAGGGTGACAATGTTCTGACAAGTAAGCAGATGCTCACTACTATCAGTTTTCAGACAACAGCCGTCGGGGAGCGGTAAATTAACTAGGCGATAAAGAAACGCATTTACAGAACAAAGAGTAGAAAACTGTAATCCTTCGCAGTCACTATGTAAACAACTATGCCCTCATTTTCATTGATTAGCACCATGCGCCCGGTTGCCGTTCTGCGCTATATAGAAGCGCCGCTAACATTTCTGTCAAAAGTGTAATAGCTTCCGAAGGCGTCACTAAGCGTTCAATCAAGATCTAGTTGAGGAAAATGACCGTCATTAAACGCACGCACATTTGAAAACGCCGACACTGAGGTGTGTTGCGCATGTTTCGCCTATTATAAGAGTGCTTTCGAATTGATTTAACAGCGCCATACTGTTTTCAACATCACAATGCAATCGTTGAGAAAAAGTCGTATGAGCGCTTCTTTTAAAAATCCTTTTCGTATTATCTAGTTATAAGGTGATGGCTTAAATCACAACAACCAGCGCCATCTGTAGTTTTAACCACGAACTAAAAATATTCTTTTTTTTTTAAATTCTATATTGAAAAAATATCAACGTTTTAACTTTTTAAATTGTAAGGAGCGCACATCTTTGTGTTCTTACTCATCACAAAATCATGCTTTTATGTTGAAAGAAAAGACTAATTGGGTTCGTCGAACGAAAATACTGAAGAAGCCTCTTGTCCAACCAATTTTCAGCTTAGAATTGAGCTTTCTATACTAGAATGTTGCGATTTAGACCTCATGCCAGAAGGTTTTAAGTAGTCGTCCCCATACAATTGCATTACATCGGGTCTCTCCTCCTTATGATACTTGAGACATCGTCGCATAAAATACTATAAAAAAAAAGTTGATGGATTAGTTAAACAAACTTATATTTCTCTAAACAAGATTGTTTGTCAAACCTTGGCTTCGTTGCTAACTACAGGTTTCGGTGGGAATTCAACTTCAGTAGCTTTCAAAATAGTGTTCTCTTCCAGTATGGCAGCTTGTGTGAGATTATTCCCAAAAGGCTAAATAAATTTTTGGATTATTTTCAAACATATTTAAAAATAATCCAGTTATCTTACCTTTTTTCCATATAAACATTGGTAAAATATGACGCCAACACTCCAAACGTCTACTTTCGATGAAATCTTTGGTGGATCTTTACCAACAATAAAACATTCTGGAGGTAGATACCAATAGGTACCTGCTCCTTGTGAAGTCAAGTCAATACCAGTACCATCATCGGAATTATCCATAACTTTACTTAATCCGAAATCGGTTATCTTGATTTCTCCACTTAAAGATCCAGCTCCAAGAAGAATATTCCCCGGTTTCAAGTCATAATGTATGACTGGTGGCTTTATCGAATTAAGGTATCGGAGAGCAGAAACCGTTTGAACTATAATAGACCTAGCTTCGCGTTCCGGCAATTGTTTACATTGTTTCAGATGGAAGTCGAGGTCGTTGCCTTCGCACAATTCTAATACGGTACAAAACGAGTTCGTGTCAATTTCAAAAACATCAAATAATCTGACGATACGAGGATGTTCCAGTGACTTGTGAATATTATATTCTCGAAGAGCATGTTTTATATAATTCGCTTTCTTATCATCTTTCCATTCTTTGTTAAGTTGATGGATTTTACAGGCAACGTATCGTTGTTCTTTCAAATCAAAAGCCTTATGAACTTCGCTGAAGCCACCCTTTCCTAACAAATATAATAAGAGGTAACGATCGTTCAATATAGTCTGATTTGTAAATCTAGAGTTATCCTCGGCTGCAATGCGCTTTAATTCACGTATATGTAAATTTCGCTCACGTTCAAGCTTTTCTAGCTCAGCTTGTAAATCAGTATCCTCACGTTTAAGTGCCTGACTTCTTAGTTTTAATATCTCATCACATGCATGCCATTCTTGCCCAGACATTTGATTATTGGCAACATCACGAGATGTCGGCTTTGCAAACCCGTCTTGCTGCACGCTAGCAGCAGCAAGGGCAGCAGCAGCCGCTTTCCCTCGTTTTGTAGTGGGATTTTCAGGAGGTGGTTTCCTTTTAAGCAGTAACTTTCTTTGTTTTTCTATTTCGTCCCTTTCGGAAGTTATGCGTTCTTGTTGTTTGAGTCTCTCTGTAAAAGCAAATCCATCTACCCAATTTTCAACAAATGTCGCCCCTTGTCGTTGATTAATAAATTGGCCTAATCGTAAACGATTTTCCATACACTTTTGCCTAGCTGTTTTTCTATCTAATTCACTTTTTTCGATAAGTAATTTCTTTGTAAAAGTAAGACATTTAGCTATTGTGTCTTTATCTTTCTCTATAAGTTTACTTTGGGCCACGATTTGTTGCCTAAGTTTATCTGATTCTTGTTCTAGAGAGGCAATTTTGGAATTTTTTGTCTCCAAATCGGACGCTGATTGAGCTTCCTTATTTCTTAGTTCAACATAAGTAAGGTCGGTTTGAGAATATTTATGTTCTAATTGTAGTTTTCTGTCGTTAAATGAGTTTGGTTGTTTCTGGAAGATTGGATGAAAAGTCATAAAATATTAATATGATTACATTAAGTGGACAAAGCTAAGATCCTTACCATCGTAACTTGTAATGGACTATAAATTCTTGACGGACTGCATGCTTGAATAGGGGGAGAAACAGTTTGACTGACTCCTCGATTAGGACTACTAGAAGAAATTTGAGTCTATGGTAGAAAAACATGTCAATTTAATAGGTTAAAAGATACTATTATTTTATATTCACGTGCTAAAAATAGCATATAAAATATATTTTTAAAAAATTACCTTGTTGAAATAATCTTGTATTTTCTTAGAATTATTATCACTCTTAGCTGTCTTCCCGTGTCCTGTTTAAGGAAATAATCACCTATTTATTTAAAGACACAGATAACAATACAACTCTCAAATATGTTTGATAATAAAGTAAAATTAGAAGAAAATAGAAATTGACAGCAACCCTTGTTGAATGGCCTATTGTATGGAGTCTGCAAGATAACATTTGCTCACAGTATTGCATATTAGTAGTAACTCATTAACTTTTATAAAAAAAAAGACAAGGGGATATTTAATTCGTATTCGAGCTGATTTATTTTATTGTATTACTGCGCCAATATTTAAAGTCAATATTCTCCGAGGTCCTATGATCGAATTCAATACATACCAGTGTTATTTCCGTCACACAGGTCACCGGTTTTACGTTTTCTTTTCCGATCCAGACCTGAACCGGTACGAGACTTTTCTGGTGTCTATTTTTAACGGAAAAACATATTAAGTGCATTGATTTTAAGTCATATTAGGCAATATTTTTATGAATTTCATTTCCGTAAGAAAATAAGTTAATTTCTTAATAATGAAAGAATTTACCACATCTGTATCATCGCTATTGGTACTTTGTAAAGAACTGGCACTCAGATTTGAATCGGTTTGTTGCGAATGACTTTGAGGAACGACAAAAAGTCGTGAATCAGATTGAATGGGAACCATTCTGGCTTCTAATAGTGCTTGCTTTCTAGGATCGATTTCAAACGTTCCTATTTTAAAAGCTAAACAGAAACAATAGGTTAAATAAAGTAAAGATCAAAGTATATAAAAATCACCATCATCATTCGGAGACCGCCTCATATTGCTGGTGGAAGTGCCATAAATTGACGATGCATTCGCAAATAAACATGGCGCCTCTTGAGGTTTGGAAGAATCAGAAAAAGGTAACGGCTCACTTCTTTTGTCCATCTGTGATATAGGGTGGCTATCCAGGCGTCACAGGTTTTACTGCTGGACGCAGCTAGGCCTAGAATGAGGTAAATTAAGAATATTACAGTTAAATTTTATTTCGCATAAAACATTCTAAGAACAGAAGACGCCACCTTGTAGTAAAAGTTGTAACTAATACAATCACTATTTCTAGTCCTTTTGCAACCTTTTAGGTTGCAGGTTCCGCAGTGCTAAAATTTCCAACTTCAGTTTAACACTTCAATATAATTGAAATTGTTCACTAAAACGTAGAAATATGGAAAATTCGGCAATTAATATAATCAAGGATAACAAAAGGGTACACCAATATACTCAATGTAAACAAATCAGTGCAGACAGAGGCGACATCTGTTAAACTTGGCGACAGCCGGTTTATTGAATTCACATTAATCTCTCAACAACCAGATGGAGCCAGCAGTATTGCACCAAGTAAATCTTAAATCTCGAAAGTAGTATGAGGCAGACTGTCGGAAAAATATCTTTACAAAAGAATATGGTGGTCCGTGAGAAATGGCTTTGTTGTGGACATATTGCTAGATTGTAATATACTCACATTCTTTCAATTTAGCTAACACTAATTCAAAAATTACAGACTGCTGTGAATTTAAATTCTGTCTCGCTGTGTTGCCAATTTATCCTATATCTGAAGCTGATAGCACAGGGACTCAGACGGTTAAAATTCACTATAAGTGGAAGTTAACTTTCGATTTCTTTCTAAAGAGAGAAAAAATTTATTTACACCCAGTTTCACTTTTGTTACAAATATCAAAAGAAATTAAGTTTTAGACGAACGAAAGTTTACCTAATCCCTGCTACCCCCCCCCTGTATCATGTTTTCTCCTCCCTTTACTCTTATTCTAATTATTATTGAAAGGTTTCAAGGCTAAAATAGGTATTTTCATTCTGAAATTTAACCTAAAACAGTTTGTTTAGATGACTTAAAAGAGTTTGAATGGGAAAATATTTTGAATTCAATTTTCTTTTCATCTTTACAAATATGTATCAAACAGAAAATACATATATTACAATATACTGTTGAATAAAACTGATATTATCGAATATTTCAATTTATATAAGTTGAAATATTGATGAAGATAAGATATTACTATGAAAAAAATATTTTTTAGATAATTAACAAATATTTCAGTTTAATCTATTTATCTACTTATCATCCAAGGAGAGAGAGAGAGAGAGAGAGGAATAGTTTTTAATGACTCTCCCATCGAAATCATTTGTGTATGACATTTCTAACAAAAAGCTTCTAATGTAGTAGGCGGGACAGGTAAAGAGAGAGGGAGGGGGTTATGTGGAAGGTGAGGGATAGATGAGTGGTATTAAGAAAACAAACTATTAGAAATTGAATAAAATACTCAATAGAAAAAATGCTATATTAGGAATATCGGTTTTTTTAGAATGTCAAAAGCCTGTATCATTGAGGAGGAAAAAAAAGTCTTCTTTAATAGTCTATTGCCTTTTAATACATTGTAAAAATATATTATACAAACTTTTTAATATTATATACAATATATAATAATATAATAATATGCAATAATACAATATATACAGTATATATATATATATTTATATATATATACAATACTCTATATAGATACTGGAGAGTATATGCTTTTTTGCAATCATACTACACGAATATTAGTATAACAGCTATTGAGTAAATACAGGCAGCTATTACTCTAACGCATATGAATATTATCTCAAAACCTGCATACAATTATAAAAAAAGGATCAATTTTTTGCAAACTAAAAGAGGATTGTTCTGTCCTTAATTACCTAGTTAATTAAAATAAGAGTATTAATTATTTTACTTATTATCGATATACTCAAATATATACATACTTTATATATTTGTATTATAACTAAATATTAAGTATAAATATTAATAATACTATTGAAAAAATTTTTTATTAATCATCTTTAGAAAAATGATAAGAACTCTTAAATAAATCTTACTTCTTCTTTACATATAAAATAGACGATACGTTTTCAGGGATACGCAGCTTAGAGATTACAGGAAGAGGATAAATATAATGGGTAAAGGGGAAGAAAAAAAAAGAGAGAGAGAGGTAGGAGAGAGAAGAGGGAAGAGGAAATAAGAACTGCATTTTCTATGGGAAATTTTTCTTTACTTTTGCGATATGCACATAAACGTAAATTATTTCCATTATATAGAATATAATACAAGAAAACAAACTTGAGACTTTGAGTAAAATTAATTTAATTGGTAATTTTTCACCTAAATTCTTTTAAAAATAACTAAGTTATACATTGTGGATAAGTAATTGAAAAAAGAGAGAATTTAATAAAAGAACCTCGATACTAATGTTTTTTTCATTAAAAGTATTATTCCTTCCTATTGATACTAGCTAATTTAAGTAAATTCTTTCCTCTGCACTATTTTTAATTTAATCTTTTCATCCAGTCTTTCTTTATTTTTTTTTTTATATCTCTTGTTCACTATCTTTTTATTCTTTGTTTTCTATCTTTCTATATCCCTTTCTCTTTTCGGTTGAATTAGTTTGACAATTATTGAAAATTAGTGATTGGAACGGTAAATAATCTATTAGAGCTATACTCTAATGACTACAGTTAAAAGTTATAAAACAATAATGTATTATAAGTATTTCAGGGTATTAAATATAATCTCGTGATTAAATACAAGATAAACACCAATTATTCTTATCCCAGTCTACCATGACAGCCTTAAACCTTAGTATTACAGTTAATCAAGTCACGTTGATTAATATTGAATTATCCACCTTTTTATAGAAATTTCGATCGAAATTGCTTGTCCTATTTACGATAGCGATTACTGTCCAAAGTATAATACAATTGTTTACTGATAAATAGTTGACAAGAGGATTTCGCATTAATTTGAATAATTTAAACTGTACGATTTATTTCAGTTATCTCTTAAAATTCTTGTCTGTTTTTTATGCTCTTTTCATGAAAAATCAGTATCTGACAAGTAAACGAAAACATTTGGCAAATTAAACTAAAAAAAAAGAAAAAATAACAATAAAAAAAGACCATCTGAAATTTCATATATACTGAATATACAGTGTATATACATATACAGTATAATATATATATATATATATATATATAAATTATATATATGTGAATCTTTCAGAATAACCAAATTTTTGAGACCGTCCCCATTAATGATAATAATAATAAAAATAATAATGTCAATAACAATAAAGTAATAAATTATTCATCATTATTTTTTGGTTATTATCAAATTATCACAGATGTTAATAAATTAGTAACAAATGCGTCTTTTTCTTCTAGCAAAAGAACATTTAGCATTGTTTTTTTTCCCAAAAAAAAAAAGTAGAATTTATTTGTATCCTTTGTTTTTTTTTTGGTATAAAGAAAAACTAAACAAGATGACGAAGAAGAGGAACAAATGTTTCAGTCCGAAAAATAAACGGTTTTTTTTAAAACGAGCAACCCATCAGAGCGTAGATGTGTAACAAAAGTAAATATATCACAATTGAAACTTTCATTATATTAGCAGGCGATAACAATCGGCGCCAACCTTTCCGACAAGTAACCAGGCGTTCGGCGTTTAAGAGAGATTTTCGTACTGTTCGTGCTGTGTTATTATTTTGAAAAAGAAAAAACGTATATTGAATATGAATGCTGTTATGATATGAATTTATTATACTCACTTAAGCCAACTTTTGGTATTAAATGCTTTTCTTCACTTTCCTGGCTATTTAAATCTTCAGGTATATCTATTGCTGTTGCGCCAGTAACAGTTGGAGGTCGTTCAGCCTATATAATATAGAATTTTAATATCAGTATAACTCTAAATACAATTATATCATATTATAATAGATTACTTCTCTCTCTCTCATTCTTAATTCAAGATTAGCTATATTAAGTCTTTCTTCTAATTGTTCCCGTATCTCTTTTTCATTAGCTAATGATTCTGCTAACCGTTCCTTTTCTTCATTAGTTTTTCGCAGATCAACGTGTACATTAGCAAAATCAGAAAAAGGTGCCAATTCTATTTCTTCTTCAATGGGACTCGAAGGTGATTGCATCGTCGAAAAAGCACTTACGGGTCTTACATTGTCGGTATGCTTCCGGACCTTATCAGATTCTTCTGCTTGAAGGCTTTTAATCTGCTTTATATTAAAGAAAAGTATGAGATATAAACAAAATAAGGGAAAAAAACTACCTAACCTGAGATTTTAACTGACAGATGAGATCATCCCTATTTTTTAAAGCTTCAAAAGTTTGCTCTAGTTGATTATTTAACATTTCTGAATTCTTATAAGCTTCCTCTTCCCTTTTCTGAGCCTTGCTAAGCTCGACGTTTAAACGTTCTAAATCTGTTTCTTTCTCGTCTAAATCCATACCATATTTATCAATGACATTCTTTAGTTCACCTTCTCTATTCTCCTCGGAAAATTTGATTTTATCAAATAAGTCATTTATTTGACGAATGAGTCGATTGTTGTCCTCTAAACTTTTTTCATGTGCGGGTTTTAATCTATTAAATTCATCTTCAATTCTTCCATTTTTATCCTCAAGCTCTACTAACTTACTTTGTAGAGAGTTATTTGAAGATTGGAATCGTAAAAGTTCTTGCCTTAGGGAGTTTATTTCTTTATGAGCTACTTCAGATTCGTCAATTTGACGTTGCAAGTCGTCTTTTTCTATAATAGAGCGATTTAAATCTGCTTTAATATGTTCCGAGTTATGAGAAAGAACGTCATTTTCTTGTTTGAGTAGTTCAATAGCATTTCTTAGATCTTCAACTTGAGTAGATAGTTCTATTATTTCAGTTTCATTCTCTGAATATTTAGATTTCATTTCAGTTAATTCAGTTTCTGTATCAAATAAAGTATTCTTATAATCATCGCACTCGTCTTCCAAATTGAGAACTTGTTGTTCGTATTCTAATTTGATATTTGTTACTTCTGATGCTCTTTTTTCGATCTCCTTTATTAAGTTGTCCCTTTCGTTTTGTTGTTGAGCACTTTGTTTATCTATTTCTTGTCGCAATTCTTGTAAATTACATTCAGTCTCCTTTAATCTATTCTCTAACTCTTTCTTCTCTTTTATTTCGTTTTCTGTCACATGTGTTTTATTTGAAAATTCTTCTTGCTGCCTTTCATATTCCGATCTTGTAGTGAAAAGCTGAAGTTCAAGTTCTTCAATAGTACCTCGAAAAACTTCTTGTTCTTGATTATACTCTTCCTTAACGTTTATTAATTCCTGTTTGAGATTATTCACTTGGGCAATAATAGGTTTATTTGCTTCAATTTCATTTTGTAATAATTCATTTCTATCCTTCATGGCCTTCAGTTTGATAAGCATCCTGTCGCATTTACTTTCAGCTATTTCTAATTTACTTTTGTTATCATTACTTTGCTTCTGCAATTCTTCTGTATTAATCTTTTTCAAGTGATTTAATTCAGACAATGCGGTTGCTAATTGAGCGTCGATATTTATTTTTTCAGTATTTACCATTTCCAATTGTGCTCTATTACATTCAAGATCTTCGTTTAGTTTAATAATTTCTTTTTGTTGTTCTTTTAATTTATTTTTGTTTTCCAGAGTCTGTTGAGACATTCCGGCGTTTAAATCTGAAATAACTTTTTGAAGATCGTCATTCTTTGACAACAGTTCGTGATTTTCATTTAAAAGCAATGCCATCCTTTCTTCATTTGAGTTTTCCGATTCAATTTTACTATTTTCTAAGTCTTTACTTAATGTTATAATTTTATCTTGTAACTCTTGAATTTTATCATCAGCTTCCTTTTCTTGATTATTGATCTTCGCTTTTAGGTCTTCAATTACCTTGTTTAAGTCTTCATTAACAGATGTCAACTCACCGTTAACATTTAGCAAAGATTCGTATCTGTTTGAAATCTCTTCCATCGAATCTCTTTCAGCAGTCATTTTATCTAACTCAATTTGATACTTTTCAACATCATCATTCAATTTTGAAACATTACTTTGTAGTTCCTTAATCTTATTATCTGAATCAGATTCATGCTGATTCTTATCGTGAGTTAAATCATCAATTCTTTTAGCTAGACAACTCTTTTCAGTTAATAGTAATTGATATTCACTCAAAAGAGATTCGCATCTCTTTGAAAGGTCCTCATTCAAATCTTGTAAACCACTAATTTCTTTGCCATCAATAATCGTTTTATCTTGCCATGTCTGAAGCTTTTCCGTAAGAGTGCATCTTTCACTTTCTAATTCGCAGACTTTCTTTTCTAATTGCTCCATTTCGATTATTATCTTTTCTCCCTTTTTATTAGATTCATTCAAGTCGTGCTCTAATTTTCCAATAAGATTCGTTTTCTCATTCACGACAACTTCAAATTCATCTTGGGTTTTTTGTATAGCATTTGACAACTCTGTAGCTTGTAATTGCAATAGATCTCTTTCTTCCGTTGTTTTCTTTAATTCTTCATGAAACCTTGTGTCATTGTTGACATTTATCATTCTTAATTCCTCCATTTTATTTCTATATTCTTCGATTACGTTTGATATTTCACTGTTACCTCTTGTTTGTAGCTGTTGATAATCTAAATCTAGCTGACTTTTAGATTCACAAATTGACTGATAAGATCGATAAAGATTCTCTAATTCATCAGTTTTTGTTCGGAGTGATGAGCTACTTTCAGTTACTTCTTGCTCCAACCGAGATAATAATAGAGATTTTTCTTCTAACTGCCTCTTCAAGTCGACATTTTCAGCAGATATAGCTTGTAATTGTGTTATATTCATATTTAATTCCGCAATTATTTCATCACGACTCAATATGGAGTTTTTATGATCATTAACTATTTGGGACAATTCTTCGATTTTGATCATTGATTGTTCGTTAGTGGTATAATATATTTTTAATTGATCATCTTTCTCGCGTAAATCATCTTGTAATTTCTGATGTAAATTCGTTATTAATTGTTCTTTCTCACTAATTATGGATTTAGTCATTTCCTCTTCTACCATTATCTTTTTTAAATTCTCATTTAATCTATTTATTTCAGACTCCTTTTCCGTACAAACTTGATTTATAGATTCTAATTCTTTTGTTAATTTCTCTTCCGCTTCCGCTTTAGCTTTCAAATCTACCTTTAGCTTTTTCGCCAGCATTGCAGCCTTCTTCCCTTGTTTCTCTTTTTGATCAATAACTTTTAAATTATCTTTTATTTCATTTTCTTTCTGTTTTAATAAAGTCTCCTTCTCATTTAATTCTATCTGAAGGAGCTTGTATCGCTCTTCAGACTTATCTATTGCATCAGAGAGATGCTGTTCGCCCTCTCGTCCAGCTTCCATTAACTCTTTATATTGTAATTCTAAATTAGTATATTTAGTTTCTGTATTCATGATAGAAGCTTGAATTTGCTCCTTCTCATCTTTACTCTTTTTTAAATCAGAATTAAGCGTCGCTATTTTCTCATTTAGCTCGTTTACCGATTGTTGCAGGGAATCGTTTTCGCTCATAGTTGCTGAGAGTTTTTCTTCTATTTCGACAGTAGCCAATTGATATTTATTTAGTTGTACTTGAACTGCATCCCTTTGATCGCTTAAATTCGTTATCATTTCTAGTTGTTCGTTCAGTTTAATCTCGCTATCAAACTTAATTTTTTCCAAATTATCGTTCTTATTGAGTAATTGTATAATTTCTTCTTGTAATTTTATTTTGTCCTCCTCCAGAGAGTTTATTTGTTCATTTAGAGAGTTGGAATTTTCCTTCTCCCTAGAAATTTGCCTTTCAAATGTAAATGCTTTACTGTTAAGTTCTTCATTTTTAATACCTAATTCTTTATTTTCTCTTTCGTTGTCGTTTATTTGCTTTTCATAGTATTTCAGCTTTTCTTCGAAATATTGTTTTATACCACTAATATCGTTTTCTTTACTAGCGATTAATTGCTGTGAATTGTGATTTTCAACTTCCAATTGATTAAGCTGTTCGTGTAATTCTTCAATTCTCTTTTCTTTGTCTTTCAGATTTTCTTCTTGTTGGATTCCAATTACTCCTAATTTTTCTTTAAATATTAGTACTTCTTTCTCTTTGTCTTCAAGAGCATTTTTTAGTTCATTCTTTTCTCTATCAAGATCAAGAATTAGCTGCTTTGAATCCTGGTGAGACATGCTCGTTTTTTCTTTTTCCGCTTTGGCAAATTCTATTATTTTTTCCAAGTTATCGCTTCCTGCTTCGCTATGTGACAGTTTTACAGATATGTCGAAGTCATCACTCATGCCTTCTTCTGTACAGAAAAGGATGAAAAACTCTTCTAAAGTTTTCATCAACTTATTTATTTCTTCATTTTTATTATTCAAAATATCCTTTAAATCAGTTATATTTTGTGTATATTCTGACAATTGTGCCTCGTATTCGCTAGAAAGATTTTGTGATGCTAAAATATTTTGTTCCCTTTCAGATATGGCAAGAGTTGAAGCTTTTTCCAAAGATTCGTTTAATGATTTCAGAGTAGATAATTCTTCTCTTAGACTTTCCAAATCAGATAATAAATTCTGTTTCTCCTCCATCGTGTCCTTCAAATTGTCATCTAGCTCGCGAATCTTATTAGAAAATTCATGATTTTGAGTAGACAGAGCACCTAATTGTTTTTCCAGCTCCGAACTGGATGAAGATAGCAGCTCATTTTTGGAAATTAATTCGTTCTTTTGACTAAGTAGCGCTGCTTCATTGTCTTTAATTTCCTTATTCAATTGATTTATGTGATTATTTAAAGATTGGGTTTCGAATTTATAATCTTCAATATTTTTGGACAATTCACAAAGGGATAATTTCTGTTTCTCTTTTAACTCCGAAAGTTCGTTTACCTTATCTTTGTTTTCTGTTAATTCAGATTGGAGAGATTTCAAATTTTCATTGAATATTTCCATTTCAGTGCGATTCTTTTCGATCTCTTCAGTTTTTTCCAGCAGCACCCTTTCATTTTCTTGAATTCTTTGATTATATTCGTCCTGGAGCTGTTTCTTTGAGTTCCTCTCTACTTCTAAAAGGTTTTCAAGTTGAGAATTGAAGCTGTTTACCTCTTGTAATTGACATTCAATTGAATGTAGTTTATCTATTGATTGTTTTTCACTTTCTTCCAATTTCCTACTTAATTCTTCTATTTTCTCGTGTTGACTATTCTTTTCGCTTTGTAAATCTTCCATTGATTGATTAAGATTTAATGTCAAACTCTCTAAATAATTTTCTTTTTCAGATAGCTCATGTTGAATTTTTTCAAAAGCATCATTCTTTTCACTTAATGAACAATTTAATGAATCTATTTGCTCCTTCCTGCTTTCATTTTCAATATTTATTTGCGAATGATCGGTAGACAATCTTTCAAAAGTCTCTTTAAGTGTATTATATTCATCTGTTTTTTGTGTTATATCTTTTTCAAGACATAATGAACGTTCAGCTATTTTTTTATTTTCTTCAGCAAGCTCATCTTTTTCTCTTAAATAAATTTCTATTTGACTGCGCAAATCAATTATAGTATTCTCCAAATGGCTTTTGCTATTGTTTGCTTCGCCTTGAATGTTGGAGAGTTCGAGTTGATTCTTTCCTAATTCTCCTTGTAATTGCTCTAATTGCTCGTTCATTTCTGTAACGTTTTCAAAAAGTGATTTAATTTTTTCGTCCTTCTTTACTGAAGAATCTGTTAGATGATCGTGCTCACTACGTAAATGGTTTATCTGTTCAACTAAACGGCCTATTTGTATATCTTTGTCGTTTAGAGTCCTTCTAACCGACATTACATCCTCTGAGCACGATTTTAACTCCTTTGAACACCTTGTTAAGCTATCATTAGAATCCATTAAACGTTCCTCCTTTTCAGTTAAAGCTGCCTTTAATGAGTTTACAGTTTCTTCATAGGAATCTATATCTCTCTTGAGGGTTTCTTTCACATCATTCATTTCTAAATTTGCCGTTTTTAATTGATCTTCTAATTGATTTATCAAAACTTTTGAAGTTTCACTATCTGTTTTATATTTGGTCAATTCTTCAGTCTTGATTTGCAATTCTTGTATAAATTTATCCCGCTCTTCCGTAAATTGATCCTTATCGTTGGCACTAGTAGCTAGTTCATCATCTTTAGCAGATAATCTTTCAGTTAATTTTTCACATTGATCGTTTAATTTCAATATTTGGTTATCCTTTTCATCCCTCAGTTCATTAATTTTAATTTCCAATTCCTGTATTGTAGTAGAATGGTCTTGAATATCCTTGTCATATTGATTACGATTATCAACAGCACTCTTTTCGAATTCAATTAACTTATTTTCAGATTCTTCTAACTTTTTAATTAATTCATTATTATTCTTTTCTAATTTTGCAATATGTATAGATATCTGTTCAGTTTCTTCATTTTTTCGACTATTCATTTCATATGTTTCATCCAATTTCTTAGTTTGATCTAAACGACATAAGAATTACATAGAGAGTACTTTATTTAAATAAACAGCCTAATAGTGAAAAATAAAAAAATAGAAAACAAGTCTAAATATACCTAATAATGAGCTCTCCATTTCAATTATACGGGCCTGTAGTTGACTGTTAACATTTCTCAACTCGTTAGATTTCTTAATTTCTTCATCTCTATTTAATATTGCTGTTTCCTTTAAAAGACAGTATATTAATTATATACATTGTTTAATTAAAATATTAAATATATATATATAGATATATTGTATATACCATTTGTTTTTCAATTTCAGAAATAGACTCTTTTTGATTTTCAATAAATTCTTCCAATGATACAATTTTATTTATTTTTTCTTCAATATTCTCTTTTAATTCATCAGTTAATTTTAAATGTTCCTGATCAGTTTCAGCACCTTGAGATTTACTACTTTCTTCGAGATCTTTCAATAGTGAATCTATAAAAATATTAAAAAACCTTTATTCTTTCTCATTTCATTTTTACTATTACCAAGCGAAGGTTTCACTAATTAGTATAATTAATAAGTTAATACTTCATATCAAAATATGACATAGGTTAGTTAAAAGGTTTGTTAAGCTAATAAAACATGCATATAACCTCTTTGTAAAACTACTTCATCGTAATTTATCAATTTCAATTGAAGTGCACCTTTTTCCTCCTCTAATTCAGCAATACGATTCTGCAAATCTTCTATATTTAATGATTCTAAAGCTTGCTCCTTCTCCAATAATTTTGCTTCTAAAACTTTTATCTTCTTTGTAGCTTGAGCTTTAAATTTCATAGCTTTTGTATCTTGTTTACCCGTACTTTCAGCCAATTGTTTTTTCAAGTTCATTATTTCTTTATCATAGTCTATATACTTAGTTTCGGATTCTAAAACTCCCTAAAAATATTTTAAAATTTAATTAAATACTTAAAAAATATTAATATTCATGAAAACAAGATTAATTAACCTGTTGAATTTGTGAATTTAAATTTTCAACTGTTTCGTTTAAGTCCTTAAGTTTTTGTTCGTAACTGAAGCTTAATTCACCAATTTTATTACTTAAATCTGTCTTTTCGTCTTGTAAAATATTTAAATTAGTGTCATTTTCTCTTATAATTAATCGAAGTTGATCTATTTCGAGTGTTTTGTTATTCAATAACATATTACTATCGTCTACTCTGCTTTGAAGCGATTTTATAACCTGACCTTCCAAGTCTATACTCTGAGATGAACATAATTCTGATATAACTTTTTCATGACGCTCCATTACATTTTTTAGATCAGTTTCCCTTTTTTCAATTTCTACTTGACGAGCTTTTAACGTTTCTCTTAAAGTTTCAACTTCACTATCTTTCTCACTAATTAACGATCTCAAAGTGTCTTCAGATAATCCGCTATTTTTTTGTAAGAGTTTTATTGCTTCAGTACGACTCCAAATTACTTGATTCTTTTCAGTGACTAGTTCTTGTAAATCCAGAATCCTTCTTTCGTTTTCTTCTATTTTATCACTCAATTCAATTATTCTTTGGTCCTTATTCGCTGCTTGAGCGACTATATCGTCAACTTGAGCCATATCTACTTGTCCAGAAGCTCGCGCTGCAGCTATTTCATCATATTTATCTGACATTTCTTTCAAGATATTATCCTTCTTTTTCAACATATCTTCAGTCTTTTTAAGAGCTTTTCGAAGTTTGTCAACTTCATGTTTATACATTTTTATCTTGGCCCTGGTTGCCTGCTCATTCGAGGTAGATTGAATGCTTGATGCTTCGGACATGCAGCTCTCATCAGACATCACAGATGCCTAAATGATTTAATCTATACTTTAGATGTAATAATCATGAATCTTAGATAGCTCACCGTTTCCAAGGAATCTAAAGGGTGGCGTCTAGACTCTTCCAACTGTGCATTGAGTCCAGCAATCTTGGATTTGGTTTGGAGTTTATGTTTTGAAAAAGCAGCATTTAACTCTTTAAATTCTCTTTCTTTCTTCTGGTAAATTTCATCTTTTTCTCGAATCATATCCTTTAACTGAGAAACGAGTTTTTTCTGCTCTCCATATTGAGATTTTAGATCTGCAGCTTCAATTTCTGCCTGAAGAGATATAAAAAAGTTATAAAATCAAAATTCTTCCACATAGGGTAACGCTTACTTCCTCATCAGGGTTAGCAGCTGAGGGTTCTTCTACAAGCATTTCTCCAAGTTTTTCTTGGACTTTCTGAGTTACACCTGTGAATTGTTTCCACATCTCTCTAATCTTTCTCTCCTGTATTTAATCTTGGATGCCAATCAAATTTATTCAAAACGGTAAATCAACTAAAAGAAGAGAAAAGACACGTTTCATCAAATTGCTAGAAGCGCCATCTTTGTTATTGAAGAAAACTGGTAGAGTAACGGAACGCGAAACCACATTAAGTTCTAGTTAGCGATCCTTCAAACAGCTTCAAACCTTTGAACTGACTCCTTTTCAGTGTAAAAGACATTCAAAATGGCCAATCGAGACAATGCATCCGATCAACTAAATGAATATAGAAAGAACCGCGCTGTAAGTACTTTATAAAAAGTTAAACTTTACACGTTTGCAACAAAATTTTTTCCCCGGGTTGAAAATACTTTTCTCATCCATCCAGGGCAGACAAACCGATGTCCTCACAACATCTACTGGTCAGCCGATTGGAGACAAGATGAACTCCATGACAGCTGGACCAAGGGGACCAATGCTCTTGAAAGATTTTGTTTACACCGATGAGATGGCACACTTCAATCAAGAACGTATTCCCGAGAGAGTAGTTCACGCAAAAGGAGCGGGTTAGTAAAGATAAACAAAAGATAGACAATATATATATATATAACTTGTAAATTTATTCGTCTTTTTGCCCTAAATGTCAAATTTAAAGTCTTACGTGATTCTTATGTCTTTGTCCTATATTATAACAGGTGCTTTTGGTTACTTTGAAGTAACTCATGATATTACTCGTTACACAAAGGCTAAAATGTTTGAAAGCATCGGTAAGAGAACTCCTCTTTTCATCCGATTTTCTACCGTCGGAGGTGAGGCTGGATCAGCGGATACTGCTAGAGATCCCAGAGGATTCGCAGTTAAATTCTACACCGAAGAAGGCAACTGGGATTTGACTGGAAACAACACCCCAATCTTTTTCATCCGGGATCCAATGTTCTTTCCATCTTTCATCCATACCCAAAAACGAAATCCCAAAACTCACTTGAAGGATCCAGATATGTTCTGGGACTTTATTTCTCTTAGACCAGAAACTACTCACCAAGTGAGCTTTCTATTCTCAGACAGAGGAACACCTGATGGATTTAGATATATGGATGGATTTGGAAGTCATACTTTTAAAATGGTTAACGCCCAAAACGAGGCAGTGTACGTCAAGTTTCATTATAAAACTGATCAAGGTATCAGGAACCTTTCGGCTCAAAGGGCAGCAGAATTGGCCGGAAGCGACCCAGATTATGCCACCCGGGATTTGTACAATGCCATAGCACGAAATGATTTCCCGTCTTGGACCCTTAATATACAAGTAATGACCTTCGAACAGGCTGAAAACTGGAGGTTTAATCCTTTCGATTTGACCAAAGTTTGGCCACATGAAGAATTCCCTCTTATACCAGTTGGTAGAATAGTCTTAAACAGAAATCCTGTAAACTACTTTGCTGAGGTTGAACAAGCAGCTTTCTGTCCAGCACACATGGTTCCCGGAATTGAACCCTCTCCAGATAAAATGTTGATGGGTAGAATTTTCAGCTATCCAGACACCCACCGTCATCGATTGGGTACCAACTACTTGCATATACCTGTTAATTGCCCATACAATTCTAAGGTTAAGAATTACCAACGAGATGGTTTTATGGTGACAACTGACAATCAAGGAGATGCTCCAAACTATTATCCGAATAGTTTTGGAGGACCTGAACAAGATAATAAATTTTTGGAACATCGCTACAACGTGAGCGCCGACGTTACAAGATACAATTCATCAGATGAAGATAATTTCACCCAAACTGGTATTTTCTGGAGACAAGTTTTAAATCCGCAAGAAAGAACGAATTTAGTTGAAAACATTGCCGGTCATCTGAAGGACGCCCAACCAGCTATTCAGCAGGTACTTTGTATTCACAATACTTTTTCAAGACCTATAAACTTATTCACTTTTTTTAAATTTTAATAGAGAGCCGTTGCTAACTTCTCCTCTGCTGACCCTGAATATGGAAGAAGAATCCAAGAACTCCTAGATTCTTACAAAGCAAAGTCTGGAAAAGCCGATCCTAAACTTTGAAATTATCAAACTAGAAAAAATAAGTCATCCTAACCAAATATATAGAAAAGATAAAAAGAAAACAAAGCTGATTTCGCCATATAAATAATAATAATAGCTTGATTAGCAATCAGTTTTTGGAATAAAATAAAATGATTCTGACGACATCTTAATAATATTATTAGTCTTTTATTTATAGTCATATCAGACAAAAAATTTCACGTATACACTGTCTACAGTATATCTTTCATAGATAAGAATATGGCCTTTATTGAATAAAAAGACATAACATAACAGATATGTTTTATGTCTTTTTTTATCATTTAAATATCTGATCTTACCATTTTAAAAATGTCCACACTTGTTAAATCTTTCTCTGCCGTTTCAGGTGTATCAGGGCCTAACTGAACAACAGCCATTAGATTATCGCCATCACTTTGTAAGCAAAAGCATTTCGGTTGTCGTAAGCATTTTCCGGAGACAACAATTGTCTGAATTTCACTCTTGTGAGGTCTTAGTGCTTTAATACTGCTATTAATTGAATCTGTTATGTAAAATAAGCCATTTCGATCGGACGATATTCCTGACACCGATTGAAAAATTCCAGTAGATTCTGACGTAGAAATTCTACACAGGAATGATATTTTTGTAACGTCAAGTGTGTATATAGCAATGACATCATTTTCGCTATCTGCTATATAAAGTGTATTTGTAGTTGTTGTAATATACTGTGGTACTGGGACATGATTTTCGCTGACGTCACCTTTCATGATAATATCGCCATTACTTTCTTTGTGACCCGTCAACTTTCTTTTTCCTTGGTCGCAAACGAATAGTAAGTTTCTTGTGGGATGTCTACAAATAGCAATTGGTAACTCGAAGTCTTTGTATCTCCAATTTGACTTCAACTGTCCCTTTATATCAATAACCTTAATACTACTTGAACCGCAATCAGTTATTGCCAGACTTCTGAATGAAGTAACAACTATATCAGTAGGCTGTTCGAGAGTATCATCAGATCCTGCTTCAAAATTTAAGATCCCTCTTCTATCAAAGAATAAAAGCTTGTATTTTCTTCCACTACATAAAAGTACCAAATCGTTTCCGGGTAAAAAAACCAAACCCATAACGTTCAATTTTCCAGTGCTTAGAGTTGATCTCTCACCTGACTCGCTTTCAGTCGAAGTTGTATTTTGGGAGAGGGGAAGTTTTAAAGAGTGGCTGTATAAGATCTTGGAACTTGGAACAGCCTCTCTTGGTGTTAGTATTGTTGCTTTTGAATCCATATTTATCTTCATCTGAAAGTAATAATTAACGTTTTAATAAGGCTTTATTAATAGAAGACAAGTTATACTTTGAAGACGGATCCTAAGGAATCTCTACTAGGAATAGGGCAGGGTATAAATTTTACTTCTTCATCTAATTTCTGTTTGAAATTCGTTAAATCAGGAATTTCTATTGACAGTGCAGATTTCAGAGATTTTTCCATATCAGAATGTGCGATCACTTGGGTTGCTGGGGATGTGTCTGAAGATAATAATTCTTTGGCTAACCTGCGTTCAGTTTCCAAATCAGAACAAGCTTTCTCAAGTTTTCTCTTTTCAAGAGAAACACTTGTTATGTCGAATAAATTTTCAATTTGGTGAATTAGATCATGTTCTTGTTCTTGTATAGCTCTTCTTCTTCGTACACTTTCTGTCTTAACATGGCTAACAGCACATTCTTTCATATACTTTAATTCTCTTTCAATTTGAGATAGTTCATGTTTTTTATCAGATAATTCAACTGCATTTCCATCACTTTGAGTTAACAATTTCTGCAATTCAGCTGTTATCGTTGAAGCAACAGTGACCAATTCCTCGACATCATGTTCATTATGATTTAATGTAATACAGGCAATACAGACGCATTGTTTGCATGTCGAGCAGTAGTAGTTCATCAAATGCTGCCTATGAAAAGGACAGTAGTTACCTCTTTGAGAAGCTGTCAGTAGATTATGGGAGGCAGTTACTTTTTGTGCTTTATGAGAATTCGAACAACTTTCACAAAGATCAATTTTGCACTGAACGCAAGTCAAAACAGCCTTTGCTATATTTGAGAAAAAGCAATAAAAAAAATGTCATTAGTTTGACGGATCAACTTATATCCTCTGAGTTTATTATTTAAAAAAACAATTAAGGTGAGTATTTACCTCCCTCCGTACAAATTGAACATGATAAATTCATAGCTAAAGAGCTTCTCCTATCTCCGTCATTTCTTAACAAATCGTCCAAAGTTGTTATGAAAAAACTGTCTGGAAAGAAGCTTACGCCATCTCTAGGATATATAGTTATTTTTCGGCAAATTGGACAGGGGAACCTTCGTGCTGCTTCGTAATTTTTTAGAAAAGTTCTTAGACATTCACAACAAAAAGTGTGAAGACAAGGTAGAGATTTTGGACTTTTTAAAGAACCAAGACAAATCTTACATATAATCAACTCCTTTATAGAATGACGCAGACCAAATGAAGAATTAAGAGTATCATCCATGTGAAAGCCTGATGGCATTTCATCCGACATTTTTCATCGAGCTAAACTGAGGTAAACAAATATCCGTAGGACTGAAGTTATCACACAGCTCTAATCATACAATATTATATACACGTTTGAACTTGTTTGCTATTGATCGATTACGAAACTCTCTACCTGTCCGATACAAATCCTTTAACAAATGCTGAATCTTTTCTTCCCTGTCTTGTAACCCTATTTTTTATACTCTCTTGGACAGATCACTTAGCATGTCTCACCTGGTGACTTACTAATTTAATACAATGAATAATAAAGAAAAAAGTTGTATTATTCATATAACAAAGAAGACAATAAAGGAAGGGATTGAGAAGGTCACAAGGATTATTTATAATAATTGAAAGATACTACTAGAGTATATCTAAGTTTACTTCATAAACAGTTAAATGTTGAACGTTACTCTATTTATTTATATCATACATAAGTGAAAAGCTTGTGAATTCACTTTAAAATATTTGCAACCTCATTGCTGCAATTTTAATTTTACATTGATTGTCTCATGTAATTGACTTTCATAGCCACTTTTTGCTCAGAGGCATCGAATTGGCACATAAACATTCTCTTCTCAGTACATGTTTCTGATTTCCAACCATCAGAGCTCATGGACATACAGTTACCATCTTCTGCAGCTGGTTCATTTCCGCCAATCCAATTGGTGTAAGAAAGAGAATCAAATTCAGCACTAATCCATCCCCACTTTTCATCTTTAGCTATTCCATTTATCCAGAAACTTTCATTCTTTAGATCAGTTTTGGCTTAAAAAGAAAGTGAAAAAAAACTGTAAAATGATTGCAGTAGAACAAATTGGTTTTTAACTTACATGTTAGAATCCACATAAATTGATAATTATATGCCTTGGAAGATGGAGTTAAAAGATAACCTCCGTATGCTTGGCAATAATTGATAGCTTCGGCAAAGGTAGTTTTAACATTTGAAGATTTAACGCAAAAAAGGGAACTGTTTTCAATATCTCGAAGATAATTCTCGCAAAGACCTAAGATTTTATAATTAAGATATAATTCTTAAATACTAATAATTAAAAATATTAACCCATAGTATTAAATAAAGGCCAGTTACTCTGAACTGCCATCTTTCTGTTCTGGCGGTTATTTCTATCTCTTTTATTCTTGTTGTTCCTATTTTTATATTTGTTTTTTTTGCCGTTTTTATTCTTTTTCTTGTTTTTATTTCTCATTCTTTTGTTGTTTGAGCCTAGAATATCGTGAATACTTCATTAAATAATAAAAATTTAAGTAAATTTCTACAAACCGCCATTCGGTCTACTACGTCCAACTAATTGGAAAGAAAGTGAAAGTTTGAATTACATTTAAGGAATTTTTTATTAAATATTATTTAATTACTCGTTTTTCTTGTTGGCATATCATCATTAGCTACAGACACATCAAAACCACCACCATCATCATCATCATCATCATAACCATTTCCAAAATTGTTTCCTATCGCGAATCCATCGACGACGTATATCGTTAAAAAGACCAAAAATATCAATGCAACTTTCATATTTCTTTTTGCGAACAAAACTTACTTAATTAAACTAGTAAGTTTAATGCACACTAATAGTTTAAACTCGGATTTATAGCAAATCATAACAACGTCATTGTTCGTAATAAGGTATAAGGTGACAATTATTTTTTTCCTAATTAATAAAATCACATGATATTTTTTTATATCTAAGCTTTTTTGTCAAAAGAAAATGTTCTTTATTTTTCTTTATTAGACCGTTTCAAAAATCAGAAATTATAGACTCTAGATGGCATTGTTAAGCGATTCGTGACATGAGCTGTGACAAGCCAACAACATTAAACAAGAAACACGTTTGTTAAATATTTCTTGTTTACATAGTTGATTTATTGAATTCATTAAGTTGTACTTTTAATTATGTAATAACAAGTAATATATTACAATGCTACAAAAGCGTACCAAATGCCCAGGTATTGTACAAATTGAACAAACGAAAAAGACTCGAAAAGAAAAAAAAGACACATTGTATAGCAGAGCACGGACAAAGACAGAATAAAAAATATTGATGATTTTTAAGTATATAAAACAATAAAAGAAAAAGTTCTTTTTTTTTATTAACAGTCAAAGAAATATAAAAACTTATTTCTTAGTTTTCTTCTCTTTTTTTACTTTTTTGGATTTTTTATGTTTTCTCCTCCTTTCTTCCCTATCGACAGCAATTAGGCCTTGATGGTGTAATTGGCGGTGCATTTTATTAGCTTTATTGATATTATTAAAGAATATTTTGTCACTATTTGCATTTGGAAGTGGGGGTGCTAAGTCTTTCTCTGATGCTTTTAGCCTTAAGGTTCTTCTAACTGCTGTTGTACTGTCATATGAACTTTGGCTATCACTATCCGACGATTTCTTTCTAGGCGTTACTGGAATAAGACTTAAATTTGGGTTTTTACACAAGTCTAGTTTTACAGCACCAGTTCCGCTATATAATGACTTATCGACATTTGATGGAGAACTTTGTTGAGCTGATTTCCTTCTTTCAGACTCAAATACCGCTGCTTCTCTGGCGGCAGTAGCACTTCTTGTTGTTCGTCTAGGAGGTAGCTGATTGCGTCTTCTACTACCATCTCTTAATTTATATGGCTCAGAATTATTCGAAATGGGGCTTTCAAAATTCTCTTCTATATTATTTTCATTGGGGGGTGTGTCTTTCTTTTTAGGGCTGATTTGAATAGGTTGGATTGGAGACTCAGTTTTTATTTCGAATGGTTCATGATCGTACAGTATTGCAGCAGATTCTGTCAAAGGTAGCACTGGTTTTGAAGGCGTTTTAGGGAGAGATTCCACTACTTCTGGCTCTGATTCGGGGGATTGCTTGAGGGCAGCTAGCACATCATTAACTTCACAAGGATTCGGAGACGCCAGGGTGAATTGTTCACCCGCCTCCTCTCTTTCCTCTTTTGTATGAGTTGCGAAGTGAGCCTGTAGATCTTCTAATGTCCAAAATCGCCTAGAGCACAAATTGCACTTATTCTGAATATGCTTATTGTGAATAAGTAAATGTTCGTGCAGATGGTGGGATCTGGCGAACTTTTTATCACAGTGGGGACACTTCAATGCGTCATCCGAATGAATTTTCAAATGATTCTTTAGATCATAACGATGTCGATATTTTTTGCCGCAAACAGCGCATTGATAATTTGCTCCTGTTTTATGAGTATCCATGTGACGCTTAAGGGCAGATGGTCTTAGGAACTCTTTGTTGCACTCTGCACAAGTGTATAATTTCTTTGGTTTAGATTCACGTTTTTTCGTCTCGTCTCCACCTTCTTGATGACGTAACATGTGTTTGTCCAACGAACGATTAGTCTTGAAAATCTTCTTACAAACGGGACACGATGGTCGAGGAGTATTACTATGGTCATCCTGAACATGACGTCTAAGTGCCCTTTCATGTTTGTATTTATTTTTACATAATTTGCACGCATATCGCCTGACATCTGAATGCGTATCCTCATGCTCCTTTAATTTATTCATGGAGACAAATTTTTTATGACAAACTGAACAAGTAGGAACCTCTTCACCTCTATGTAACTTAGAGTGAAAAGCAAGCGCCCTCTTCCTTCGAAATCTTTCTCCGCACTCTCCACATTCATAAATAGCTGCCGTATTGTGCACATCCATATGATAGGCCAATAAAGACGGACTGGCAAATCTTTTATGGCATACGCTGCACGCATACACAGTTTTACCACCGTGTTCAACATGTTCGTGTGCTCTTAGTGATCTTTCGTGTTTATATTTCTTACCACACATTACGCAAGCAAATGCCGCTCGTGACGAATGGACGTGCATGTGGACAGCCAGTCGAGAGGCAATTAGAAATATTTTTCCACATTTGGGACACCGATGACATCTCTCTCCCGTATGAATTCTTTCGTGCATGCGCATATACATTTTACTTTTGAAACGCTTTCGACAGTGTCTGCACTCAAACTCTGGAATACTGGAATGACTGGCTAAATGAGTTCGAAGATAATTAGTAGTTGTGAAAACACCTCTACAAACTGGGCACGTATGTAACCCAATACCCGTGTGCAATTTCATGTGCTGGGTATGAGAAGTCTTTTGTCGAAACGACTTGCCACATTCTCTGCACTTATAGCGGGGAGTCGACGCGTGTGTGTCCATATGCCTAGATAAAAGGGAGGGCGTTGTACATTTTCGTCCACATATTTTACACACGTGTAACCCAATATTACGGTGCATTTTCATGTGTCCAACAAGGTTGCTTTGCCATCTATAAACTCTTTTACAAATTTTGCACTTGTACTGGGCTTCACCATGCTTACATTGGTGTCTTTCCAAACTGCTAGCTGATTTAAAACTCACATCACAGACTTCGCACCAGTGTAACTTAGAAGCACGTTGCGACTTGTCGAATTCTTCCATCTTTCCGTCTAATTCTGCGTTCTATTATAAGATTATAATTTAGTTATCGAAGTAACGATAGGCCTATGAATAATAATGCATGGCAGACAAAACTGACTGCGCGTACATCAAAATGATGCTTTCCATATTATCGCTCAAAGAAGTTATAAACATTAATCCGTTGTGTGGTACCAAAAAGACGATATAAATCACATAATTTTATGCAATTAACAAACCTTGTTTTAGCAATCATATTTTCCAAGAAAGCATCTCAGGTGTGTGTCAGGTAAGAATTTCTTGAAATTATGCTTTGATGTATTCGACTAGAAAATTTCTCTCTCAGTTAAAATATCTTTCATACCAGTTTTCATGGCAAAAAAGGCGGGCAATATGGAGTGTCGGAAACTGTTCAAAACATATAAAATTTAATTTCAACTGAACACAATAGCTTAAAAACAATAAATTATTTGAGAATGGAGTAACCCAATATATGCTTTTTTCCTCGATATAGTTTGTCATAAAAAAATCATCTTTTCTATACATTAAACTTATGTAGCTTACGAAACAAAAGCAGTTAAGATACTATGTATTTTATTCATACTAAAATAAATACGTAAATTATGCTATTCACAAATAAAAACAACAAATATTACTAAAAGTCAGAAAACATGTTCATACAGTAAAACAGTCAATATAAAGATAGCGAAAAGACCTTAATACTAAATGTTGGAGAACGAAGCAAATCAGTCAATGTCGTAAAAGACAATGACTTCTCGGACAGAGGGAGGATAGAAAGGTAAAAAAAAGAAGTAAAAAAAAAAGTAAAAATATGTCTTCTATCTGTTTACAACGATTGTTCAATATATAATTTATAGTATAGTGAAATGCAGGTAAAAACAAAATTTTTTCGATACTGTACAATATGTAATATTAAAAGTAAATTAGGTAAAGCACCAACTAAAACTTTTCACTTCTGAGCCGATTGATGAGTGTAAAGCTTATAGTATTTCCCCTGTTTATTCATCAATTCAGAATGAGTACCAAGTTCAACGACTTTTCCAAGATGAATAACAGCTATCTGATCGGCATTATGAATTGTTGATAACCTATGTGCAATAACTATGGAAGTTCGTCCAATCTGCGCTTTGTCCAAGGCTTCTTGAACAACTCTCTCACTTTCTGTATCGAGAGCCGATGTCGCTTCGTCCAACAGTCTGTTTAAATATAGAAAACACATTGTTAAAGATTTGCTTTTTAGAATCAATTCATTCTATTTATACTTACAATATCTTAGGATTTTTCACCATTGCTCTAGCTATAGCAACTCTTTGTTTCTGTCCACCGCTTAATTGTGTTCCTTTATCTCCCACGCGAGTTTCATAACCATCCGGTAAATTTGATATGAAATCATGAATATTCGCATCTTTAGCCGCTTTTATAATTTCGTCCATAGAAACTTGTCTTGAATTGTCTCCATAAGCGATATTGTCAGCAATTGAACGATCAAACAAGATGGGTTCTTGTTGTACAATTCCAATTTGAGATCTTAGCCATTGAACATTCATTTTATCGATAGAATGTTCGTCCAAAGTGATAAGTCCGCTCAACGGATTATAGAATCGTTCTAGAAGAGAAATGGCTGTGCTTTTTCCGCAGCCGCTTGTACCGACCAAGGCAAGAGTTTCACCTTTGTTCGCTTTGAGTGTGAGACCTCTTAAAACGGGAACGTCAGGTCTGCTGGGATATCTGAATGTGACATCAGAGAAAGATACATCTCCCGAAACTTGAGGAAGAACTTCCCCTTCTTCGGAGAAGGAGTCAATTTCCAGTTCACTATCAAACAATTTAAACAATCTATTTGCCGCCGCTTTACCTTTACCATAATCAGGTGCCATTGAATTTGCCTGACCGGCTCCCAAAGACGAGAAAACAACAGCTCCAAATACTATAAACATGTCACCATAATTCAATTCATCTTTATCGATTAAATATCCCCCTAATACAAAACAGACGGCATATGCAAAGAACATAGAAGAGCTGGTAAAAGCTATGACTGTGGAAGCAAACAAATCTTTGGGAAAGCTCTGCTTATAAGAAATTTTAAGAAAGTCATGATATCTTTTATAAAAGTCTCTTTCTTTCGAAAGTTGAGCTACTGTTCGCATATTAGTTATAGTTTCCACAGCCAGTTCTCCACTTTCATCATGCATTGATTGATCTTTTATTTGTTGTCTGTTACTTAATTTGACTTGAATCGCTCCACCCACAATACTTATGGGTACAAATATAAAAAGTGCCAAAGTCAGTTTCCAAGAATAAACAAACGCTATAACGATGCCTACAATCATAGTTGAGAAAGCCTGTATCAAAGAACCTATTCTGGATCCAGTGACTCCTCGAACTGCTGAAGCATCAGTGCCAAGTTGTGTTGTTAAAGCCCCAACAGCATGATTTGGGTTATCAAAGTAAGCAATCTCTTTTCTCATTAATTTTTCAAAAGCCATTTTTCGAATACGTTTCGTTAGTGCTGATCCTGATTTTCCAAAAGAGAAGTTTTGTATAGTATTTAAAATACCCATAACGATTCCAATTCCCACTAAACCTAAAGAATAAAAATTAATTTTTCGTCTCTGTTCGTCTATATCTGATAAAGCAAACACTCCTAGAATTTCTCCAAGAATGAAAGAGAAAGCAGGTTGTATCCCTCCATTAATTACAGCCGCAAACGTTCCCGCAACAATCCATTTCCATTCTTTACCATTTAATTTCATAACTCTGCTGAAAGGCCCTTCAGCTACTTTCTCAGATTCTTTCTTCGTTTTGAAACTTTCCTTTACATTAACGTTATTAGAAAATTGCGATAAAGTTTTTCCCAATTTGTTTTTTTCATTTTCGAACTCTACTTTGGAAACCGATGAAGCCAGTTCATCATTGTCATCATCATCATCATCATCATCATCATCAACTTCTTTTGCACTTTGAGATGTTACTAGATGATGGTAAACTCCTCCTTGAATCTTCATTAAATCGTCATGGGCTCCTTCTTCAATCTTCTTTCCTTCTTTAAATCCAACAATTTTATCTGCAGTTCGAACAGTACTCAGTCGATGAGCAACAACGATTGTTGTTCGTCCTCTTCTCGCCTCATCCAGTGCTTCTTGAACTATACCTTCGCTTTCTGTATCCAATGCTGATGTCGCCTCATCCAAAAGTAATATTTTTGGATTTCGAACCAAAGCTCTAGCAATAGCGATTCTTTGTTTTTGTCCTCCACTCAGCTGGGCTCCTCTTTCTCCTACCAAAGTGTTGAATTGATCAGGTAGTTGCATGATGAAGTTGTAAGCGTTAGCAGATTTCGCAGCCTCATGAATTTCATCTAAAGAAACTCCTTCTCTTCCATATCGAATATTCTCTTCAATTGTTGTTGCGAAGAGAACAGGTTCTTGTGAAACAACACCAATGCTTTGCCTTAGCCATTCAACATTCAGTTCTCGTATATCTTTTCCATCAATGGTTACTTTTCCCTGTAATGGATCATAAAATCGTTGTAAAAGTTGTATAGTTGTAGACTTTCCACATCCGGATGAACCAACGAGAGCAACCGTTTCGCCTGGAGTTATATCTAGATTCAGACCATTCAGAATGGGAACATCGGGACGAGAAGGATATTTAAACCATATATTTTCAAACGTAACTCTTCCAACAATGCGAGCTGGTCTTTCACCTGCGGTTGACGAACTATCAATAGGAGGAATGGTATCAATAATCTTATAGATAACATAAGCCGCGCCCTTGGCACCACTGAAATTTTGTAATCCAGGAGCGATTTGTCCAACAGAGAAGACTCCGAACATTATGGCATAGAGAACTGTCAACATGTCCCCAACAGTATATTCATTGTTATGTACTAGTTTTGATCCATACCAAAAAGCTAGCGCGTAACCACCAAATATAATCATAAATAAAGCTCCCATGAATACACCAAATAGAATGGATTTTTTTACATCAAGATGTTCTGCCTCTGATAAATTTTCATTATAACGTTTACATTCTTTTTTACCGCCATTGAAAGCCATAACAGTTCGAATGGCTGATAGGACCTCTTCTGCAACTGATCCTGATTTAGCATAGGCGTCTAACTCTCTTTTCGTTAACTTTCCCAGATATCCTCCCAAAATACTGCCAGTGATTACCATTAATGGAATACATGATAAAATTACCAGTGCTAATTTCCATCCTTTAATAAATGCTATAATGAAACCAAGAATCAATGTCGTTGCTTGTTGAAGAGAGAGTGCCAAACTGCTCCCTAAACCGTCTTGTATAACATTTACATCCTCCGTTAATCTTGTATTAATTTCACCGATTTCTTGAGTATCAAACCATCCCATATTTTGTTTTAGGATTGATTTGAATAGAAGATTTCGAATTTTAAAACTTTGCCTTTGTGAAGTGGCTTTCCAGCTGAAGTTTTGAATGGTACCGATTATAAATATAGCCAAAGCAATTATTGCGTAATATGAAGAATATTTTCTCATATCATCCAATAAATTTTCGTGTGCATTTTTGTAAGTGTTGTACTGAGTAGTTAGATTTTCCCTGCCAATTATATGATGGAGTATTGTTTTATTGTTCAAAGCTTCATCTTTCGTTACATTATACTTGTTGTAGTCAAGATCGTTGAGTAGAGATTTATATCTACCACTGTTGACAAAACCATCTGTAGCTTTTCCCATAATAAACAAAACACCAGGAAGTCCTGCTCCATGAATTATTGCACATACCAAACCAAGCATCATTAGTGCAATATCGCTACAATTACTGTATCGTAATAGTCCGAAGGTAGAAACGGTTTCTGGAAGTTTGTCTTTTGGTTTTTCTTCTTTTTTTTCCACATCTATCTTTTCGTTCTCTTCACTACACTCATTGTTCGTTATGGAATATATCTTTTTCTTCATCTTCATATTTCTACCAAACTCAATGAGTTAGCTTTCAGAGATGTCACAAGTTTATAAGAATTTTCATTTTCCCTCTTGTTTTTATTTGCTGATCGACGAATCAGAATTCTCGTTTTAAATATTAACCAGTCAGAATACGTTTATATTTAGATGAGATTTCCCTTTGAACGGTTTCCCCGATAGATGTGGTACAACGGTGCCAGAGATTTCAGCCTATATTGTTAGCTTTTGCAACTGCAAGAAATTTATAATCATTTCGAGTAAAGAATTCTTAGGCCCAGCGATAAAATTATGTATTATACATCGTTTTTTTTATAAATATAGAGTACTAACTTTGTTTAAAATATTACGATATATTTTATTCTCAATGATAATCAAAATGTTTACTTTTTTAACATTTTGTACATTGACCAATGAGGAAACGATAAAATTTCGAAAGTTCTTATTATTTTCAACGTCGAAAAATATCCATGCGAATATTTTCATCAATTTTTATTTGCTTACTTTTATTAATAGAAAGGTCTATGATCTATATGAATGTTTTATTTACACATTGTACTTTTAAGGATGGCAGTAAAGGAGCAAAATTGTATATGGAAAACTAACCAATAAGATTTCGTATATATTTAGATGGGATTTCCATTTGAACGGTATCCCCAGAGAATGTGTTACAATGGTGTCAGCAATGAAAGCCTATATAGCTAACAAGAGAACCAGCAAAAGTTATTGACATCCACATTGTTTTTAGGCCTACCAATGTTTTAAACATATGACAAATTGCAACATTTGTTTGAATTTGATGTTCTAATACTTTTAATTTGATATATTGTATATTATTTTATAAATGTAGACATTATTCACGTGTTCTGTCATTTTTGTAGACTAAAACTTTGACTCTCAAACCGAATGACGTGGTATCAAAATTCTACTGTTTTTACAAAGTTAACAGAAGATTTGTCAGAGAATATAGATAAAAGATTAATAACTAATTCATATGTCTACTGTATTAGCAAAAAGAGATGTACAAAAAAAGAGATATGCCATAATCATGTATGGAAGAATTCTACCATAAGCTTCTATAACTATTGAATTAACAATTTCACATATTTTCTAAAACAACTCTATATGATATGATTTTAGATTTCTCATTCTTTTCTTCTGGGGTCATTCTTTCCCTATCTTCGCACAGTTATTTGCTCAATATCTTATGGTATCTTTTGAAAGATTTTTCTTTCGGAACGTTCACATTTAATAAGGAAACGCTTGAACCACAGGAGCATTTGTCAATTGCCAATATGAATAATTTAAATGTTTAGATATTCGATAGTTCTTTAACTTTATTAGTTTAACTTGTTTGGGAAACTCTACAATTTCGACCAAGATTTAACCTTCGAAATAATTATAAATCAATATTAAGCATAGTGTCTGTTCATACTAATATATTGTTCAGATTTACTCCGCCAGTTGTAAATGAAATGCATATAACTACAACTCTGTTTCGTTTCTCATCTCAGCAAATAGATACACGCTGCATAGGCTTTGAATGGTTTAATAGATTGTCGAATTCTATCATATTGAAAATTTTCAACAACAAAATTCCATTTTCATAAATACTGTCCGAGATTTTTCATATTTATTTTCAAAAGAGACAAATAATTATTGGAATAAAAAATGTCAAATGGACTACGTAATATTAGAAAACACAAACAGAATGCAGGTAAAAACAAAATTTTTTCGATACTGTACAATATGTAATATTAAAAGTAAATTAGGTAAAGCACCAACTAAAATTTTTCACTTCTGAGCCGATTGACGAGTATAAAGCTTATAGTATTTCCCCTGTTTATTCATCAATTCAGAATGAGTACCAAGTTCAACGACTTTTCCAAGATGAATAACAGCTATCTGATCGGCATTATGAATTGTTGATAACCTATGTGCAATAACTATGGAAGTTCGTCCAATCTGCGCTTTGTCCAAGGCTTCTTGAACAACTCTCTCACTTTCTGTATCGAGAGCCGATGTCGCTTCGTCTAACAGTCTGTTTAAATATAGAAAACACATTGTTAAAGATTTGCTTTTTAGAATCAATTCATTCTATTTATACTTACAATATCTTAGGATTTTTCACCATTGCTCTAGCTATAGCAACTCTTTGTTTCTGTCCACCGCTTAATTGTGTTCCTTTATCTCCCACGCTAGTTTCATAACCATCCGGTAAATTTGATATGAAATCATGAATATTCGCATCTTTAGCCGCTTTTATAATTTCGTCCATAGAAACTTGTCTTGAATTGTCTCCATAAGCGATATTGTCAGCAATTGAACGATCAAACAAGATGGGTTCTTGTTGTACAATTCCAATTTGAGATCTTAGCCATTGAACATTCATTTTATCGATAGAATGTTTGTCCAAAGTGATAAGTCCGCTCAACGGATTATAGAATCGTTCTAGAAGAGAAACAGTTGTGCTTTTTCCGCAGCCGCTTGTACCGACCAAGGCAAGAGTTTCACCTTTGTTCGCTTTGAGTGTGAGACCTCTTAAAACGGGAACGTCAGGTCTGCTGGGATATCTGAATGTGACATCAGAGAAAGATACATCTCCCGAAACTTGAGGAAGAACTTCCCCTTCTTCGGAGAAGGAGTCAATTTCCGGTTCCCTGTCCAATAAATAGAAAATTCTGTTTGCTGCAGATTTTCCTTTACCATAATCGGGAGCGAAAGAGTTAGCTTGTCCGAGAGCCATGGCTGAGAAAACTACTGCACCAAACACTCTAAACATATCTGCAAATTCTAACCCATCATTTTTGATTAAGTAAGCTCCTAATGAAAAACAGGCAGCGTAGGCGAAAAAGATAACTGACTGCGAAAAGGCAAATGAAGCTCCAATAATAATACCCTTCCACATATTCTGACGATGGGTTATATATAGAGTATCGTGATATAGCTTTGAAAAAGCTTTTTCCTTTGTCAATTGAGCAACTGTTCTCATATTCTCAATACTCTCTACAGCAATTTTTCCTGCATCCTCCAAGGACTTTTGATTTGTTCCGGCTTGTCCACCCATCATTTTCATTTGTAAAGCACCGGCCATAATGATGAAAGGTATGAAAGCCAAGATGCCCAAAGTAAGTTTCCATGAATATATGAAAGCAATAACAAGACCAGTTCCCAAAGATGAGAGCGTTTGAAACATAGTTCCTAGTCTTACTCCAGATACTCCTTGGACTGCTGATGCATCAGATGCAAGTTGGGTAGTTAATGCACCAACACTATGATCACTATCATCAAAATAAGCCATTTCTTGCCTCATTAAAGCTTTAAAAGTCAGATCTCGTAGCTTTCTTGTCAACGCTTCTCCTGATTTACTGAAAAAAAATGCTTGAGCGAACATGGACAATGCTGCTCCTGCACCGACAGCCAAAAACAACATAGAATACAGCAGTGTTTTTCTCTTCTGTTCATCTATATCTTTAATGGCAAAAACCCCCAATATTTCGGCAAACAAAACTGCAAAGCATGGTTGAACAGCTCCATTAACTAAGGCAGCAAAACATCCACAAAGAATCCAAACCCATTCTGGGGCATTTAACTTGTAAACTCTACTCAATGCAACTTCTGGTACATCTGCCTTTTTAGCTTCTTCTGGAGCAGCTGAGTCGGATCTTTTAACTGATGATAGTGAGAATGTTCTTCCCAATTTATTTTTATCGTTTTCAAACTCTACTTTGGAAACCGATGAAGCCAGTTCATCATTGTCGTCATCATCATCAACTTCTTTTGCACTTTGAGATGTTACTAGATGATGGTAAACTCCTCCTTGAATCTTCATTAAATCGTCATGGGCTCCTTCTTCAATCTTCTTTCCTTCTTTAAATCCAACAATTTTATCTGCAGTTCGAACAGTACTCAGTCGATGAGCAACAACGATTGTTGTTCGTCCTCTTCTCGCCTCATCCAGTGCTTCTTGAACTATACCTTCGCTTTCTGTATCCAATGCTGATGTCGCCTCATCCAAAAGTAATATTTTTGGATTTCGAACCAAAGCTCTAGCAATAGCGATTCTTTGTTTTTGTCCTCCACTCAGCTGGGCTCCTCTTTCTCCTACCAAAGTGTTGAATTGATCAGGTAGTTGCATGATGAAGTTGTAAGCGTTAGCAGATTTCGCAGCCTCATGAATTTCATCTAAAGAAACTCCTTCTCTTCCATATCGAATATTCTCTTCAATTGTTGTTGCGAAGAGAACAGGTTCTTGTGAAACAACACCAATGCTTTGCCTTAGCCATTCAACATTCAGTTCTCGTATATCTTTTCCATCAATGGTTACTTTTCCCTGTAATGGATCATAAAATCGTTGTAAAAGTTGTATAGTTGTAGACTTTCCACATCCGGATGAACCAACGAGAGCAACCGTTTCGCCTGGAGTTATATCTAGATTCAGACCATTCAGAATGGGAACATCGGGACGAGAAGGATATTTAAACCATATATTTTCAAACGTAACTCTTCCAACAATGCGAGCTGGTCTTTCACCTTCGGTTGACGAACTATCAATTGGAGGTATATTGTCAATGATGTCATAGACAACATATGCTGCACCTTTTGCTGTTTGTAAGTGTGTCAAATTAGGAAAAGCGTTTCCAATAGCAAAGGCGGCAAAGACGACTGAGAAAAACACGATAAGCATGTCTCCGACTGTATAATCACTCTCTCTGACCAGTTTGGAACCATACCAGAAAGCCAAGGCATATGATCCAAAGATGAAAAAGAAAACCATTCCCATAGACAAGCCCGAGACAAAGCCTCTTTTCACACCAAAATTTTGAGCATCTGTTAGGTTTCCATTGTATCGTTCACATTCTTTTTTACCGCCATTGAAAGCTGTTACAGTACGAATTGCAGTTAATACTTCTTCGGCAACTGCTCCCGCTTTTGCGTATGCTGACAACTCTTTTTGGGTCATACTGCTTGTTAATTTTCCCATGATTACACCAGATAAAACCAGGAAAGGGCTAACAGATAAGATAACTAATGTCAATTTCCAACCGAAAACAAATCCCAATATGAAACCTGTAAGAAATGTGGAAAACCACTGTAGAAATTGACCCAATTTATCACCAATGCCAGCCTGTATTTTTGTGACATCATCGGCCAATCTAGTATTCAGCTCTCCAACTTCGTGAGTATCGAACCAGCCAATATCCTGTCTAAGAATGGACTTTAACAGCAGATTACGGATTCTGAAAGCTTGTCTTTCGCACGCTGTCATCCATCCGGCTTGTTGAAGAGAGGCAAAAACCATTACTCCGCAGCCTATGGCAACATAGTAGATAGCAAACTTTTCCATTTCATCCAGTAATTTTTCGTCCGCTTCTTTAAATTTGTTGTATTGAGAGGTGAGGTTCTCTGCTTTAGCAATATTTTTGAGTGCAGTTTCATTTTTCCAGGCGTCTTCTTTTGTTGTACGATATTTGGAAAAATCGACTTCATCAAACAAGGTCTTAAACTTGCCACTGTCAACAAATATATCAACCATACTACCAAAAACAAGCATAAGGCAAGGTAGGGCTGCTCCATGAATAAGTGCTGCTATTGTAGCAATTATCATACAAAAGTAATCTTTACAATCTGCAAATCTAAATACTTGAGCAACTGTTACTTCTTTAACAGGCTCATCCTTCTTTTTATCATCTTTCTCTTTTGGCTTTTTATCTTTGTGTTCACCATTCATTTTGCCATTCGTTGGAGTCACTTTGTATGATTTTTTGTCCATATCCTCCGGGAGATCCAGTGTGATCAGATAGGTTGCTTCCTTATTAGTACGGAAATGAGTATTCTTAATTTGCTGATAAACGTTATCTTCTACTGTCGTATCTTGATATGAAATTAATCAATCAAGGTAAAAAAACTTTACAACAAGGAGCTTTCACAAGATCAAGCCCACAATTTTAGTTCAAAATAGAGTTGAATAGAAATGAACTATTATTTATAGCAGCTGTGGAGAATTTTCAGCCAATAGCTACAACTGTTATACAAGATAGCCAATAAGAATTCGTCTAACAATATTGGAGATCCCCACTCACCTGAAGGGGTTTCCTGCCAAAGCTATGACAAGCGGGGCACTTCTATATAAGGTGTATTGCGAAATCTGGGTCTGGTTGGTCATATGCAAATTACCCTCTCACTACTAATTTATGCTCATATATCGACTCACCTAATTTTTATAGATTCAATAGAAAAAAATTCTTGTATATTTTGATGTTGATTTAAAAAAAAAGTACGTTTATTAAATTTTTCCTTATATGGTATGCATAACTGATGATAATCAAATCAAGTATCCATATTTAGATGCTATGTACTTAGTATAAAAAGATTTATAACTGAGCAATAAGAATGTTGATTGTATATATACTTGATTTCAACGATTAAGTTAGGACGTTGAGTAAGGTAATACATAGGCTTAACTTAACACAGGATATGAAAATAATGATTTTTGTCAAGGAATTATAGATTTCTTTATCTCTACAAAAAAAAACACTTTCAATTGTAATATACTTTTTTAAATATTGCCTTCTTTAAATGTTATCGTCAGATAAAGATATGATTTTTCTTAATCGTCTAGTTAACAAGGCGTATTACATCTTAGAACAGGTCAATGACTTAATTTTGAAAGTCCTTTCGTCGAAATCACGTGACTTGAAACTCTCGGGCTAAACCTCCAGGGGGCTTTATTGAATTTTTACTTAGTATTGATAAAATCTCAATTTTTAGAATTGTTATTGTTTTAAGTAAAAAAATTCTGCTTTTAATTTATTTTCGAAAATGTGAAAATTGTTGTTAAATAATCAAAATTGAAGTGATGATATGATATATCTACATTTAAAGAAAGAGATTACTATTTTAATGTTTTTTCGCTTTTAAAGTGATAAACAACAGATTTGATAGTTTTTGAGAAAATTTAAATTGTTTATCTGTTAACTAAAAGCAATTGGGATCAATTATCGGTTGTGTAAAACAAATATACACGATAAGCCTTTACGTACATAAAAAAAATTGGAAACGTATGACAGAAAATTTTATCTACAGTAGCTCCATCTATAGCCTTAAAAAATCGAAGACAAAAATTTACGGCAAAAGGAAAAAAGTGTTTACTAAAAATCCGAAAGAGGGCGCCAGTTGTTGTTAAAAGTTCTTTTTAATGAAAATGCGCAAAAGATAACTTTAGGAAAAGTAAAAACTTTATTTACATTATAAGTTTATCAAATGTCTAGAATTTTGCTTTTCATATTGACCTGTGTGTTTTGTCGCCGAGTACCTATCAGTTCCAAATCATACTTATTATTTAGATATAAAAACATCGGTAACAACTATTTAAGGGAAAGAATTTGGTTTTCGAATAGAAAGCGAAATCCGATTCTCAATTCTACGTCTCTTTTGTAATTTTGACAAGTGAGAATAGAGTATTTTCTATCGGAATAAAAGGCGAATCTTTTATTTTCAAACTTCTAACTAGGTTTGCTGGAAATGCGCACCTGCCGGTATAGGCCACACAAGGTGAGACCGGGCGTTGTTTATTCAAGTAGATGGCATTTCCTACTCGTTTATACTGTCTTATGGCCTACAGGCTACATCTTCTTAGGTAACCAACTCATGTATACGAGTATATATTTATAACATTATATGCTATATAGTAGAAACACACATTATATATATATATTAGTATTTTGAGAAAAGAAGCAATATATTTAAATATATTAGTATATATATATATATATATATATATATATATATTTATAGTTATATATAGTTATATATATATGTATGAAATATGGTTGGCTACTTATATATATTTGGAATATTGGCAAATGGGAGGAGTGAAAAAGAGAGAGAGAGAGAGAGAGAGAGAAAGAGAGAGACACACACATAGGGGGAGTGGGAGAAAAGAGAGAGAGGGAACAGATTGCGCGGACTTTCTGTTGGCGAACAGTTTTTTCATCCTAGCCCTTAATTAGCCTCCGCATCAATACAGATCGTCACGTTTTAGGAGCGGTTAACAAACGAACGATTGATGTAGTAAATGATGCGGCGGACAAGAGAAGACGGAAGAAGATAAACAAACTGTTAGCGCAATTTGAAAAGATGCGCTACGGTGTATTGAGATGTAAAATACTTCTTGTTAGTGCTGCTGTCAAGCCAAACAAGCGATTGAGTAGAACGTGTGTATTCACTAAACACCGACACTAGTAGACTTTAGCTTGGAACGTGTTTGTTCTACAATTACAACAGTGTTGTTCTACTTGAAGAGTTTGATTATTTTCACTGATTGATACGATATATAGGCGCGCGCTTCTTTATAAAAATATATAATATATGTATATATATTCATTCTTATACACGTAAGGTATATTTACGAATTGTATATACAATAAACTAAGCGTATGTCATCGCACACTTAATCTTTAATAAATATTCTTAATTAATATGTATAAACTTACAAAGATAGCAGTTTCAAAAGGTCTGCGTAATACATAAACTTCCATTAGTCTATATTAGGAATTTAATTGCTCAAACGCCGTCTGTTTATATAAGAATATAAAAAGAGCTTATAAATTTCGTCTATGTAAGTAAAACTTGGCGCATTATCTATAAAGAGTAGCGGTGCAATAAAGCTTGGTCGTTGTTTACGAAAGATATCGATAATTAAGCGCGCGCGAGCGGCAGTTAATGGAGGAGAAATGTTGGTGTGCGAGACGGTAGAGCAAGTTTTCATTGAAAACAACAGCAACTTTTGATATTGTTTATTTATGTAGGACAGTATGGAGGATGAAAGAGAATCGAAAGAGGAAGACGAGCATTAGTAGGGAGAAAAAATGTAAAAACAAGTTAAATTACGAATACGTTTATTCTTTTTCTTTCATTTTGTTCTTTTCTCACAGTTTCAAACTTTAAAAGACGATTCAACCGCCCGCCCTCGAGCTGTATTGAGAGGAGGGGGGAAGGGCGAATAAAATGTCGTCTGTCAAGCGTTGAATGGCACGACGAGATGAGAATCGGTGTAAAGTCAACAACTGGTGGAGTTGGAGAGGAGAGACGGGGAGGTAGTGGCGGTTTGGGAGAGGGGGGAAAAGTTTGCAAACGCCCCGAAAACGTGCCTGTTCGCTGCCCGTTGGCGCTCGGCGGTGTCGAGTAGCGCCGTCTCCTGCTGCTCTTCGCCTCTAATCACGCGCACCACTATCTGCTCCCTAACCCCTTATCGACTGATAGCGGTTTTCCGCGTTATATACGCCCGGGCCCCCGACTAGAAAAGCTAACTAGGCGAAACTTCGCCTTCGATCCCTTTGATTGATTTTTTTTTCGCCCCCTCCTTCATAATCGATATTCTACCGTATCAGATTTCGTTATACAATCGATAAAACGTCGATTATCGACCGATGAGTAGGAATGCGCGAAATACTGGCAATTGTGTTGATAAAGTAATTTTAGTAGTGAATGAGAAAGAGCTGGCGGTGAAGTGCGTAAGTGTGTAGAAAAGAAAAAATAAGTGGGAAAAATAAGATAAAGATATGCGAAGGGAACGCTAGATGAGAGAAGGACATGATCTAGAAGAAATAAATTAAAAAAGAAAAAAAGGAGTGAAAGAGAACAGGAGCTAAAAGAGAAAGGAAAGAGAATAGAACGTAAGATAGGCACGGAACGAAAGAGGGAGAAAGATAGAGAGAGAGTGGTAGTGGGCTGTTATCAATTAGGAGACGAATGCAATTAGTACGCGCCTCTAACCGACCCGTTCCGTTCGCATCGAATTTCGTAAGTGCGTGCAGATGGACGAGGAAGGCGGCGTCCTTTGGGTGAAGTCGACTGCAACGTCAATACGCGCAAGAATAACATGGACGAGGCATGGCGCTGTTTTTCGTGCACGCAGCCCTGTTTACCTTAGATCCGAGTAGAATGCGATGGCCGCCTAATTATCGGGCGGTCGACGGGGGTTCCGAGATCCCCTGGCGGCCATCTTGTTTTTCTACCGTCACCGCGTCTTTTATCGAACACGTTAAGCCTATCTAATCACATTTTCCCCTCGCCAATTTCCGCCTCGTTCGCCAGCAGGTTTTTCATACACGCCTATAGGTAAACATTTCATCAAATTTTCTATATCCGTTCTCATTTTTTTGGCGAATAGACGATTTTTTTTCAGCTATAAAGCCTTTATTCTTTTTTTAGAGCAGAAATTTTTATAGAAGAAACGATCCGCGCACCTTCGAACTATCTATCCGCGTGTGTATATATGGACAACGCCGCCTTAGGCCAAGATTTTCGCTAGGACAAAAACGCTTCTACCGGATCGCTTTTCTTCAAAGGGACTTTTAATTTGCGCCTAGCCCGAGCTTGTACAAACATCGAATGCATTCCTTCCTTGTGTATCAAAAAGCGACAACTTAATATCATTAAAATATACTATACAAGCCATATGATATACTTTTTTTTTCGAAAGAGAAAATATAGGGCGAATTTTTTTCCCATTTTTCATCCAAATGATCATGAAATGCGAATAAAAACGACATCGCACGCGCACCTTTTCAACTGACAAAGAGCAGTTTGTACACGTGCAAAAAAATTGGAGGAAAATGTTGGAAGAAAGTGCGATGCCCTGAGGCAGCAATTTGACTGCACTGATCAAAGTTGGCGTACGAGCTCGAGGCAAGGGCTGCAGTTTTCACTCGTTGACACTGCAAATAAAGCGCATTGAAAGCTCCACTTGAACAGAGTCGACCGAGATCTAGTTGTCAAGTGGTGGCGCATGCAGCTGCTCCTTTTTCCCCTCCCCTTTACGTTTATCTTTCCTAAAGTCTTTCCTACTTTTACTAGTCTTTCTTTTCCCATTAAAATTAATACATCTATATACGCTTACACAAAGTGGTAGGTATAAAGACTTTATTATGTTGGCGAGAAGAAGAAGAAGAAGCCTTTATCAACAGTGTCGCAGCTCAGAAAACGGTCGCATATCAATTTGACTGAGCAATCGAGCGTGAGATGACCGTTCCTTGCTAGTGCAGCGCGCTCATTGGTTGATCACGTTGCTGACGTCATTGATTTGGGCGGAGCTTAGCACAACAGAGCAGCCGAGAGGAGAAGGAAGAAGGGCACATGAGGTAGGCAGTCGAAATAATGCAGCCGACCGGCGTGGCACATCGAGCTTACGCCCATTCGGGCTCTATGCCTATGACAAATGCACTTGGATCGTCGATTATGCCATCGTTCTTCGATCAAACTCACAGCCCGGCCGTCAGCTGTGCGTCCGCTGGATATTATTCGTCGGCATACGCCCCGAGTATGGCATCCATGTATGCTCCAAGTCCGGACAGATATATGCCTCGAGCTCATCCATATGCCTCTTACGCCGCAAGTCATCAGACAACAGCTAAAGACATGGTCAAACCGCCATATTCCTACATCGCCCTTATAGCCATGGCCATTCAAAGTAGTCCTGAGAAAAAGGCAACTCTTAATGGAATTTATCAGTTTATTATGGAACGTTTTCCGTATTACAGGGAAAATAAGCAGGGATGGCAAAATTCCATCCGTCATAATTTGTCGCTAAACGACTGTTTTATCAAAGTGGCCAGAGATGATAAGAAGCCGGGCAAAGGCTCCTACTGGACACTCGACCCTGATAGTTATAACATGTTCGATAACGGCTCATATTTACGGAGAAGGAGACGCTTTAAAAAACAGGATCTTGGTAAAGAAAGAGATGAAAGCGATCCAAAACGGCTCAAAGATGAAAATAATGTTAATCATGATTCGGGTCACGATTCGGATACTGGAGATGTAAAACCAACCCTATTAGAACTAACGCCTGCCTCACCGAACCAACCTTTGCTTCCGGTAAAGCTCGAATCCAACTCGTCGTCGAACGACTGCAGGGCAGTGGATGATGAGCGAACACCTCCTCCTCCTCCTCCACAAGCACCTCAGCCCCAGCAGCAGCCACAACAGCAACAGCAACATCAGCAGTCAGACGCCTGTGCTGGATTTAGCGTCGAGAATATAATGACGTCTTCATCAGCAACTGCTGAAGGAGGTGGTAGTCAACAGTTTGAGCAACAGCAACAGCAGGCGCTATCGTCGACCTACAGATCGTCTTGTTCTGTTAATTTATCACCTTTTGAAAGCCACAGCCACCATCAACAGCAACACGTACAACCGGCTCCTCTCGACGCCCTCCATGAAATGACGGGAACGGATACAACGTCCAGCTACGGTCGGAGTTCCTGGTACGGTGAGGGAGCGGATATGTCGAGCTATTCGGCAATCGCCGCCTCTAGTATGTTTGACGCTCAGAGACTGTTATACGCTCAAACTGAAACGGCCGCTAATTGCAGTCATTTGCGGTCCGCTTATAAGATGCCGCCCAACTCCTATTCGTCGTCCTCTTCATCACCTTATGATTGTGTCGCCAAGTTCTGACGATATGGTGTCTAATTCACTTAAATACCCCGCGTATGCGTACATATATGTATATATACTTATGTACATGTATCTGTATATTCCATATATATATATATATATATATATATATATATATATATATATGTGTGTGTATATGTATATGTATACATATATTTAGGTTGGTGTTTTTCTCTAATTCTATCTCTTTCTCTCTCTCTCTCTCTCTATCTCTATCTCATAAACATAAATACTTTCTCTTTTCTTCTCCGTTCCGCTTCTAAACCAACGCAAAAACACGAGCGAGTTTGAAATTGTGAAACTTTTTCTAGGCATTCAAGTATTTCTCAAATGCGCAAACGTCCTCTTTTAATCGGCTTAAGAAATTAAGTTATTTCGATTTATATGCATGTTCTGTGTATTACACGTCTATCTGTTCGTATTGAAAGTGTTTGCATTTGATGACGTCACAGTTGTGAACAGTGATCAGTGTAGCGTGTAGACGTCGGCAAATTGATTGTTTGTCAAAGTCGGTGAAGCTAAAGGCTTTTCGGGAGGCTACAAACTGATGAGTTTATCAGACACGGCTCGTAACGCGTTGCAGCTGCTAGATGACCTACTTTTGTGAACTACCTCGTTTGTCGCGCAGGCCTATATAACGCTTCTCTTTTTCTTTCTCGTTTTCTAATTTGCACTCATAAAAATTAACAAAAAAATGGGAAATACCTTCTCCTTCCTTTTTTGTTTTATAACATATCGTCGTTATCCCGTTTTGAAAAAAATCGTGTATATACCACGTATACAAATAGATGTTATATAATAAACTGTATATTCTGCGTAATATATATATATATATATATATATGAAGTATATGTACTGTGGTATTTATATATGTGTATAAATGTATATATATATATATAAATGTATATATATATAAATGTACATATGTTTCTCTTAAATTTGTATACATTCATAAGTATACATAAGTGAGAGGTATAGTATATATGTATATTTATAAATATATATTTATACATAGATATACAACATATATATATATATATATATATATTTATTTGTGTACAATATATATATATATTTATACATATATATATATATATATATATATATATATGTATATATACATATTTATATATATATGAATATATAATTCGTATATACATAATCAAGTAATAAATATAATTGTTGCACGGTTCGTTGTGAAAAGAATACAGTGGAAGAATTTGCGCGCGAATAAAAGTTAATGAATCGAGCAGATAGGGAAGCGTGCGCAAGAGAGAGATTTGCGAACACGTGCGCGGAAAAAGAAGGGAATTAAGAGATGGATAACGATAAGAGAGGATGATAGCACAGATGTTGGGAAGTTGTCAATGTAATAAATCCAAGGGCGTTAACAGGCGGTCAAGGCTTAATTATACACATGCCCCGAATACATCAAAACACGGTTGAAAAGTGACTACCGTCTACCCGGACTAGTGGCTCGCGAGAATCTAGTTCCCTTTTATGCGTTGCGTCATGCAATCTACGGTTACAAGTTGCATTATGACGTAATAGGACGATTTGTTGCGCCGTCAGAATGCGCACATTCCTCGCGACCCGATTATCTCGTAGGAAAACATTCGAATCTGCTAACTATACGCTCAAATCAACGTTCATTCTTCGCCGAATACTGAATAAACAAAGCTCATAATTGAAAAAGCTGGGTCCCCTCTCCCTACTTATAAAACGAATTTAACATTTTATAAAACCTTTCGTACATTTCCACGATTTGTACAAGCAGTTTCTTTTGAAGTGCTCTTGATTTCGGCTAGACCGTGGATTAAGACGGCGCTGATTTGCCACTTGATGACAAACAGCTGCTGCGTAGACGCCTTCGCCCTCTCATCCGTATGAGAACGCGACTGTGATGTTCGGTGCGCGGACGGACGCGTCACTGTGCTGACGTATTTAGGTAGGGAAAGTTACGTCGTCAATTTCTCCAATTTCTCACATTTCCAATTCTCAGAGAAAATGTCAGGCGGCTGAAAAAAACAGAAATTCCCTGGAGGAAGGCTAGCCAATTTGTCCGCATATGTTCCGTTCGACGCTCGGCAGGCGGTGGGAAGACGATCGAGCATATCGAAATCGGCTAATTGCAAACAAAGCGAATAAGTATAGGCATATAGGCCGGATCGTCTTCCTTCTTATCGCCTTGGCGCTAAATGGCCGTAGATAAAAAGTTGGCGTTTTGTAAACAGGACGAAAAATAGTAGAAAAGATAGAGCGAACAAGAAAAAAGGGGTAAACTTGGCAAAGCTTTCTTTCATTTTGTTTGGTGCGCTCTGATTAATTCGTGATTAGTTTTAGCCCCAGAGCGCCAATCATCGCCCTTCCTCCTTCTTGCGCAGCCGCTGTCAGCGAAATGTCAAAAGTTGCTGGCTGATAAGGACGATTATAAGGAAGTTTTCCATTTTCTTTCTATCTTCTTTATTATTATTATCTTTATTACTATTGTTATTACTATTGTTATTTGTATTATTCTATTTTTTTATTTATATTGTAATTAACCTGGATTTTTTTTTGGTATGCGATTGAAAATGAACACGAGAAGGAGAAATAAAAGAGGGGAAAAATAGAAAAATGGAAAAATTGTATATATGAAAGAGTGTGAAGCAGACGTTTGGCAATATATATAGCAAACTATATACAGAGCCTATAATACACGTGCTGGCCAGATTTTTCGACTTTCCAAAAAAACGGTAGCGAAACGAAAGTTTGGTTAGAAAAAAATAATAAAAGATAGAAAAAAAGAAAGAATGAGAGAAGGAAAGAAAGAAAAATAATGAAAAAAAGAGGAACGAAGAGATAATGGAGAGGCACTCGAGAAGGATATATCGTATATAGTTGGAAAGAGAAAGAAGAGCCGAGGCATTACACGCTCGCATAAACACTCTTTTCCTCGTCTTATATACAGCTGCCGCCAACGCTAACCGATTTGGCTGACGGACAGAAGTAGGTCGCATTCTACTAATACAAACAACCAATTCCTTTCAACGAGCCGTGTCGTTCATCCTCCGAATAGTATACAACATTTTCGCATTACGTTCTCTTCCGCTCGTAAACAAAAAAATTGCGACATTTTTTTCATAAATCACTTTAATTCCCTTTCGTACACTTTACGGATCAGAGCGGATAAAGGCCTAGTCAGCGACCTTTACCGATAAGCTGTCGTCGTAGCAAGCTACATTCATCAAAATGCGCCTGCGACTCGCCGACAAATATGCTATTATTTTAAACGACCCGACTGTTTTAACAGGATACACTTGGCATTGTTAACCGTTCTTGTTTTCGAATATACAACTCGCATAAACACGTTTAGGTCAAGAAGAATAAACAGCTTTGTAAAAACAATGACATTGGCAGCCACTGGCCGGTCTATTTTATATAAGCGATTATTCTGGCTTACTTCCGTTTCGCTAAGATTACCAAAGGGCGGTGGATGTTTGCAGCAGCAACCTTTCAAAAACAGTCTCCCACCTACCCATCTCCCACTGAATATTTCTCTCTTATTAAAAACAACCCGTCAGTTGTTAAATACGAGTTAGTGACTTTTTTCCGGTTCATTTAAAACTTTTATAGTTTATTGTTAGAACTAATAAAAATACAATTCAATCCGAAAAGGCAATGAATTGACTCCCGTCTACTCTTGCCTTCTCTCTCTCTTTCTCTCTCTCTCTCTCTCTCTCTATTTTCTCTCCTTCACCTATCGGACTTGGCAACGTTTTTCCATCCACATTATTGCATTATATTCTCATAACTTAAAAACGAAAAAATAAAAATTCCTTTCACTAGCGCCATCTAACGTTCTTCTAAAATTACATCGCATTACGAGATGTTTAAAAATAAAATTGTAAATAATCCATTGTCTGTTCAGTATGAATAACACTTCTTTTCTACGTCGCTATTTTTTCCCTTCTTTATAGGATTCTTAAACAATAGATAATAGGAAGTTAATGCGTAAATAGCCGCCGAGTTTGTATTTCTATTCGACAATCTAAAGAATTTCCTTTTTTTATCAAATTGAATGAAAACTTTTTAAGTAAGAGTACATATAATAGTACGAGGTTAAATTTCTACTCTTTCATTGATTTCTTGACCACAGGCTGTAAATACCGTTCGTATTGTTATCTTTTCCTTTTTTGTTAAAAGAGCTCCTCAATAGGGCTAAGTAGACTATTTAGATCCTTTTCGATAGACTGATAAAAGTTAAGCAAATTTACAAAATCTTAAGAAAAACCTATTAAATTTCACCAAGAAAGAAAAGAAACAGTAAAAAAAAATATTATCAAATTTATGAAGGAATCCTTAATAATAAAGATGTTTTATTACGTAATCAGATAAACTCATACACTGTAGAGCAAATTGATAAAAAAAAAGCTCATTTATATAAATATGTATAATAATATATATATATATAAATACGTAAGCAAATACATAAAATTGTAATTTTTTTTGTATTCATTATGTTAATAACTGATTGCATTTTTATGGCACTTAGAGGTAGTCCAACAATAATCACAATAGGCAAGAAACAGAAACAAGAACAAGAAGGAAAAAAAAAAACAAAATAAAACCAATTAATTTTTTAAATTGTAAAATAAAAAAAGGAAAAGAAAACAAAAATGTATTTGTTTTAATTAGTATGTATAGATTTTTTTGATTCTTTTTCAATTGTTTTCATTTCCTTTTAAATGATTTTCAAACATTCTTTGCTCATTGAAAGACTAAATATATATATACTGTATATCTGTTGATCACCTTTTTTAAATTATAAAATGCACAAATTTCTGTCAAAAAATAAAGAGAGAGAGAGAGAGAGAGAGAGAGAGAGAGAGAGAGAGAGAGAGAGAGAGAGAGAGAGAGAGAGGGAGAGAGAGAGAAAAAAAACAGCGCCTACTTTTGAGAAAATAAAAACAAAAATTCAAAGTACTGCGGGCATATAGCAGTTTTAGGTTAAAAGAAACTATCATGTTCCTTTTTCTTTGCCAAAAGCTTCATTGATACGCTTACACGCCAATTCAACTCCTTTAAAGCATTCCGCGCTGGAATTAGGATTTGCAATTGTATTTTAAAGAAAACATTTACTTATTTTTCTCCTACCTACCTGAACATTGAAAATTGAAGGAATCCGTGAGGGACTCCGTCTAAAACATCAACTCTACAAGAACCAGTAGCTTTTTTAACTTTTTTTGCCATTTCTATTGTGTCATCAAGTAGGGGGTCCAAGGCTGAGGCCTGGAAAGTAAATTAAATAAATATGATAAGTTTAATAACCTTTTTGTGGCTCCACCTAGCGTACTTACAAGAAAGTATATTGGACCTAATGTTTTTAATTGTTTCTCAGTTGCATACAATGGTGACATGTAAACATTCTTTAATATTTTATCTCTCATAATACTGCTATTTAAATTAATTTTGACTCTATTTCCGAACTTTGCAAAAGTTCTTGGATCTTCGAGTAAAGTTTCTACTTCTCTTTGCTCACGAGTACACCAATCACCAGAATATATCTCTGAATTATCAAAGCACGGAAGAGAGATGCATCTCGACCTCTTCGTAAAGCATCTATTTCTGTTCTTTTCGAGATCGAAATTTTTTAGACTTCTTTGCCTTCTGGCTGGATGAGTGGGTATATCATCCTTATCATCGTCCAAAGTAAACAAAACTTTAGATGTAACATCTTCATCCATTTCTTTACCGACTTCATCTACTGTAGCTTGTTCAGGTTTACCATAATATATGGCGTCGACATTTACAAAACCATCTTCAATATCGGTTTCAACGTACCCAGAGTCAACTTCATGGATATAAAGGTCATCCTTAACGCCCGCATACGCTGAGAGGAAAAGTAATTTATTATACAATGCAGAAAATGAATTACTTAAGATATTTGTATACCATGTAATATTTTTGTAAGAATGCCAACAGCTAACAGTGGATCCCACAGTGACATCATTCGAGAGGGTGATGGGACATACTGAACAAGGAAACATCCGTAAATTGGAACAATACCATCTGGTTTTTGAATATTTAATTCTTGAGCTCTAAGAGCAACAGCTAAAATTAAATTAGCTCCCGCGCTATCTCCAGCGAAAACAACTTTCTCTCCAGTCCATCCTGATTAAATGAAAATATTAATTACATCCAGTAGATTAAAATCAACGATTAATCAAAGATTGTTAGATATTTACCCAAGTAGGTGGGGTGTTTTAATGCCCAGCAATATGCAAAAAAACATTCCTCTAAAGCTCTAGGAAAATGATGTTTTGGCGCTAGGCTATAATCAACAGATAAAATTGGAGCTTCGGTCTTTTTAGCCCAATAACGAAGATATGACTAAAATTGACATATTAAAAACTTTATAGACGATCACAAACCGGATTAAGTTTAAAAGAATAATAAGTATCAATTCAGATAATTACTGTATGGGATTGAGACTTTTGGGCAACAAACCCTCCTCCGTGTATATGAAATATTAAGCAGTCCGAAAGGTTCTCGGCTACTTTCGGACTAGTTTCTTTCGTTACATATTCCTGAGAAAATTCGGAAAAAGAAACAAATAAATAAAGTTTGTTTTAACAAGTCATAAGTAGAAAATTTTACCTGACCCTTTCTCTTTATGGAAGACATTAACCTGCAATTTACTGGTGCAGGGCCGATAATTGCACATGGTGGATTAATTTTAACAGTCACTTCGGAATTGAACTCCTTTAAATAGAAAACTTCATCCTTAATTTCGAAAATTCTGTTTACGTCGATTGAAGGACTAAAATATTGAGGAACCTATAAAAAAAAATAACTTTCTTTTATGACGTAATCAAATGTTAACCTAAATTTTAATCTTGTTGTATCGTTGTCGTCATATCTATATTTACATATTTCTTATATCTGTAAATTATGTTATTCTGTTTTTAAGGTAACTGATGCCAAGTTTTTTTTCTTTAACGATTATATTATATTGATAAAAAATGATAATTTATTTGATTAGACTCCGCTTACTTGAGCTATTTGTAAATCAGCTAAATCCCAAAAAGATTGACAGTAGTATAATCCTTTTGTTCTTGTGATAGCCACGACCTGTTTGGTGGAAGGTCAATTGTTCTTTAAACGCTTACATAATATTTAAATTTTGTTGTTATCTCTATGTAGAAGTTTAAAGTTAAAGCGCTAAGTTCAAGTTTAAGAACTAGATTAAATAATATATAAATCTTAGCTCTTAGTTTTTCTTCTTTCCTTAAATGAATTAAACTATACCTTTTTTGCTCTTTCGGCAGGATACAAAAAATATTTTCCGCCTCCTTGAGCGTATGTGATCAATTTAAAAACAGGATTTGCTTTATTTTCTAAGCCCAATACATCTCCATGAGATGCCAATCCAATACAAATTGAAGTTAATGCATTTTGTACAGAATTGCAAAACTGTTAGTGAAATGGAATTTAAAAAACAGAGATAATAAATACGATGTTGTTTTACTTGAAAGGCTAAGGGTCTTTCGTAAAAAGGTTCCTGAGTAAGGCTTTCTGCTTCCGTCATAATAAAATATGCATCTTTGAACTCTTCTTCAGTTAACAAGTCTTCATCGGGATATAACGCTCCTTCGCCACAAAATTTTGGAAGATGAAGAACATAATGTAAACATGCTCTAAATTGACCTAATACGTTGACATATGATTCTAGTTCAGTAGAATAGTGACTTCCTCTGAATAATAGCGAACTTCGAGACACAATAATATGCCTGTTACGGAATTTAGAAGAGTTTAGGAGGCTTCAAATACCAATAAAACAACTAAAAGAGTAATACTAAAATTTGGATTAGCTTGAAAATATACTAAATTAAATGGGCTACTGTACTAAGAAATTTTATCTAAGACTATACATGAAACCTTGTTAGTTGAAGAATGTGACTGCAGCACTTTTGAATGACTCGCAGAAAGCTTCTGTAACCATTATATGGAAGGGAGGGATCAACATCAAAATGATGTGCAACGGCTATTAAATTACAAACACCAGGCTCAATTCCATTGTCCAAATGGTCAATTAGAACTCTAAATGAGTTTTGAAATCGAACATGATTGCCATTTTTCTTAGCACTAAAATAGTCTACATTGCACAGAGCGTTAATTCTTAATTGTCTGAATAAATCTAGCAATTCTCTCCTGTATTTTTGATCGGCTAATAGTCGATCTTCTTGACAAAAAGGCAGATTTCGTGCAGCGGAGTCCTCCCTCATAGCCGCCATTAATTCGTCTGCTAAATGAAAATAAACAAGTGATAGAGTTTTCAATGTCTTTCTTCTTAACTAGTCAAACCATACACTGGCGCCATCTATCAAAAGACAACTCAATTATATTCCGTTGTAAAAACTCCTAACAAAATGAAGAACAAAAATTCAAAAATACTATTAATTAATATCTAATCATTTGTTAAAGTAAATAACTACTCAGATGTTTATAATTAGCGCGAGCACTTATTCTTTCAGCAGAGATGGCTTAGAGGTACTATTTATCGACTGAAGTTTGATAGTGTAAATCGGCTTATTTTCGAATCTATTACACGGAACGGATTCAGTATAACGCGATAAAAATTGGATTTTTCTCATTTAAGAAGAAACGTAACTCTATTTCTGCCTACAGTTTAGTTTATTCCGCTTAATCTATCTTGTTAAATTTCAAGTCATTTTTCTAAAACAAGTCCCCTTCAGCATATTCAAAATAGTCTAAAATTTAACAGATTTCTCACCATAGAAAGAAATAGATCGAATCAAATAGAAAATTGACCGTTTTTCATACGAACACTAAAATAGGTTGAATAATTTTTTTGTTTATAAGAAATTGACTTTTTTTCAAAAACACAGACAGAAAATTCTGTTGAACTGAATGCTTAAATATTTTTTTTCGTAGAGATTCATGTTTACTTCTCACTATTTTTGGAATTATCGTCCACTTCTCTTTTAATTTGAATTGGAAGAATCTGGCAGTTTCCGGATGACTGAGTACTTTGTGATGGTTGACTGTCCGCCGTTTTATCAGTAGTTTCTCTTTCGTTACTTTCTTCGTTCTTTTCAATATAACTGTTGAGTAATTCTCTGATGAATTCATCAATTTGACTGGTTTTTGGTGGAATTTGAATTTGAGAAGGTAGCAGATGGACCAAAAGTTTCGAAACATTTTTTCTTAGCGAGTAGAGCTCTTTCAGATAAATGTTCATTTGTTCTCTCGCTTTACTATCTTCAACACGTAGAGTATCTTCGGAAGAAGTTCTTGATTCGGGTAATCGTTCACTTCTAACTAGGGGTCCATCATCAAGTTTTGGTTCATTTTCCTTTTCAGTCGCATCAGATTTGTGTTCGGAATCGCTCGCTACTGAATGTTCTGATTCTTCAGATTTACTTCTTTTAGCTGCTATAGCCAGAAAAGATTTTTGTCGCTTCCTGGTTGTCCTCAAAATTTCATTAACAGCCCTACTCGCTTTCTGTTCAACATCTCGCCTGTGATCTACATAAGCTTCGTCCATACTAGTATCAGATCTATGACCATTTTTTGTGGAATTGCTGGTTAAAGATTGATTTTTCAACATTTCTATTTCCGCTTCTTTTTCATTAATAATTTTTTGCATGCTGTCTTTTTTCCTACGTTCACTGTAATAGAAAAAAATTAGCAATTTAAAATATTAAAAACTACACAGTATAACTTAATTATTATTACATTTTCTTGAATTTCTTTTCGTACGTGGCAGCTTTTATATTCGCGTCATCGTCCACTTCTTCATTAATTGAACAGCGGCTAAAATAAAGTTTTTTATAAAAACTTTTTAAAAGATAAATTCAAATTCTTACTTAAATTCAACATCTGTGTTCATTTGGCAATTCCATTTAGAAGGGTTGATTTTTTTCATGTTTGTATTTTTAGCTAATCTCCTCCATTTTAAGCAAAATTCACATTGAACCCAATTCCAGTCGGGGACAATCTGTTGGTTTAAGCCTGAATTTTTATCCATTTGTTTTGTATACCAATAATCATTTAATTTTTGGCCGAGAGCGTTCATAGTAGAGCTGTAGCGTCCATCTTTTTGAAAATCAGTTTTGTTGTGAATTGGTGTTAAAAAGTCTACTTCTATGACTCCAACAACACCCACACCGTGATCATTGGCCTGTTTCTGAATTCCAACACGTTCGTATGCTTTTATTAATCGATTTCTATGGTACATCATAATGCCATAATCATTTAGATTACTGCTAAATCCAAATATAATAGGTACATTTTTCTGTAAAAAAGTAGGTTTATAAACATCCGTTTCCGTCTTAGATAAGCTTTTCGAAATAATCTTTGTAGCAACTTTTACACCACGTAAAATTATCTTCATCTTTGGTTTATTATATAAAATGGAACAAAAATGCCGTAGGCTTTTATTATAAGTAGATACATGATCCTCTATGTATTTTGATATTTCACTCTCCGCATTTCCGATGTCCTGTGGATCAGAATCAAAATCAAGTTCAGGTCGTCCATCAACAGATTTTAGATTATGAATAATTATCCGAGTTCCTTTTTTTGGAATCTCTTGAAATTGGCGCATAATATCATGAGGAGACTTCATTGGTGAGTATTTAACGATTGCCTGAACTGATTCGCTTGAGTAGGCGTTAGTTACTTGCTTCCTTGTTGCTGAATACCAAGAAAGCATGGGCACTATAACTGTTTTGGCGTTAATCTTTTTTAAAAACGTTTGAGATAAGAAACCCACAGACATTTTATCATCTTTCTTTGTAAACACGACAACGTCTCTTCCAAGTCGCATCGATCCACTTTTGAAACCATTTCCATAAAAACCTATTGGCTTGTGACCTTTTATTTCAACTTTATCGCAGTATCCAAATGATAACATTCTATGTAGTTGTTCTGGACTCATGCCATTTCCATCGTCAGTGAAACAAAGGCACGTTTGCCCATTTAACTCTAATTTAACAATATGTAATTCTTTAGCCTGGACATCAGGGTCATAAGCGTTATCTAAGAAGAAAAGTATGCTTAAATCTTTCTTTTTTTGTTTAGAAATAAAACAGGTTTATTATACCAATTATTTCAGCAATTGCACTGAAAGGCCCAGTGTGAGAAGTAGAGTTAGCATGTAAGAATGAAGGTGAAACCTATGGTAGATATAAGGAAGTGAAGTTTAGCACTTAAATGAAGGTAAAGGCTTTTTCTATACTTTATACAATTTCAATATATTAACTAATTTTATTTTCGGCTACAAAATAACATTTTAAAGCCAAAAACATATCAGAATATATTTGAATAGAAAAAACCGCGCTTCAACTTGGACTTGCGAAATATAAATGAGAGATTATGAGGGATAAAGAAAACATAGTTCGAATAGAAAAAGCAAAAATGTGATAGATATGAAAATTTTTAATAAATTTCGATGTCTATTCCTACCTTTGCTTCTTTCATATTTAAGATTGTGCCGCTTTCTTTTTCATTTGAGGCGTTACTTGTATCAGCCATGTTGAATATAGCGGATGCGGAAATTACCTTATCTTATTCAGTGCGAGCTGAGTATATTTAGCAGGCAGACTGTCAGTGTCGCTTTCTATTTCCGCCGGCAGCCATGTTTAATGTTGTAAGGAACTGCACTGCCCAGATTTTGAGGGCTGCAAATCCTGTTTTAAACAAGTCAACTGCAATTAATGCTACCCTTAGACCAGCCGCAGGTTTTCATAGTTCTCGTGAGTATGATTGTTGAAAAATTTTCTTTATAGATAGAAGAAGAAAACGACTTTAAAAATTGTGTCACCTTGACACGCGACCGGACTGACAGTGAAGATCCAAATTAGTAAAAAGAAAGCAAATTACCTTTTGTTAACAACCAGATATGTACGGTTTTGAACAAGAAATATGTTAATTTCATAATAATAATTTTATCTTCCAAGAAAAATTGTTCAAAGCATGGAAAAGTACAAAATGACCTTCAAGTGCGCCGAATCGTCAATTTTTAGTTCTTATTTCATTAATTACAGTTGCCATTACTTTGTCAACTACGTCTGAGATATAAAGCAAATCATCGGTTAAAATTTTTTGTCAAAATAATTGGTAATTTATAGTAATTTATGATTTCCATGCTCATGCCCCGTCATGTGCTGATCAATTAAACTGAACTACTTGAAGTTTCAAATCGGACCTGATTATAACAGCATAAGGGAAAATATGCGGAAGAAATTGACAATATATTCATTCATTGATCTTACATGAAGAATACAAAATATTTTTTGGTCTTAGATATATGTTAAAGGCAAATTAAATGATCCCAACCGGCAATTCAGGTCTTGCTAGCAAAAGTCGATATTAGTTAAACACATGGAGCACTTTATTAAAAATATTTAGTTTAAATTGTTAATATTTGTTTGCAAATTAATAAATTATTTCCTTCTTTTAGAATCGAACAATGAAGCCGCCCAAAGTGCAACCAAGGGAACCCAAACAGCAGCTAAACCTGGAGTAGGACAGGTTGTAGCCGTTATTGGTGCCGTTGTAGATGTTCAGTTTGAAGAAGGTCTACCACCAATCTTGAATGCTTTGGAAGTTCAGAATCGATCCCCAAGATTGATCTTGGAGGTTGCCCAGCATCTTGGAGAGAACACTGTAAGAACTATTGCTATGGATGGTTAGTATTTTCATTGTTTTTCACTTAGAGTAAAAAGTTACTTATTATTGTATGGTTATCTACTCATTTATCATAAAATAGGCGCGCTACTTAATAGACATACTTTAAGTAGCTCCATCTGTTGATTGAATTTATACTTGATATATTAATCCTATAGAGAATTGTATACAAAGATATATGTATAACCTATCAATTGAACCTTTTGAGCATGTCTAATCTTAGAATTTGAGACATTTATTTGCAGACACATTTTATTGCAACTAAATCATATATTCATTATCCATGTACAGGTACCGAAGGTCTCGTTAGAGGTCAGCAATGTGTAGATACAGGCGATCCCATCACGATTCCAGTAGGACCAGAGACCCTTGGAAGAATTATCAACGTTATTGGTGAACCCATCGATGAGAGAGGTCCAGTAAACGCTAAGGCTACTGCCGCTATCCACGCAGAAGCTCCAGAATTCGTAGAAATGTCTGTTGAACAAGAAATTTTGGAAACTGGTATCAAGGTTGTCGATCTTTTGGCCCCTTATGCTAAGGGAGGAAAGATTGGTCTCTTTGGTGGTGAGTAGTTATTAGTTCCACTTTAAACTTATCTTTAAATTATCATTAAAATGATAAGAAATAGTAAGATTATTTCATGTAGCTGCATAAAGGGTAGTCTAATTAGCATTAACAATCTTGACGAAGTGAGATCTCATAACAAGTCTTATTACATACGATTAGACATAACTGACTTATTTCAGAAGTGTTAAAATTTAATTAAATTTCAATATCCTAATCGAAGATTTTGATAAGAAGCACTTGGAATTTCAGAATATCAGATCATTTTTCTGAATTTTATATAAGAAATATCGCGTGATCTTTCTTATTATCAGACTAACCTTCACCTTAAGAAATTACATATAACAGACAGTCCATATCAGAAGGTTTTCAGTTCAACAAAATTAGTGACAGAAGAATTTAGCGATGTCTATCACAGAGACTTGTCAAAATTCACTTGCACAGACAGTTGTTACTGAAAAAGAGCCTTCAAAAAAAAGTTCTAAGTTAGTTGAACTTAGATCTGAATTGAATGATGTTTGGAAAAACAATACAACGTCTATTGTTAGGATAATTCTATTTTTTCTATTATCTGGCTATTCTGTATACCTTGGGTTTGCTATAAAGCATAGTTTGAGCGGTGCTAAACCGCTGATCATTTTGACGAGTATTGCAGCATTTTTTATCATTTATAATATCATAAGGGATAATTTCGGAGATAAGATATATGAAAAAGTTTTAAGACCGCCAGTTAAAACAATTTCAAGAAACTGGAAGTGGCTTAAATTTGTGATATTCCCTGCTTTGGCTATTGGAGTTGTATTTTTCTTATCATTTAGTGTGTTGAAAGAAATTCGTCAACTGCAATCATTGTCAGGAATAGTAGCTTTTATTTTGGTGATATATATTTTCTCTGTCCATCCTGATAGAATATGTTGGCGTCCTGTTCTGTGGGGTTTTGGTCTGCAGTTTGCAATGGGTGTTTTTGTGTTGAGATGGAAATCTGGATATGACGGTGTAAAGTGGTTGTCTGATCAAATAACAAAATTTATTGACTATTCCAATGAAGGTTCAACGGCTCTCTTTGGAGACCCATTTTTGATTTTACATCCATTTGTCATGGTGGGTCTTCCTATGATAATATACCTTGGAGCTGTAATGAGTATTTTGTATTTTATGGGTGTCACTCAAATTGTTGCTGGAAAGCTAGGTTGGTTAATGCAAAAAACTATGGGCACAACTGCGGTTGAAACATTAAGTGTAGCAGCCAATATATTTTTAAATGGTATGGACACCATGTTGATGTTAAGACCTTACTTGGTAAAGTTAACACGTTCTGAGTTTCATTGCCTAATGGTTGGAAATTTATCAACCGTTGCTGGATTTGCTTTCGCTTTGTTTGTATTATTGGGAGCTCCGCCACAACATTTATTATCAGCTGCAGTTATGTCAGCCCCTGCAGCCATTGCTATAGCCAAGTTAAGCTTTCCAGAAACTGAGGAGAGCATTACTAAAACACAACAGGATGTTGAGGTTGAAAAACCAGCAGAAAGAAACGTAGCTGAAGCAGCTGCTAACGGAGCAGGAGTCGCTGGCCAAACAGTGGCGGCGGTAATATGTAATATGTTAGCTTTTATTTCTATGCTTGGATTCGTTAATGCTTCGCTTGGTTGGATTGGAGATAGAGTCGGCGTTGACGGTTTAAGTTTTCAGAAAATATGTTCCTATCTCTTATTCCCAGTGAGTCTTTTAATCGGAATCGATATTGATGATGCAAAAGAAGTAGCATCTTTATTAGGATACAAGCTCTTCACATCAGAAATTTTAGCTTATCAAGAATTAGGCGATTTGATATCAGCCAACAAAATTAGCAGGCGATCAGCAGCTATATCAACATATGCACTTTGTGGCTTTAGCGGAATGTCTAATCTATTCATAGCTGTTGGAGTTTGGAATGTAGTGTGTCCAAGCAGAGTAACTGAAGTCACAAAACAAATGTTCAGGGCTTTTATAAATGCAAATGTTGCATGTTTTATGACAGCTTGTATTGCCGGTTTACTCTATAATCCAGACTTTACTGATCCACAAACCCCACCTAGTGTATTAGGACAATTAGTTGGAGACTTACTGAATATGATTCCAACGTATAAAGACTTGACAAACTTAATTTCTTGAAATGTACAAAAACTGAATACCTTAATTTATATTTTAAAAAAACATTCTTTTTTAAAACTCATTAGACTACCCTTTTAATTATCCAAAAACTATTAGAAAATCCAAATAAATTAAATGAAATAAATTCAGAAAAACTTGAGCTAAAAGAATTTATGTAAGTTTTTCTGTAAAATTCAACAGGTGCCGGTGTAGGAAAAACTGTACTTATCATGGAATTGATCAACAACATTGCAAAAGCTCATGGTGGTTACTCCGTATTCGCTGGAGTAGGTGAAAGAACAAGAGAAGGAAACGATTTGTACCATGAAATGATCACTGGTGGAGTTATCAGCTTGAAAGATGATACCTCTAAAGTATCTCTTGTATACGGTCAAATGAATGAACCTCCAGGCGCCAGAGCTAGAGTTGCTTTGACTGGTTTGACAGTTGCTGAATATTTCAGAGATGCAGAAGGACAAGATGTGCTTCTCTTTATTGACAACATTTTTAGATTCACTCAAGCCGGATCTGAGGTAATTTTCAAATAGATTTTTTTTACCATATATAGCTTAGCTTTTTAATTACCATGATGATATCTATCCTTGCTCTCTCATTAATATTTGCGAATATTAAAGTGGCGAAACACCTGGCCTCTTTGGATCCTGGTTTAGGATCTAAAGACTGACTCTCACCCGATATCATTTGTGGAAAGAGACTTTTTACGAAGTATACTAAGCCGAATATTTTTTTTTATACAGGTATCCGCTTTGTTGGGACGTATCCCATCTGCTGTAGGTTATCAACCAACCTTAGCTACTGATATGGGTACCATGCAGGAACGTATCACTACCACCAAGAAGGGATCTATCACTTCTGTCCAAGCTATTTATGTACCAGCTGACGATCTTACTGATCCTGCTCCTGCTACCACTTTCGCTCACTTGGATGCCACCACTGTATTGTCCCGTGGTATTGCTGAATTGGGTATCTATCCAGCTGTAGATCCTTTGGATTCAACCAGCAGAATTTTGGACCCCAATGTTGTAGGTAACGAACACTACCAAATTGCCAGAGGAGTCCAAAAGATTTTGCAAGATTACAAGAACTTGCAAGATATCATTGCTATCCTTGGTATGGATGAATTGTCCGAAGATGATAAATTGACCGTAGCCAGAGCTAGAAAAATCCAGAAGTTCTTGAGTCAACCCTTCCAGGTTGCTGAAGTTTTCACTGGCAGTCCCGGCAAGTACGTTCCCCTTAAAGAAACAATCAAGGGATTTAAGGCACTTTTAGAAGGAGAATATGACAACTTACCTGAAGTCGCCTTCTACATGGTTGGACCTATTGAAGAGGTCATCGAAAAGGCCAAGCGTTTGGCTGATGAGTTGGAGTAGAAATACTACAATATTCACAACTGTGTTTCCATGTACGTAGTTGATTAATAGACCTTATAGTAATTCTGACAATCTTACTCTTTGTAAATTTAATGCATACAGAAAATGAAAAATGTCCTAATAATTACCATCAATGTGTCCTTATTTGTCCTTTAAAAATTTACATTGTGTAACATCTGTAAGAATGTGAGAATTTCTATTAGGTCCTGCGTGAGTGGGATGTTGGGTTTTTGAATACAAACCAGTTAATACGAAAATCTTTACACTTAAAGTTTTAAGCGTAGGTTACTGTATATGTAAAGAGTGTCATTAGGTAGATTATTGACGATAAGACTTCAAATATGATTCAATTGGCGGATATTTAAGCCTACATAAATCATATAATAGGTTTCGATAACTATTACTCGCCGAATATTACCTTGAACTAGATGTCGCTCCCTGCTAAAGTTGATACGAAGCAGAGGGGACATTTATGTCATACATTTAACGAAAGTCAGCGATGTTCACTTGAAGATAACATATTCGAGAGATACAATTCATTCTAGGCCTGCATTCTTACGCGAAACCTAATCTCCTCTGAATTTTAAATACTGTAATCGATTTTTTAATTGAGTTAGATTCCTTATCAAAAATACTCTAATCAAGTACCAAACAGGATATCCTTGGAAAGAAAATACTTTTTGCAGAATAGGTAGTATACGATTAAAAAAGGAAAAAATCCCTGGAGAAATTACTAAATTGATTTTTAAACAATATTTCAGTATTTGGAAGGAAGATCTAAAAAAAATGAAAGCAACCGTGGTCGTCATTGTAATTTTGATCGATATTCTAAGTTTTGGTTAGTATAGCTTTTTTTAAATGGTAATACTATATAAAGCCATTTTTTTGTCGCTAATATTTAACAAGTAAAAAAAGTCTATTTTCTTGTTTCTTTAAAGAAGCTTCATAAAAAAGGCTACTTTAAACAAGGACACAATTTAACTGCTTTAACTATTGAAATGTTTATACGTGTCCTTTAAGAGTCTTTGTCATAGAAATTTCACCTAATCTTCACATACACTTGCATAATTCACTAAATATGGAAATAAGATTCTCCATTAAACACTACTGTCATATAAATTTATAATATAATACTCAACATCTATTATAACAGGACTGTACATAAGAATAATGAAAAATGCCGTATATTCACAATAGGCCCATGCCTTTGTTTTACACCCATTTCTGAACAATAATTAAATATAAAGTAGAAAAAAACTATGATATGTCTTTTTCATTAATTTGATAGTGAAAGGCATTAGAGAAGATGCCGACTATTGGGGAAAAGTTGCTGATGAAGAACTTAATATAGCTCTAAAAGTTGATCTGAAAAAGGAAAAGGCAAAGAATGGCATCCTATACCTTGGAGACGGAATGGGATTAACAACAATTGCTGCGGCTAGGTGGTACGATATCCAAGAAAAAAAGCTAGAGGGTTCGAGAGAGTCTTTACTTTCTTGGGAAAAATGGCCTTTCGCTGCCTTGTCGAGGACGTATAATGTTGACTTGCTTACTCCAGATTCTGCGGGAACAGCAACTGCATTTTTGACTGGATCAAAAACGGTTGCTTCCGTTGTTGGTGTTGACGCAAATGTTAAAATAAAGAATTGTTCTACAGTTGAAAAAGCAAAAATTAATTCAATTGCTAAAAGTGCAATTGCGGAAGGAAAAAGCGTAGGCGTTGTCACTACAACAAGAATAACTCATGCTACACCATCGGCCTTATATGCTCATGCAGCTTATCGATATTATGAAGGCTCGGCCGATTTACCAACTGATCAAGTTTGCGAGGATATCGCTAGTCAGCTGATTAACGGCGAAGTGGGAAAGAAATTAAAAGTTATGTTGGGAGGTGGAAGATATAACTTTATTCCAAAGGGCACCTACGATGCAGAATATACAAACAAAGCGAGTAAGAGGAGCGATGATCTGAATTTGATAGAAAAATGGAAAAAGATGAAGAAGGAGGACGATAATTTAACAGACGAACAATATAAATATGTGCAAACTTTGGATGAATTTAATGCAATCGACACAGATAAAGTTGATTATTTACTCGGTCTATTTAATCCGAGTCACATGCAATACGAAGCGCATAGAAGTGAAGATATTTGGAAAGAACCAAGTCTCTCCGAAATGGTTGAAAAAGCGATTAAAATTTTAAAGAAAAATCCCAAAGGCTATTTTCTATTGGTAGAAGGAGGCAGAATAGACCATGGTCACCACGACAATCAAGCCTTTCTATCTATAAAGGATGCATCAGCGTTTAACGAAGCCATAGCACACTCTCAACAATTCATATCCCATTCTGATACTCTTCAAGTAGTGACCGCTGATCATTCGCATTCATTCACTGTTAGCGGCTATTCAAAAAGAACTGATAACATACTAAAGTTTGCTACGTCATCTAACGAGACAACTCTTGCAGACGATAAGAAACCTTATAATATTCTTGCCTACACCACAGGTCCAGGCTATAAAACACATAGGAAAGATGGTCCTAGAAAAGATTTAACAAAAGTTGATACCAGTATGTAAATTTTAACTAATCAATTTTTCCCAATAGATAGATTATTAAGCACGTTTAAATCTTTTAGCCGATCCTGATTTCGTATCAGATTCTTTCCTTCCCAGACAATGGGAGAGTCACGGCGGAGAGGATGTGGCTATTTACGCAAAAGGGCCGTGGGCTCATCTATTCCATTCAGTTCACGAACAAAATTACGTAAATCATGTTTTTGAGTATGCAATGTGTATTGGAAAATATAAAAGTTCCTGTAACAAAACTCCAGCTGGAACTAAAATTGGTATGAAACTTTATTTTAATTTTTAAAACTTGCATAAATATCTCTTTTTCAATAGATAAAAATTCTAAGGAACATTCGGAATATTGGAAAAAGATCGGTGAAAATGAATTAAAAATTGCTCTCGAGAAGAAGAAACTATCGCAAAAGGCTAAGAATACCGTATTATTCGTTGGAGATGGAATGGGTTTATCTACAGTTACAGCCGCAAGATGGCACCACGCTCAGAAACGACAAATAGTTGGATCTAAGAGTCAACTGCTTTCGTGGGAGGACTGGCCTGATATTGGTCTATCTAGAACCTATACGGTCGATTCTTTGACAGCTGATTCGGCGGGATCGGGTACAGCCTTACTTTCTGGTATTAAAACTTATTCGCAGGTATTGGGGGTTGACATGAACACGAAGAAAGAGATTTGCTCAACAACGAATGATGGAAAAATTGATTCCATTGCTCAACACGCTCTGAAAGAAGGAAAAAGCGTTGGAGTAATAACGACAAGCAGAATTACAGATGCAACTCCTGCTGCACTTTACGCTCACTCAGCCTTCAGGGAATGGGAGGGATGGGCTCCGACACCATGTAAAGATATTGCTACTCAATTAATTGAAGGAAGCGTCGGGAAACAATTGAAAGTTATACTCGGAGGCGGTAGGAAGAGCTTTATCCCAAAAGATAAGAGAGACGAGGAAGATATAAGTGAAATGAGTACAAGAAAAGATAACAAAGATCTAAGAGAAACTTGGAAATCAATGAGAAAAGACGAGGGTCTAAAAGATGATAAATTCGCTTATGTAGAAAGGATGAACGAATTTAATTCGATCGATCCGAAAAAAGTTGATTATCTCTTAGGCCTATTTTCCGGAGCTGAAATGAATTACGAAGCAAACAGACTAAATGATACATGGGGCGAGCCAAGTTTAGGCGATATGGCAAAAAAAGCAATTGAAATCTTAAAGAAAAATCCGAAAGGTTATCTTTTGCTGGTAGAGGGTGGTCGCATTGATCACGGACATCACCATAATCTTGCCCATTTAGCTCTAGACGATACATTAGCTTTACACGACGCCGTCGAGAAAGTTGAAAAAATGACGAAAAACGACGATACTTTAAAAATAGTAACAGCCGATCATTCACATTCATTTATCATTAACGGATATTCGGATAGGAGCGAAAGTATTTTCGGTTTTGCAAGGAATCTAGAAGGCGACAGATTAGCCGAAGATAAAAAGACATATACAATCTTATCCTACACAAATGGGCCTGGGTACCACTCAAATAGAATTAATGATATAAGAAAGAACTTGACATTAGAAGAAACAAGTAAGTTTCTTACAATCTTCATGATGTAATTAAAGGGATTCTTAATGATAAATATCTTTTTTATTAAAATCAAGCCAACCCTCATTATGCATTCGACTCTGGCGTCCCACTTGAGGATGAAACTCATAGCGGTGAAGACGTTGCAATCTACGCTAAAGGACCATTCTCACATCTGATTCACGGCGTTCATGAACAGAATTATATACCTTACGTAATAAGTTACTCAATGTGCATCGGAAAGTACAATAAGGCTAAACATTGCTCCACTAATGGGAATGATAAATTAAATTCCATGAATATTTATAAGCTTTTAATTATTTCTGTAATTCTTCTTTTTCATGCAAAATAAAAAAGGGCATCAACAAGAAAAAATGATTATCTTTTGAATGCTATTCTCCAATTAATGAAAATTTTCTTCTCTGTCTGCCTGCCTGTCTGTCTCTCTTTCTTCTTCCCTCTCTCTCTCTCTCTCTCTCTCTCTCTCTCTCTCTCTCTCTCTCTTTCTCTCTATCTTTTTTTTTCTCAATTTTTCCTTTAAAAATAGTTCAATTTTATTTGTTTATTTTTAATTATTCATTATGCAAATTGTATATATTCACAAAAAAAATCCACCAGTAATTTGACACAGTAGAATTCCAAAGCAGAATAAAGTTTTGTTGGCAAACATCTCATTTTATTGTTTTAGCTTGGCACACTTAAATTTTAAATATATATTATTATATTAATAAGAAAATACTGATCATATCTTAAACTTCTCCTCCGCCAGCTTCTTTTCTTGGTGTAGATTTCTTCTTAGAGCTTTTACTAATTGTTGATTTAGACTTTTCTTTCTTTTTCTCTTCTTTTTTCTTCAAACTCTGATTATCAATGGTTGATTGAGTTGATTGTTTTGTTGCTATTTCAGATATAACAGATTCCGGCGCAATAGTCGTCTCACCGTCTGTTGTTGCTACTGTTGTTGCATCGCTCTTCTTTAATTTTCTATCTAATTCACGGACTATTTCATTTAAATTTCGTAACTCCTCTTCCAAATCTATAACTCTCTCTTCGGCCTTTTGAGCTCTTTCCTCTGTGTTTCTGTATAATAAAAAAAAAACAAAACTATGTTGTTTTTATTTATCTATTTTTCATTGATATTTACATCAGATCTTCTTGCAATTTTTCAATCGTTTGTAACGTATCATAGGCCTTTTCAGATTGTTCTGTTTCCGGTTTTCGTAATCCCCTCTCGTCCCTTGTTCCCTGTAGAGATTTAGGCCTTGTTGTTTCGTCAAACCCTATCGCTTCTATTTCTTCCTTCTCCTCTTTTTCATTATCAGTTAGATCATCACCGCTATCTTCTTGCTCTTCTTGCAGATCTGCTTTTTCCTCCTCGACATCTTTCTCATCCCCTTCTTCGCCGTTTTTAGTTTCTTTATTTTGGGTTTCTATTTCGACATTTTCGCTTTGTCCCTCTACAACCCTCTCCTCTTCAGCAGAAATTGTCTCTGAAGCCTTAAGTTCATCCCCTTCATGTTTCGTTTCGACTACCTGTGGAGGGGTTGACTGCTCCGTATTTTCTTCGTCGACTCTTGCTAAACCTTTTTGACCTTCTTCACATTCTACCACTGAAGCAGATAGGGGCTCTTTCTCACCGTCTCTGTCCGATATAGTTTCCTCTTTCTCTTCCAATACTGTTGAATGAGTAGACAATTTAGTTTCTTGCCGCGAGAGTAATTCTTGGCCCACGGAAGATGGTGTTTCGCTCTTTTTCTCAACAACAATTTCCTCCTGTAATTCTTGTCCTGTTAACGCATAAACGAGAATTTTTGCAGTTGCTATCCATTCCTCAAATTCCGATTTCATCCTCGCCAAATCTATTTGTTCTTGTTCTGGATTTTCTTCATATTTAGAGAATTTTTGCTGAACAATAGCTTGAACTATTCCTGAGCAGCATCTTAATGAATTATTAAAAATTGATCAAACTTCAATAAATAACATAAATAAATAAGACGAAAGGCAAGATGATTATTATTGATAACTTACTGGACGAGATAGTTGTTGAAAGTCCGAAGTTTCGTAAATAGTTTTAAGACTGTATTACATAGTTGTTGATTGGTCTGTTTTAGAGTCTCTGCATCATTGAGTAACTCGGGAGAATGATTCGATTTGTCAGGAGCAATTTTCAATAGAATTTGTACCATCCATTGTACCATATCGGTATGCAAGGAAGAAACCTGAATTAATATAATAAATTAGTTTTGACCTATTTCGTTTCTCTTAATCATTAAATTATTCATTAATACCGTTTGAATTAGCCTAGCATTCTCACTTTCTATTCCATTCATTGTTGATGATAACCATTTTTGTGTTTTGGTCATCATGTCGTTTATCTCTAAACTATTTAAAAAATGTTAATTATATGTGTCGAATAGAGTGATAGTATTCTTTTCATTTATATAAAACTAACTGTTTATGGTCTTCTTTATCAACTTCTTTTTTAGTAGAGCCAATTAAACCGAGAATCTGAGCGCACCAACTCGAGTATTCCCCAAGAGTACTATAAAATCGAAGCCAATCCATATCGGGCAATGGGTTATTACCTTGAACGGCAACATGCAATTTCGTTTGCCAATGCTCAAAGCTGCCAGATAAATTAATGAGAAGTCTCGCGACCCCATTTTCTCCGGTCAAACGAACCTGACACTGTTCATGCATAGCTGTAATATCAAGGTTTAATTCCTGCATGGCCTTCTGATCGCTATCTGAGTGACGATCGAATACCTCCAAGGCAATGTCAGCCCAGCCTTCCATATGCGAATGTGCTTCCTTCAATAAATCATGATTATTTAATAGTTCATCACCTCCAAACGTCTCTAATTGTTCGGTTACCCTCTGAATATAAATGGAAAATATGTACAATCGTTGGGTAATTAAGTAATAATTAATAAGATATTAACCTGTCCCCATTTTGTAAGTCCTTCGAGAGCAAATCTTACTTTTTCAGGAGTGGGAGATTTCTCTACAAGTCCGTCAGAGCCCCTAAATATTTTTCGTATATCATTATTATCTTATTTAATTTTTAGGGAATTAGGGATAAATTGAATAACTTACAGGACAGTCTTATCAAAATCATCTCTGATAAATCTGACCCCTTCGAATATTCTTTCGACAATTTTCTTCATCCTTTTTTCATTGTTCTTCATATTCCCTTGAAATTCGAACATTAGCTCTCTGAACTTATCAATATGCATTTGCAATTCCGCAAGCATGGAAGAGTCGGTTCCACTTAATAATATTGTAAAATGTTTAGCTAATTTAACCCATGCTTTTTCAGCCACATGCAAACGTCTGGCATTTGTTAATTCGTGTTCTTCAGTCACCTTGAAGGAAATCAAGATGTTACGTAACACTTTTACAACTAATAGAAAATTTGTTTACATAAAATTTATCTACTAACTTTCAACGCCAAACTGAAAGCAGCCTGACTCCACGTTTCCTTTTCATTATTTAACGCTGTCATATCTTTCTCCATTCTTTTTCTCTGAAGTTCGTACAAGTCGTGATATTCAGACAATAGATCCGTGTTTTTCTTCGAATCTAAAAGGGCCTCTTTTAATTCTTCCTTCGCCTCTGTAGCGGCTTTAGTAACATTTTCATCGTGTTCTCTAACGGTCAATAATTCGTCTGTTAATTGGGTCACAGTTTTTTTAAATTTTAAAAGCTCATCGGTTAATCTCCTATCCAAAGCCCTTTGGGCCATAACTTCCTCATGGAGACCTTTTATCTTTCAAGAACAAAAGAAAAGAAGAAAAACTAAGTTTAGAGGGTGAAGTTGATAACTTTACGTAATTTTTTTTACTTGTTTTGGAACTCTGGATAGAATTTCAGCATATCTTCTTCGAATCTCTTGTAACAATTCTCCCCTTTCAGTGCACTCTAGCGTTGTTTGTCGTATTAATTCGTGAAATATAATATTGTATATATCTTGCTCCTTTTTCATTATTTCAATTAGATTGTGCATCTGAGTCGGACCGATTTCTTCGTTCTCTAGATCATTCAAGCCAGCTTTATCTAGCATCTCGCCTAAAGTCTCTTTTAAGCGGAATACCTCGAAACGACTCGTCGGTTGCCTATTAAAAACATAAAGATAGGGAAAGTGATTATTTGTATGCGAAAGGGGCGACGAAAGAGTGAAAGAGTATGAGGGTAGAGAGGGGTTGAGAGTGAGAGGGGTGAGGGCGCGATGAGTAATAAAGCAACTTCTTAATAAGACAATTTAATCCCTTTTCCAAATTATGATATTCTAATATACTTACATAGATGGAAACGCTGTCAGATGACATTCATGATCTTTGACCTTAGTCGTATATTTCCTGTAAATTAGAAATGATTGTTTAACCTTTATTTTGTTATTAATTAATTACTCTTACTCAGTGTGATATTCTAATCCCATAGTAGCTCGACTAATAGTATATAAATGATAAAATAATCGTTTATCAAATCATTTGATAATGATAATGCATTAATTTTAAAAAAAACCTTTTAACAACATGATACTCTTCCGGAATCAAACTATCTGGAAGTCGAACTTCCTTTTCCTCCTTTTCCTTCTTTTCTTCTCTCATCATTGTCAACTCTCTCTTTCTCTCACCGCTCGGATCGAATTTCGAGGGTTCTTCTTCAGGCATTTCCTCCTTAGGTACGTCATATAGAAAAGATATATCCCTGATTGATAACAAAAAACCGCGTGTCTTTCTTATGCAAATTAGTTAACCTAAATTTTAATGTTTGCTCACTCTCCCGCGCCGCAGATGCATGGTGTCTCTAAGAGGTGTTTAAATTTTTCCCTCCTCCCGGGAAAGTTCCATACAGATGCCGGAGGTCTCTTCGACTGTTAATACCCGCTATTATGCAATAAATTAACTAGATAAAAGAAAGAAATATCACACCTTTGGCAACTGTTTAATTTTAGAAACAGGCCCTAAATTCTCTTTTGGAGCTGGTGGCTTTGTTAAGGAAAGTAAAAGATCCCTTGGAATATAGTCGCTACGTAATTCTACTGACTTTCTCTTTGACAATTCTAATCCTAGAATAAAGCAGTAAAGAGTGGTAAATAATTAACTGTCTCTCTTTCTTTACCCTTGTTCTATTACAAACCTTCCACCGAATTCTCTTTAGTAGAGTCCTTAGGGGACGCTTGAGGGGAGGGTCTTGGCACAACAGTGGTCATTTTCTTTTTGTTTTGTTTTTAATAAAAAAATCACTGGAAAATATGGTTTATTAAAGGTAAAAATAATGAAATTCGATTATCGCTCTATTTTTAAATTAATAAAATTATCGCAAGATCAAACAAATTATTAATTTAATTTTTTTTTAATTTATCGTAATTAACCAATTAAGAAGTATTTAAAAAGCTTTAGTTAAATATTCTAACCATTATGTAAAAATTAACTTTTATTCCGTTAGATATTTCGTGCGTCCCGTTACTAATAGTAACGACTATTTTACTAGAATTTTACCAGTTTTGATAAAGAGTTTTGATGTCTGTAATAGAAACAGAGGGAGCAATAATCAATTATAGCGTATAGTTACTTTTTCTTCAGATTGTCTATTATCATCTAAAAAGCTTGCTTCTATAAAAAGAATGAGTTGATCAATAGTAATAATTAGATTTAACGACTAGTGGAATAATTTGAAATCGACAAAAAACAGATGAGAAGAGTTAGGATTTATCGATTCATAGGCAATAATTGAGATACCCAAGCAAGAATTTGCGGGGAAATGTCAAGCGGCATTTAATATAGTGATACTTAAAACTTATAATATCATAAAAATGTTGGAAAAACTTGACTCTCGAGCTGTCAATAAAGGTCTCTTACTGAAGTGGTATAAGAATACCTTATTCATAAATGAGGTAGAGGGCGTAACGGTCAATTAAAAAGAGTTTAGATATACTTTTCCAAAAATCTTTTATTGTTATTTGAAAGGCAAGGTACTCCTATTTCTATACAAACAGATCAATAAACCGTCAATCGTTTCTAAAAGTAACAACTCTCGTAAATATTTACACATAACTGCTTCAGATTTAGAACTCGGATCAAGTTTCATTTTCTTTTTTTCCCTTTTAAGAAGAAACTTGTGAAAATATTGTCGAGTAAACAAATCCTATGGACTAAATCAAAGAGAGTTACTTCTTCAAAGAAAACATCACAGCATCTTTACAGATGGCGCTAATCTGTTTTTGGTATCAAAAATTAACGTAATTACTTTGTCAAAGTAAAGTGTTTCATCATCTCTCCACCGATATCTATAGGCTGATCTTGTAGATTGTTATCAACGCTTGAGAAAACACAAAGCCATTCACTATTACAAACAGTTATCAAACTCCATATGGTCATTACGCAATATTACGGTTTGTCAGACGAGAACTCAAGTGGCGATGTTAAAAAGGCGGAATTTTTTATCTACTTCAATATAAAATCGTCATATTTTTTTATTAAATAGGCAAACGAATGAAAAAAGGTTTTTAATTTATTGCCGCCATAAATGTCGTAAATATGCGCTTAGACAGTCGGAATTATTGATGCTATAGGCATATTTTAGATTGAAGAGTGGTCGCATTAAAAATTGGAAGAAAAAAAATCGTTGAGAGTCAACAATATGGTTTTGACCAGACGTCATTAAGTATATAAGAAATCGATATGCAATAAGAATAATTGATAGCCGCATTCATAACTTGTAATGATGGATTGCGTGTGGCATTTTTTCGCGATAAGAATAGAAAGGAACGAAGAAGCGAATCTATGAATAACAATGAGTTTTTTGACAGCATTAAATGGACGTTTTGGTGGCGGTATTTCATAGCTTTTCATAGCATCTGTCCTGAAGGCTAAAAGTAGAAAATATTCGCATACAATTATATATGCAGCGCGCTGTCATTTACGTGTATTATGCGAATAAATTAGATTTTTTTCCTCCTCGGCTCGTCGGTGAACAAACTAAAATCAACAATGTATTTAAATATTCTTTTACTCAATACGTTTGTCTTTTGTTTTTTACCAATAAAAAGTCAGACATGCAATGTGTCGTAAATACAGAATATAGACATAGTTACACATACATAGATAATTGTTTTAAATACACATATACATATATATATAAACATAAAAACTATGAATATATATATATATATATTTATATATTTATATTTATAATTAACAAATGGTAATAATCTCATGGAAGAGGCTGGGGAACACTTTTGGGAGACAAAAGCATGCAATTTACGAGCACCGAATCTCTATATATATATATATATATATATATGCATATACATATATATACATATGCATATATACATATATATATATATACATATATATATCTATATACATAAAATTATATGCATTTAATACGCAGATTTATATATATATATATATATATATATATCTTCATATGTTCTTACATAAAATATTTATGTATATTAATTTATATATATATATGCATAAATATACATATATAAATATTCATGTTCATTTCTATATAGATATATATATATATATAAATACATATACATATCTATATACAAAATATATAAGTATATATGTATGAATACACATATACATATATATATATATATATTGTTATACATATATATGTATATACATATATATTGATAAATATATATGCATATATGTATAATTGATAGGTAATTACATATAACGGATGTAAGTGTTCGTGTTCTTCGCATAGAAGCGAAAGTATAACAAAACATAAAAAGGGAACGCTACAAAAAAATTAGAAAAAGAACAACACGCCTAAGTCATGACAGGTTTCAATTCGGAGCCGGCAGAGGGAGTGATATGTCCGCGAATATGAACTTCTAGTTCGTTGACTGATGCACAAGTTTTATTACACAAGTGGCAACGCGGGGTCCACATCCACGGAGCAGCCTGAAAACCGGGGAAAAGGACCGGTGGCGGCAAATGAGACGGTAAAGGAACACTGTGAGAAACGGATGCTGGAGGGGAAGAAGTCGGTGACGCGGCGGAAGTCGGCGTCTTTTCTCGTGAAGGTGGTGATTTTCGTATACTTAAATCCAGTTCTCCGCCTGGTTCCCTTTTCAAATCCCCTCCATTGTTGTTGTTGTTTGTACTGATACTGTTGTTGTTATTAACGGCGGGAGACATTTTGGTCGTTTGCTGAATAAGACTAGTTGGCGGCATGGATGTAGGCGGCAAAAAGCCATTGAAAAAAGGTAAAACGCCCGGATGATGAGCGAGAAAAGGCGGATGGGGCGGTGGTAAAGTAGGAGGTCGTATGTCAACACCACCCGCCTGAGAAGAGATCGGATCCAATGTCATCCTACGACCTCGACGACTAGGTCCACCAGCATACATATGAGTGCCCATGTGAACTTTGAGGTTGCCTTTGGTTGTGAACGCCTTTGAACAGACTTCGCACTTGAACGGTTTATCGCCCGTATGCGTTCGATAATGTATCTGCAGAGCGCTTCCACTCGAAAACGGTTTCTGACAAATTGTACATACGTGTTTCAAATTCGGTTTCTTGACGAAGGGTGAAGAGTCTGATGATTCCTTCTTAGTCTGACTTGAATTGTTTGGGCTTACTCCGACAACGGCAGGTGATGGAGATGAATTCGAAACGGAAACCTGCGCAGCAGCAGTTGTAACCACAGGAGAACTGCTTGTTGCCGCGCTTGACGAAGGAGCTATTCCGCTACTAACGCTAGACGTCACTGGCGTTGGAGATGATGATGATGAGGCGTCGCTAGCATTAGAATTGGGCGGCATATCTCTGATTTTGTGCGTAAGCATGTGTTGTTTCATGTTGCCCTTAGTTGTGAAAGATCTCTCACAAACATCGCATTGGAAGGGTCTTTCTTTGGTATGTGACCGGTAATGAATGTCTAAGGCGCTCTTACAGGCGAACGTCTTATAGCAAATGTTGCATGTAGTATTCGTTCGTCCAGAACCTGGCCTGGGTCCCAAATAAGCCAATCCTCCAAGTAGGTCGCCACTCGGCCCCCTATCTTCCCGATTGGCTAAGGAGGCGAGCTCCTCTAATGGACGCTGACTACTAAAAGAATTGGAAGCGTCGATACTCTTTACAGACTCCTCAAGCGCTTGTAGAGAATAAGAGGCAGCATCGTTTTTATCGTTGTTAACGGAAAAATCATCTTCCGGTTCACTGATTGTACCAGCCATATCGTCGTCGGATTCTTCATTGTTACTGGGGTGATGGGGCGGCGTATCTACATCGGCGGGCGGCTTAGATAAATCCAATTCACCGTTCTCACCCGTGCGGACGTTAGAAAGAGGCAAGGCCGGCGGCATGAAAGGCAAAGGGGGTGGTGGAGTTGGTGGATATATTTGCAGTAACTGATGAGTTTTTACGTGCTGTTGTAATACAATCGAGTTATTGAACTGTTTATGACAAACCGGGCATGAATGAATCGGAGCGACTAGAGGTTTTCCGCGATGGACGCCCATATGAGTTTTTAAATTGCCTTTCGTCGTAAAGCGCCGACCACAAATCTTGCATCTGTACGGCCGTTCGCCCGTATGCGTTCTGTAATGCATTTGTAAGGCCGATTTGCAGCTTAACACCCGTTCGCAAATGGCGCACTGATTCGGGTCGTCGCTCTTCTTATCGATGTTCTTTACCAACTCTTCCAATTTTGAGGTTTCGCTCGATTTATCTATTTCCATGAATTGTTCGAGCGAATCTTCGTCGTCCTTCGACGTAGACGATCCACCCCCATTTTTCGTTGAAGCCGAATCGAACGGTAAGGAAGCGGGAAGTGGGTGTACACTAAGTGCTTGCTCGCAGAGGTGCTCGCCGGCCTTGGGCGAATTAGCGCCGCCGTTAGACGCTGTCAAATCGACGTCCCTTAAGAGCGGCGGAGGTCCCGTAAATGAATCCGTTGAATGTTCAGCAACAGGGTATGGGTTCATCTTGATATGCGGGTACTTATCACGATGACGTTGGAAGTGTACCTTTAGGTGAGCTCTTGTTGCAAAACGACTGCCACATACGTTACACTTGAACGGGCGCACAGAGTCGACAGTGATAGCTATAGGAAAAAAAAATCAAAGTAAATCAAAGGTCAAGTAGGAAATTAAAACAAATGCAAAAAACTGATTTAAAGTTATCTACCGCGCATACATATATCATTTATATATATATTGTATATAAACTAGGCGCACCGGCTCTCAAACACACATAACACTGGCAAAAAGATACCCTCTTAGATAGATACAAAAAAAGAATTGTATATATTTGCTTAATTCGAATAAAATATATTCTCGTCTAGTTTAAAGAGAAGAGCGAAAAAGAGATAGAGAGAGAGAGAGAGAAAAACAAAATTAAAGATTAAAAGTAAAAAACAATATAAAAAAAAACGAAAATATATATATTAAACAAATAGATTTTATAAATTTATATCCTATATAAATATTTCAAATTATATAAAGGTATAGACATTTATGGCGGAAAAATCATAATTAATATATGATTATGTAACAACTCTCTCTCTTTCTCTCTGTCTCTCTTTCTCTCTCTCTATATATATATATATATATAACTTTGCTGGCCAAAGTGGTGTACAATTACGCATTTATCTATAAAAATTTCTCCTATTTATCATCTTTGGCGTCAAAGTAATTTCTCTTCTTGTCCTTTAGAATACATTAATCATAATTACCTTGCAAGAAATCTATATATATATATATATATATATAGATAGATTAATATATTTCAATACCTTTACAAATTTATACATTTTATAAGGTTAAGTGCTTTTACTTATATACATATATACTAATATATATATATATATATATATATATATATATATAAATATAACCCGAACGAGTATAATACACATATATATTCGAAATTAGTCTACGCTTTGGGGTTTCGTCGCAAAAGCTAATGACGTCCACTAAGACGTCTACGCTTCACTTAGCTCACGATAGCCGAGTGACGCCGACGGCATGGCGAACGGCGTGTTTCTATTGGCATTCTAACGCGTGCGTGGCCGTCTCATTTTGGCGTCTATTAGTTTAGTCGGGGATGCTTGTTTTGACGAGCAAGACGGTTCTTATCTACCCGGTCTGCTCGCTGCACAAATGCCAGATCATATGCGCTTCTTATCTGGCCTCGTACTGACAGAAAGCTCTCTAGCTAGTTGTCCATCATCTCTGCATCTGCGGCTAATCGACGAATATAAATATATATTTATAGTACATATAGATATTTATGCACTATATCGCTCTGGCATATGCATACTTTTCGTGTTAGAACAATTTATATTGCGTACTCAAACCGGTAACACTTGGCGGTAAAAGTTATTAAATCAAATATATGCGCGCATATATGTAAATATATACTCTCACTCAAACCGAATTATGAGACCTTTGATCGGTATACAGTAAATCGAGAAGGGCAGTGGCGCACCTGTTGTTACATCATTGCATATTATCAACATGCCTGACAGATTGTGTATTCGGTTTCAGGCGAGCATAATTGAGAATAATAATGAGTTGGACCATACCGCCTAGCTGGTGCTCGTTAGCGCGAGCTCTAACGTAAACAGAAACGGCACCGAAATCCGGCAGGCGCCGAATAAACAACGACATATCTGCCGGCCAGCCGCGCCGCCAATCATAATCTTACCGTTTTCCGTTAGCTTGTTTTCTTCTAACGACGACGGAGAATCGCCGTTGATATGCGCCTGTAGCTGTTGCAACATTTGCAGTTGGACAATTTGTTGTTGCTGGAGGGAGAATAAAAAGGATTGGACGGTCTGGAAGTTTTCTTCCGACTCTTCGTCGTCCTCGTCTAAATCGTCGGCGTCTTCTTCCTCGTCGTCTTTTGGGCATGTCCTTTTGTGCTCTATATAAACGTTGAGATCCTCGAAACCGGACCGACATCTCGTACAGACGCGCACTTGACCGCTTTCGTCGACGCCTGTAGGCGTTTTCAGAAATTACTCAAAAGTAGGAAAAAAAAAATGCTTCGAATATAAAACAAATCTAAAATAAGCTTTGAGAACGAGGGAGAAGGGGCGGAAAAAGATAGAGAGGATGAGGGAAATGATAGGTTGAGATAGTAAAGGGGTAAAGAGAAGAGCGATTTCGAAGGGCTTCGCAAAATTGCCCATCGCGTCATCGCGCCGTCACTTTAGACATCAAGTAAGGACGACAATAACTGTGCTTGCTGATGAAATAATATGCAGCTCAGGCGGTCAGCGGCGGCTGCAAACTAGTCGCCTCTCGTTACCGTTCTTCAACACGCCAAACCCCGTGCACGTCGCCATGGAAACGCGCGCTTTCCCTCGGACGTATCGGCTATAAGTCCCGACAGTTCGACTAACGCCACGTACAATTTGATAAGTATGAATAAAACATGGCCGCTTGGCCGCTTGACGCCAAATTTCATTAGAGAACGAGAGTACGAATAGGTAAAGAAAGGAGAAAGGAGCAGAAAAAAGGGAATAACAAATATAATGATAGATAAGGAGTGGAGGAGGGCGGAGTAATATTGAAAAGCAAAAGGGTAAAGGGGTAAAAACCGATATCCAATGTTGTAAAATGAACATGTAATATAAATATATATAGCGCAATCAAAGCATTGATTAATAACGTTCCCGGGCGAATTACGGAACACGCACGGCGAGAGATGACCACCTGGTACCGAGAAATAAAAAGTAAACTGAAGTCATTAAAGGTAGGTAGATAGCCAGACTGAGGGAAAATCGAATTCGTCCCCCAACCAAAAAAAAAATTCTCGATGCCCGTTTGCGGGCTTAGCGCCTTGACATAACGGTCGATGCAGCTAGCTCCAAAAAACCGTCGCTAGATCGATGAATGATATATTTTGTTTGGTGTTCAAATCGTTCCATCTCAACCCCTTTTCGCCGCGCATGAAATATTCATAAACGCCGTATAAACACACACTCAACGTCGGCAGCGTTCGATTCCGAATGGCGACGACCGCGTGTATGCGATAGGAGATAGGCCGTCCCACCGGCCCCTGAACGCTCTCCGGACGCCCGTCCTATCTTGGCAGATGAACGCCGCAATTACCTCTGTCAAACATATGACAAACAATATTTAACAGCGTTCGACCGCCGCCGCCGCCGCGGGGCTGCCCTTTTTTTTCTTTTCTCTCTATCTCACTCAAATATTCGCCGTTCATTTATTTCATTCTCCGACCCTTTTCCTGTTTATACCCCTCCCACTCCTTTTTCGAATACGCTTTTGATTTATGCCCAATGCCATTAAGGCGAGCCGCTTTTTTGATTATGACCGAGCATGACACAAATCTGCAGGCAATTTGCATGACAAGAGCAAATGGTGCCGATAGTTATCGACCGGTCCATCTTGAAATACGAGTCGGAGTGTTGGAGAGGCCATCTTGCGGCCGCTTGACCGCCGTCCATCTTTTCCTTTTTTTCCGATTTCTTCGCCCTAAAAATACAACTAACTACGGCGGCGGCAGCGGCGGCGGTTAACAACCAATGTCTTTCTCTTTGCTATCACCCTCTCATATATATATTCTCTCTATCGTTTCCTTTTTTAACTATATATATATATATATATCACTTTACTAAATCCATTATTCCTCTATGACATAAATCATAAATTTCGACCTACAATATCGTCTATAAATATAAAGACAACAATAGGAACAATGAAGAAAAAGTCGCGGATACAAAAGAATATTCGAAATATTCCTCCACAAACCGAAAATTTTTTTTCATAAAAATTCATAACGCATCCGTTTTCAGCGTTCAAGCACGCTATTCGAACATTTCCTAATCCATAATAGATCGCGTCGGACGAAGGCGGTGGTGTTGAAGATAGAGAGAGGAAATGAGAGGTAGAGAGAAGACAAGATACACAATATATAGTTTTAAAAAAAGTTAAAAATAAAAATAAGACATATAAAAAAAAAAACAAAAGTAATAATAATAAAAAAAACAACAGATGAACTTGGTCGACAAAAAAATAGGGACGATAGACAAATTTGACGTTTAACGCAACAAAACTTGACTGTGGGAAACTTACCGTTAGTGAAAGATGAATTCCTTTCTGCGAATAAATATTCTTCCTCTTCCTCTAACTCCTCCAAATCCTCATTTACTTCTAACCTATTCGAATTGTCCGCACCAACTGCTGCCGAACCGTCGAATTCCTCCAGGTGACGCGGGTAACGCTGCTTTCGCCTCGACATGACGAAGAACGGGAATGCAATGCGGCAGGAGAACTCTCTCAAGTTTTAGGCGGCCAGTCGGCAACGAGCCGTAGTGCGCATGTGCATATTATGTATATCAATAATGCATAATTATCATAATCAGATTGAAGGCGAGGCTCGCTATTGGTCTGAGGCTCTGAGATGCAGGGAGGTGCATATGATCTTATCCGCTCTCCGCAATACACTGACAAAAACTGAAGCTGTTGTAGCGCCCTCTAGCCGCATCTTACGTCATACTCAATATGTTGTCACTACTCGGACATATATAGTATAGTGTATACTGGTTTTATAAGCGTATTAAAACGAACGAGAGTATTAAAAGAAAAAAAAGTAGGGGGAGGGTGTTCGAGAATAAAAAATGTACTTTCCCGCGCGAAAAAATAGATCATTTTTCTTAAACATCTGTCATCGTTCGATTGTCATAAAAGCTACAAGATGCAGATGCCGAAGCAGTATTCAACGCGATTTACGTTTGTTTTACGGCGGACGGTGTAGAACCTGATATTTCAATTATGTACAACATTTTTTTCCTCTACTGTTTACTTGCTGATTTATGTCTGATATGAGTTCAAGATGGTCGAATTGCGTGCAAAATATGGAATTGTGTTGGAAGTGGTATAAGAAGTACAGGGAAGAGTGTGTTGTTGTATATGTGTGTGGAATAGTAAGGGAGATGAGTAGGGTCAGGATTGGCGGAGGGGGTAGGGAGAGAGGGGGCAGCAAGGGGGGGGTAGGGAGGAGAGGAGGGGGGTTTAAAGAAAAAAAAAGGGGGGTAGGGGGGCTTGGGATACAATAAAGAAGGGGTAGAAAAAAAGAGGGGGGGAATGAGATAGAGAAAGAGAGAAGGTTTTCTTGGATGATGAGGGGGAGTATACAAATGAGATATCTTGAAAGAGAGTTGAGTGAAGAGGTGATGGAATTAGGTGGTAGGATTAAATTAATAAACTATAAACTTATAAATTAATTATTTACTTAAATTAAAAAAAAAAAAGAAAAAAAAACATTGGAATTATTAACTATATAGGTTATTTTCTTTGGCGCGGTTGGCGCGCTTTTCGGTCGAAAATTTAATTAGCTAGAGCTAGTACTATGCGCTAGCGGCGGTATGTATAACTAATACTAATAGTAAGAAATCGAAGGAATTGAAATAAGAGGGATCTGGACTAAGCGATGGGAGGAGGGAATCAATGGTAGTCGAGTCGCAGGTGCGTTTATAGAAGGGCAGCATAATTCTGAGATTTGTGACTCTCCTGAGAAAATGATGCGCGATTCTATAGCGAGAACAAACTGAAATCGTAGCTTGTTTACATTGGCAGTCGGCGTAGGCTTTAACGGCATTTTATTGGAGGCGGCTTTCGTAAAAATGCAAACAATAACGACTTGAGGAACGAGTTCATATTCGAAAGTTTTTCTTTTCTCCTTTTCCAATATAATGTATAAATAAAAAAAATACCTAAAATATACATAAATACTTTCATACGATGGCTGGCTTTTATAATGGTGAAAGTTTGGAAAATATTTAATTCGAATGGAATTTCGCCTCTTACGTAATCGTGCCGTAGCTCGGTCATATTGGCGTCATATTTAACAATCAGCCTAAATTACGCCGCTTACCGTCCGTTCTTTGTATGGCGAAAAAAATCGCGTAATATTACGCAATATTCGAAATGCGCGTGTTTTTTTCGCTTTAAAATAAAAAAAAAAAAGAAAAGAATAAAGAATAAAACAAAAGAATAAAAGAATAAAAGAACGAAAGAAAAGAATGTCGAAGGAGGAGGAAAAAAAAAAAAAAACAAAAAAAAAAAAATTTAATGAGTAAAAAGAAAAAAAAATAGAAAGAAGAAGGACGACGTTTGGCATTTTATCTATCTGTATGACCTTTCTACTTTTATATATATATATATAATAAATAAATATATATTTATATAAAATTTTACATATTTGCGAATAATATATCTATATATATTTAGTATATATCTTTTATAAATTTGTATTTATATATAAATAATATAGACTTGACTTTTTTTCTCTTTTTAGATTGTAGTATTGTAATATTGAAAGTAAATAGTTTGTGGAGATTTATATATATATATATATCTATATACAAAGTAATTTACTTTGAAAAGTGCATCTATATATATTGAAATTTACGTTTTGTATAATTATTTAAATAAGGACATATGTACATGAATATACATATATATATATATATGTTTCGATCACTTGTATATATGTATATATTGCAATATATATACATTTACGACGCATCTGTCAACTAAAAGGCGACAAGTTTATGCGAGCATTACCCCAAATACGCGCGTATATATGCACGCTGTCGGTCGTCTTTGTTCTGGACAGCGGTCACGTCGCAGGTGGCGCTGCCTAAATATAAAAAACATGCCTTTTACCCGTAATATTACGTCATATATTGGGTCGGCTTGTATACGTATATTAGATAGTCATCTTAAAAAATTCGGCGTTTAACCGCCTCGAAAAGTCGGAAGGAATCAGCGCTTTTGCCTATCGAACGCTTTATCTCTGATGCATAGCCCCGAATATATGTTAAAGTATATGCAGACGGTCTGCAGGGGATAGGGAATGGAATTTTTATGATTCGCCATTACTTATCATGCAAGGCCATCTGTTTCATATCAGCCATAGTCTGAGATCTGTACTCAATCAAAACACCAATATTTCTGCTTTTATATATTTACGTATAGATTACGCAATTTCTGTCCGAAAATCCGGTTAGCGAGAGTCGGCTGCGGCATGCTTTGAACATTACTTTTCGAACGCAACTATTACGCAACCCTCCATTCTTTTTCCACCCTCATTAACATGCAAATTCTTTTCCTATAATTGGCGCCGCAGACCTCTCTAGCCGACGGCGAAAAGTAGGAAGATGTTGTAAATCAAAACTGAAAAGGCAGGCCGTAAGTTTTGCAGATGTTTGCAGTTGGTGGAAAATTTTGCAGTGACGCGCTACCGTCAGCAGAAGACGTCAATCATACGCTGCGCTTTATAAAACATGCGTACTAGACGACTATTGGCGGGCGCCAACTAGTTCATATTCATAATCATATTCATACAGCATAGCGTGGGTGAGGCCTATTCTACTTTATCATCCAATCAAAAAACGCCTTTCGCCGTCCTATTTCTTTCGTCTTTGTTACGTAATATAGATTAGAATAAATGTATAGGTTTTTCCAAAAGGTTTATACAGAACCGTTAAAACATGCATAGGCCTACAAATTAAAATAAAAATAAATTTTAAGAATATGTATTAAATAAAAAAAACAGTAATAAAAAGAAGAAAAAACAAGTCTATTAGAAGTTAAAAACATATGTATATTTCGTAAAAAGCATTTTTTAACCTAAAAATTGTTTTATATATAAATGGCTTCTTCTCCATTCGTCAATCAATCCATATTTCGTTTACCTTCTTTCTTTTATCACTTACATTTCTTTTCTTTCTATCTCTTTTGTTGCTTTTCGAAAAAGTACAAATATACACTTTAAATATATATCTATATAAATACATGTATACATCTGTCAGGAAATATTTATTTAAATATGTATAATGTCTTATTTACTTTACTTTAATATTCCAAAAATACACCTACGTGTGTATGTTTAATTCTATTATACGTGTACAGTGTATTTATAAGACATAATCAAAGTAAAAATAGAGTATATAGATTGATTTAACAGGATTCAATGAATGACAGGAAAGACAGAAACAATAGTGGGAAGAGTGAGCGGGAAAATAGGTGGAAAAGGGAGAGAGAATGAAGAGGAAACGAGGCAGAAAAATATGTTCTTGAAACATTATATAAAGATGGTATATATACAAATTAGCGTAATCCAGTTCGATTAAACAGGCGACTATTCTAGCTTTGTTTATTTTCAATATATGCAGCGCGTATGAGGTCAACTTTTGACATTTAAAAAAGCGTGCTGCCCAACGAATAGCAGCTGCGTATTAAACAGTCCCGCCGCCATCTTTTTAGGGTATATAGACTACTTTTGCAGTACATATATCCATATCCGTAAACCTAATTAGACGTACATTCTACACCTATAAATAGTTATTTTAAAAGTCTTATATGACTCAAGTAAATGGAAATCGTATAAATTTATGCATTGTTTGTAGGTTGTAAAATTTTTTTTTCCTTCTTTTTCAAAGTAATAAGCATAAACATATATATATTTAGAACGCAAAGAAGGAACTGTATTCCTCGAGCAAATTCCTACTGTACGATATTAGTTTTATTATGTTACGCGTGTGGTTTATATTGAGAACAAATTAATATTTAATGTATAAAAGTATATGTTGTATGTTTTCTTTAAGTGACGAATAAGTAAAATTAGGATAAAAGAATTCGTAAGTATTTTACTAGAAAATGGTAAATAGGAATGAGGAAGAGAATTTAGCGAAAAGGGAGAGGATGGGTTGGAATATATATATATATAAATATGTGTGGAGAGAAAAAGAGACAGTGAGAGAGAGAGAGAGAGAAAAAAAAAGCTAGGAGCGTAAAGAGTGTAGAGAAGAAAATCTTCTTCATATCGATTACAAAACGCGCGAATGGTTCGGACGACAACGCCCGACGCTCTCTCTGCCTATAGAGGAAATCATCATGCACCTCACGACGCTACGACACTGATGCAGAACGTAATTACTGCAGAAATAATTGCAGTCCGCCTCACTCTACATTGCAGTGTCTACTGCGCGCGTCGTCTAATTGATGCCGTCGCACGCCTTTCCTTTATCGGCCGACGTCTTTATCGCGACAGGTGTAAGGTGCATGTTGTACATGCTAGCTTATGTAGCTCAGCGTGATTAAACAAATTTATTCAGTTTTATTGTTTATTTATAACAAAATCTATACTCAAGTAATTAGTCGTACCTTTGCAGTACATTTTAATAAAATATCATTTTTTTTCAATCTTATTAATCTATGTATATACATAATAAGTCCTCTGCACGACATCATAAAAA